TTTTTAAAAATTAAAGTTATCATTATTATCATTATTATTATTATTATTATTATTATTATTATTATTATTTACATTATTATTGCATTATTGATCTTAGGAAAAACAACCTTCGCATTAAAAATTCCTGCTGACTCTGTTTGTCAAATTGTGTTTCTCTCAATTATTATTGTTAGCAAGGGGTCCTATGAATTATGATTTCCCGTGTTAGGGACACTTCTTCACAGTTAAGGATGTCCGGCATTTGACAGCAAGGAAATGTTTTGCGAAAAAAGGCATTCTTTACTTTAAAAAATACCTAAAATGATATACTGTACATTCCTTCTACGAGATCACGTGTACCGAACTTGTGCACGCGATCTGATCGTGCAGGATGGAAACGCTTATATAACATTTACTCTATGAAATATGAAATTACATCTTTTCACGTTCGCGGGGTCCAAACCCTAGCAGGGGTGGGGGGGGGGAGGGGTACCACTGAGAGAATTTTTAAAAACATAACCCGGTTTAGGATTAAAAAATACGCTCTGGTAGAAGAGGAAATCTCTCTTACGAATGAATACCTTGTTAAGTAGCATAGCTAGAGCCTGTTGAGTGTAGAGACGCGCCAAAACACTATACCTTGTCCGTCTAGCGACACCTTTCCTTAGAGTGAGGCGAAGTGCCCCTCCCTTTGGGTTTTAGTCACGCCTATTCGGATTAAAATTAGTGGTTTTATTCTATGAGACAGAGTCAGTATATCTATGGTTAATTGGTCTTCATGTACGTGCTTGCCTTGCGGAAATCTCGATTACTGGAAATGGAACGACCTTTTGGAAACCCAAGCTAAGCCAGTTGGTCATTTGATACTACAATCTATTATCACTTGGGGTTTGTGATATTTATTTATAATGAACAACAAATACAACGGAAATGTTTATTAAACCGCCCTTTTTGACGAGACACGAAGGCGTTCAAGAAGCAACAAAACGACAACATCATGTACAAAATTTCATCACAGCAAACTGAGCTAGATTTGTGAGTGGTGGAGAATGACCTCCCGTGTTCCACTGGTCACCCAATACGATTGGCTATATATCACAAGAATCGAATGATTGACATGTATTGTGAGAGAGCAATCACTTCGTGTCTGGGTTTTCTTTGAACAGGTCTTCCGTACCAGCCTCGGATTGCCCTGAGGTTTGCTTGCACTGATATTCTTCTTCCGCTATTAAACGAAGGAAGACGTACTGTAGTGCTTGGATGCAGTGGAGTCGTTTCTTAGATTGTTGGAGACCAAAACAGGTAATTTATTCGAGCTGTCATATTTTACTTTTTTCACGCCTTTGCATGGCAACCGAACTTCTGTGTTATGTAGGCTCACTCCAATAGAGAACTGAACGTAGCGTTATTTGAACTATTATCCTTCGTCCTGGCATTATTTAACTGAACTGCTCTGTGCATTTGAAAGTAGAACATTTGCGCCCTAGTTTGTGTTTTGTGGCAAGATAACAGCTTGAGATCTCACAAAATTGATATTTCTGCTGTGATCCACCCCCTTCATATAGTTAAGCCACTTGTATATTCGAAGTTCTACACCACATTATTTAATGGAGATTTCAGAACATTTCTCAGCAAATTACAGGAGTTTTTCTGTGGTTTGTTCAAGCTCACGAAGTCAGCCGCCAGTGTAAGTTTTAAGCTTCACTTCCTATATCTCAGTTGAATATTTTAATTTCTTTTCACGCTCCCGCTCGCCACGATTTCAGTAAACTCAACTCATTGCAGACAAAAATTAGTCTTCGTTTCGATCAGTGCCGTGTTTGTGCAGTTTTACCAAATTGCGACTATAAAGACAGTTATTTGGCATTAAAATTGTAATACTGGTGATTGGCAAACCCAAATTTCAAACCAGCCACAGCAACGTAACAATTTCCCTGCTAGCAGAGGTCTCTCACGACGAGGCAAAAATGAGAGAAAGGAGAGAGACCTCTGCCGGCTTCCGACGCGTTTCCTATCACGCATGCGCTGGCGTTTCCTTAACAACCAGTGACGTTTTTCTCACGTGCGACACAACCCACAGAACCGGTTTGCGCGCGAAACTTCAGCTGAAGGCGGGGGTATATGTTGTGGAGAATTCTTCGCAATGTGAAACGATGCCGAGAACTCCACAATCTCGCAAATTTGGGGAAAGCGCGTCACCTCGGACGCCCATTAAACCAGTTGGGTCTGGAAAAGACGTTAGATGCCTTTTGTGTGGTTTAGATTTTAAAGGTGAAAGGTGTTGACAGGCCAAACACGACTTATAAGCTCGTGATAGTGTGATACGTGACCTTATAGTTTTGTTCTAACAAGGATATCTCCCAGCCATTTTGCTCTTTTATATGAAATGATCGGAGGCTCGTTGTATATTTCTCTCAGTAGTGGTTGATCTTGAATTAAGTGCCATTTGCTCATTAAAATGTTTTTAAGGTTCGGCAAAGCAGGGTGGTATGTGGTAACGAAAGGCAGAATTTTCTTTCGCACTTCATTGTTCCTTTGTAAAGCTGACTTCCGTTCGGTAAATTTAATCTCAGAGGTGATTTTTTCTATGAGATTGTGAGGGTAACCTCCAGCGCAAAGGCGTTTTTTGAAGTTGTAGATGTTCTCATAGAAGGATTTAGCTGAAGAGTTCAAAGGAGAGACAACTAAAACCACTGGTTCTGTAGAGAAGAGATCCTTGTAATTGTAAACAACAGATAACTCGGCCGCCACTCGTACTGCTAGTTGGTAAATTAAAAATTTGCCGTAGCCCGTCGAGAGACACGCAAACGTATCGCGTCCTTTAAGGAAACCAACTAAGACTTTTCTTTGTAGGGAAGTTATTTCTTTTATATATACGTTTGTCGCCAAGCTTAGAAACGGATGATCTTATGGCTTGATCAAAGTGAGAAATTTCGAAACTCGCGGATCTCATGGAAGCCATAATTCACTGTGGGCTCAATAATTGTCAGCGTACAGTTTAACAAGGCACGCGTATTACACATTAAACGTAACCGGTTTTAAAAACCGGTAAGATTCGACCAGAAATCTGGTCGGCGGCTTCATCAAACAACGTGTCGGAAGCCGGCAGAGGTCTCTCTCCTTTCTCTCATTTTTGCCTCGTCGTGAGAGACCTCTGCTAGCAGGGAACGTAACAATGCCGAGGGCGCGTGAAAAACTGACAAAACTACTAACCTTGGCTATTTCACAGGGCAGGGGTCTCTTACGTCCTTTCAGCGCCCAGACGTCGAATGGCGTTTTCCAATCATAGTCCACATCATAATCATAGTCCACACAACATACGCTATTTCAGTAAATCGGAGGCCGCAATAGCCAAAATCTTGAAAGGCGCTCACAGTGTTGAAAGTGCGACTCACTATTCCCCCAGCCTTTGCGTTATTTATCGTCAAAACAGACAAAACAATGTTCAGCATTTTGTTTGCCCATATCATTGGCTTAAAAAAAACCTAGCCATATATTTCTCTCTAACATCCGTGGTATCGAAGATACAACATTGCGTTTCCCTGTTGGCCATAAAAAAAAAGAAACTGAAAGGAATCGAGCATCCATCGAAGAAGCCTTCAAGCAACCGGAAGTGACCGTCATCAATCGGCGAAACATGAAAAGATTCCAGTATAATGACGGTCACGAAATTGTTTGAAATTGGCCATTTTACATAAAAAATTGTACAATTTAACAAATTCAGCATGAAGCAGGTTTGAAAACCGAAAGAAAAAAGCAAGTCTCATGTTGACGTTAAAGCAGAATATCAATGAAAACAAAATACCAAACTAAGTAAAAACATCAGGGAAATAATGCATTGGAAACTGCCACCACCCACCCTCCCCCACCCCCCTTCACAAAAGATTCATCTAGTTCCCAAAACGTTCTGGCGGAAAGTCGGCCGATTTTGTTTGCACTATTCCTATCACATACAATTTACAACTACGCCGTTTGGACTGAGCAAGCAAAAACTATTGTCGGCGGCAGAACAGATAATCTCGAACGTATAGTATTCTCGATAGTATTCCATTACACAGGTAGCCTAAGCTCGAAATATGAGCATCGGCTGTTGCGTAGCATTCGAAATATAAGGATTTGTATGGGAAAAAAACCTATCGTTTCTGTAAATTACGAAAATGAAAGGATTTCACTAAAAAAAACAGCTTACCTTACTTAAAAAGTGTGTTACGTCTCTCCTATGTGGTCCACGGGCCGATTTGTGGCCGTTTTATGGGTTTTTATGTAAACGGTTTTCTCTCTATATAAAGAAAAGAAAGAAAACCGTTAACCGTAACTGTCACTGTTACTGTCGCTGCCCGTTACTATTACTGTCACTTTTACTGTTACTATTACAGTTACTGTTACTGTTGCTATCACAACCACTGTTACTGTCATTTAAACTGTCGCTAGTAGCCATCAACAATCCTATTCAGGGCTACACTCACCCGGACTATCATATTTTACCTTACTTAAGAAAAAAATGATTATCATTCACTATAACAGCAAATGAAACCGAATTTATGACTACTTTACTGGCTTCTATGTGATCACCGACAGTTACCTTTTATACTTAGTTAAAAGAGTTCTCACCTAACTGGTTTTAACTTTTAATTAGATAGCATGCAAGGCTAAAATTTAATGTATTTTGCCCCTCACTTTTCCAGTCAACCAATTCACCAGAATTCATCCCACCCTTCCCTAGACTGCGAGCAGTCTCTCAGGATGGTCACCAGAGCAAGGAAATAGAGCAAAGCGAGCGAAAAAAAAACGAGAAGCCTTCAACTCGATTGACTGAAGAGGGACTGCTCGCAGTCTAATCCTTCCCCATCCCTTTCGAACGCCTGCCACGTAGGCTATCCCATCCAGCACTCAAGCACTAATGTTGTTTCTGTTACTTTCCCACATGACTAAGCTTTATTCTAGTTCTTTTTATAGGTAGAACAGCGATAGAAAAGGAAACTGAAATTAAAAGGTGGGAAGCAAAAAGAAAGCAATCCACAATGATTTCTTTATCCGAGTGCAACGCCTGGTTTGCTGTATTCCTTATCGAGTCAGTTGCTATAGTAACAATGAACCTCCTATCAATCATCCTTTTTATGAAGAACAGTAATCTTCGCACTCGTGGCATGTACTTGGTTATAAACCTAACAGTAGCTGATATGCTTGTTGGAGGATTTTCAATGATTGGTCTACTCCTGTTCTTACGCACCGGATGCGACGGTGAGACAAACACAAAATCAACCTCTGGAGTGTACATTACGTCAGTTTTTGTTTTCTATTGGTTTCCAATGACTTCCCTCACGAACATTGCAGTAATTTCTTTAGACAGGTTACATGCGACATTTCTTCCATTCAAATATCGAGTTATCCAAACATGGGTCTACTGGGTAACAGCTGTTTGTGTCTGGGTTTCAGCTGCGATGGTATCAACTCTTATTGTGACATGGCAAGTTAACCTCCTTGGGAAAGAATGGACCCATTTTTTGTTTTTATGGCAGTCATACTGTTGTTTGTGTCTATTTGTTATCTGTGTTTCATACGCTTCCATTGTCATTAAATTTCTTTGTGGGACGCATCCTCAGCAACACGGTGCAGCTAACAGACAAAAAAAACTGACTGTGACACTTTTCATAATGACTATTGTATCGTTATTGATATGGCTACCATTTGCTATAGGATCTTTCGTCTATCTTACATCTAATAGTATTTGCTCCCTTTATTACCTAAAACACTTAAATGCACTGTATGCTTTACTGGTGTTATCTTATGCAAAGTCGCTCGTTAATCCCTTCATTTACACAATCAGAATGCCAGAGTTCAGAAAAGCTCTTCTGATGTTATTTAAACGTCAGCAAAAACAAGATGCTGCTATGATTCGTCTTCAAGCCCGTTAGTGTACCTTGGCACCCTATTTAAGGAAATATGGATTCTGGAATTCGGAAAGATTTTGCTTATGAAATCCGGAATCCAGGGCTTAGAATCCTGAATTCAGCTCAAGGAATCTGGAATTCCACAAACGATGTGAATCAGGAATCAAGTACCTGGACACCAGAATCCAAGAGTGGCTGTTTTGTATTGCATTTGATGGGACGAACCTTAAATTACACTATTTATTGTAACGTCAAGATAATTTCAAACCATATCGGCGACCTTATTACTCTAAAAGCTACTTATTATAAAAGGCATAGCTTTACTACTAAGTTTGGAGTCGATAAAATTATAAATAACGTTTTGATACCGTTTTCAGTTACTAAAGATATGCTTTTGCAATACTGTGAAGTGTTACTGCCATGTAAATACAGCAAGTTATTACCTACTTCAGCGCAAGAAAGATCATCGTGGCAACTGCAGAAGTTGAGTCTCCGTTGATCATCTTTACGGTTTACGTTAATTCTTTATCTTACTTTCTTACTTACAACCGATTACAAGAACCTGGAAATCGCGCAGTTTTGTTGTTGGAAGAGCAACGTTAAGCAATAAATATATAAAATATATTTGTGAATGGCTCGAAACCAATAAAACCATCGAAAACAAAGTGCATGTTTATATCATCCAGGCAACAAAAAAAATACATACAGAACAAAAAACTCCCCACCCTTCAACAATTTTTCTTATTGTGCGTTCCTAAATCCATGCAGTTTTAAGTGCGCATTAACGTACGAATTAGCTCATGGGAGGCGTTTTTAACTTCAATTGCTAAAAGGGTTGGCTGATTTGTGCAATTTTCAGCCTTTCGTAAGCAATGAGGAAGAAAGTAGCAGCCATTTAAAACCACGAAATTTCTGATTGGCCTAAACGTTAATAAGCCCATACATTCTTTGTAAAGTTTGAGTTTCTAAAGATAATTTCTTAGACAATATTCGGTGTATCGTGCTCAAATTTGCACAGATAACTGAAATTGGAATATTCTTTCAATATTCAGAGAGTTTATTTTATTTGCTTGATCAGAGAATGAAAGATATACGTTAATGAGGCAAAAAATATAAACAAAGATTCACATATACCTTCGCTGCGGAGGCTAAAAATGCAAAAACACCTGCCCGTGGTCAAATAAGTCAGTAATGAACACTGCGCCTCAAATTACAACGTCTACAATCAGTAGATCGTAATGTCAGTTTTTTTGGCCAACTTGGCAAAATATATGCGTATAAATAAAAGTATAAATAGCCTGACTGGACGTGCTTGACTCGCAGAAGTCTCGATTACTCGAGCGACTTATCACTTGGAGTCTATAATAACATTACTTGACCCTTGAAACAGTATTCAACTTTTAGTGTCAAAAAGTTGCAATTAGACAAAATAAAGGGATGAAAACAGAATGTAATAACTATCTATTTCACAGGTAACGTTAAACTATCACGATCTGCTAATAAACTGACAAATTCTGTCGTGACGTTACTATATATACGGGCGTACAAATCAATCAACAGCTACTCTAATGCGACAACCTAAATACAGCGCGCGGCGAATTAAATATTTTAAGCGAAGCTCAAATTAAACCAATAACTATCTTTTTCACAGGTAACGTTAAATCCCTCCAATCAGAAATAATGTTCCATTTATAACTAGAGAGGAAGAACTTTTGTGTCGTGAAAGCTTCAAATTCTAAAAAGTACTTTATTTACAGAAAGGCTTTCAAGAAAAGGCAGAAGACAATAAAAAAAATGGGTCACATAACGAATGAGGCCAACGTAGTTATGATTAAGTGGAAGGGAATGACCTCTCGTGTACCTCTGTCATCCAATACGATTGTGCAGACGTAATTACTTCGTGTTCAGACCTGTTCCTCTTCTAGGTTTTTTGAACGGTACTCCGTAACAGGGGCTACCCTCTACTACTTTCAAGTTATTCTTCTTCCGCGACCAAGGAAGGAAATTTTCAGCTCTCGGATGTAACGAACTATTAAACCCTTAATCGACAACAAATAAAAAGAAAGTGTTTGATTTAAGACAAGAAGTACCTCTGTGTTGTTAAAGGATCAAATTCTTTAATATGGATAAACATAGGAAGGCGTTCAAGAAAGGATGGAAAACAATTTGCAAAATTGGATGACATAACAGGGAAGGGTAAGTTAGTAATAGTTTAAGTCTCCCTCGTGTCACCCGTAATCCAATACGATTGTGCGGATGTAAATACAAGCTCCATGCCCAGGCCTGCATGCATCTACGGGCTTCCCGAAGGACGTGTTACAAATCATTTTGTTCCGCGTCCAGAGTAAGACGTTCTACAGCGCTTATATATACATATACCGGCGGAGTCTTTCCATAGATTGCTGCAAATCCAAACAGGTACTTCAAGTACATTTGCATGGCAGCACAACTATTGCGTACTACTTAGTATCACGCTACTCAACAGAAAATCAATCTGAGCGTTATGCAAAATGTTTTACACGGTCCTGAAAGGAGAACACTAATGTCCCCGATTTTACGTAGTTTCCCGTGAGGGTATTGTAGCCAGGGATCCTGCAGAATGTACTTTCTTAGTGTGATGAACCTCTTACTGCCTTAATTTATCAGACAATTTTATATTTTCAAAGCCCCGATTTCAAAGTTTGCGACTACGTTGTAACAGATCTTGGATCTAGAGAGTGTGATATTTCGAAAATGCTTCACTAATCGTTTGTGGATCTTACGGGCAGAAAACACTAACCTGGTCCGATGAAAAGTTATGTCATTCAAGTTTTTTCAAACTTTGGTAACAGAATTTAGTTCACTATAATTGGTGCAAATTGACGCCTGGTACAGCATGCGCCGATTTGAAAAGGTTAACAATTTTAGTGTTCACGTTTCGCAAGTTAACAGGGAACGACCATTAAATTTTGTTGGGCTTTGTTCCATTAACTACTTTTTGCAAATTGCAGTTTACACTTCTAGGATAAAATGTCTCTGACTGTAGTGCTATGCTACTTCAGGATTCTCATTACACGTCATTAATTTCAGGAAACCGGCTCAGCCAGTGGACTTAGCACTAGGAATTTAAGGATCTTTAAGCCTCCTTTTCGTTGGGAAAGGGGTAAGACGACAGAGTTAATTATAGCCTAAAACTGCTTTCCGCACTCGATTGCCAAGCCGCCTATTTTTGCAGATCTTCTTTAAAACCCAAAAAGATCCTGTCAGTGGCTGAAAACGCATCTTATTATTTTTTTTGTTACCTTTTAAAGTAGCCGGCGGGGTCATGGTCGTACCCGGGGGAAATTCCTGGCCCCTGACCCTGAGTAACAGCCTTGAGCACAGTTGCATTTGATGATCTGTTTTGGACTCATGAATGTCGAGAATGTTTACTTTAAGATTGAATGAGTTGTGTAAATGAATTATAACAACACTTGCATCCATACTTTTAGACGGTGCAGACTAAGCTCATATTTTGAGCATAACTGATAATGCGGAATTTGTTTCCTTAACCCACTCCTACGCACGTGACAACAAGAGGGGAAAAAAACACTTTTATGGGTACATATGGGTTATTGGCCGGTTGTTCATTCAAGCATGAAACGTTTATTTGTTAATTGTTAATTTTGAAGTGTAATTTTGAAATGCAATTAAACATTCTTTACCCAGAGCGTGCTTCTTGTGGCTTGAAACTCGCTGGCATTGACAGAAACAAGTTAAAAACCAGAAAAGCCAGAGGGAGATTGGTGAAACAAAAAATGTGTTCCTTTAAAATGCGAGGGGCAGTTTTTCTCGCTCTCCTTGGGCATGTAATGGGTAAGTTACAAACGCCCCCCTATTATTATATATTGACGGAGCGAACTCATTTTCATTTTTAAATTGAGTCCTTTTAAGCCAACCCCTTCTGACAAAATTTGAGAGGCTTCGACTTTTATTATAAAAGTTGTTGATACAATTTTATTTAAACATATTTTTTCAAGTATTCATTGAATCTATAGATATCACTTAGTAAAAATTAAATATTTAATAAAAATCGCTATATACAAATATGATGAAAATATGTATTTGATCAAGAAATATTGCTTTGCTAATTACACTGATCTAATTATACTGATACATTTTCATTATAATTCGCTTGATATTATTTTGGGACAACATATTTATTATAATTCTAAATAAGAACTCTAGGGTGAACGGATATTTCTCTTGCACGGTGATCTTTGCTCTTGAATTTGAGAAAACACGGAGTCACAACTCTTGATGACTACACCAGTGAATGGAAGGGTCGAAATCAATGAAGCATGGATCGTTTCCAAATTGTTGGGCTCGTAGGTCGGCAACTCTGGTCGGGGTCGGGGTAAAAGTGATTGGCCATTAAAATCAGCGTGCTGCTTGGACTCTCGGAACTCAATGAATGAAAAGGTACCTAAGAAAAGAAACCTTGCTTCTTTGGTGTCTGGAACCGCTTTTCGAGGGTTCAGTATGCAGTTCGGGAGTATGCCAGTTTTGGAAGAAGCGAAAACAATGGTCTACGTCGCCAACCATAACATGATCACCATGGCGATGACATACAAAATGGCGGACAAGGGAGAGGAGAAGAACGAGTATTGACCAAAATTCTCGTTTATTCTTGTTTTATCGAGCCTTTTATTTGTCTTTTTGTTACTATGAATTGGGAAGTACCTTGAGGACTGGGAGTAACCATTCTTGCGCTATAGTTCTTCGCTTATCGCGCGCTTAGTAGACACTGCGTACTCACTGCGTATGTAATCAGTACATAAAATAGGTAAGCACGCTAACAAGTTTGTGCCTATTTATTTCATCATTTTTTTATATCATAAGGAAAAAAGAATGCTTTGGAAACAACTAAAAAGTGAGTTGTTCTATAATTCATTGTAATTTTTCCCGTTGCATCTGTTTCTCTCCCGCGAGTGAGCGACTGGCCGGAGAAGACGGCTGTAATTCAGGTTATTGTTTTGGTGCAAGCGAGTCATTTATGAGTAAAATATCTGTTTTTTCGAATATGATGTTCTGTTGGTTTATGTCTTGAAGCAGTTCCGTCCAGGTATACAACAGGTTTACAAGGGATTTCTGAGGGTATTGTGCCCGCGTTTTCTTCTTGAAAACCCACAAAGTGAAAATCTTACTTATCATCCCTGATCATTTTTTTTTGTCCCGCTTCAAAAAAACCTATTACTTTCAATTATTCCACTTTCTGAAGTTAACTGATTATTTGGTCAAGCTTAACAAATGCAAGAGGCTCTTAAGAATTTAATATACATATTGGAAAACTACGAATTATGCTTGTTACATGCTTTTGGATCTATTGATTAAAATGGGATACTATAGTCTTGTAGTCCACCGGATTTGACCAGAGGTCAGAGATCAACAAGGTTATGGTTCGTTATAAAATATCCTCTTGTATGGGATTTGATGTTACATCCGAATAATACTAAATTATTGTTTTTAACTCTGGGGTTGCCTTTAAACCAAAGGCATTGTAACTTTGAGGAGCACTTTCTCCAAGTCTTCTCTGTGGGGACGCTTAAACAATTTTATTAGACAAGGTTTGGCCCAAAATAATAATGATTACTGCCCTTGGCATGGACACAACATAAGTTTTCCAAAGTTCTTTTTCATAGCCGGTTCTTCATGTTTCTATTGAACAGCACTTTCAAGAAAACAAAGCTCACACATCAGAGTAAAGATACAATAAAAGTTATTTATTGTTATATTTTGTTTTTTGTAAATAAACATTTCATTTTAGGTCCTGACAGTTAATTCTTTCCGTATTACTGTTTTTGATTCTGACCTGCATGACTCGCTGCCATGGCTACCTGGCTCGCATATTATACACACTCTTTTATCTCAAAATCTTGTTTTTTTAACACCTTCTTGGACATGAAAACCAAAATCCAAAACTTAATTGATATAATGAAGACAGTAGCAGCTGACATCGATTTTCAATAGTTATCTTGTGAGATGTCTCTCATGTATTATTTATTAGGGAGGATGATTTGTAGAAGACGATGCATTAACATACATGCTTTTTCATCAAGAGAATCTCAATAATTTAGGATTTATTCAAATACACACATATTCGATATTATGACATCAAATGTGGGCTTATTGCTCATGTACAGGGATTGATGGGGGAGAGTGTGGCATTTTTCATGTTTCAGATTGACCTTTTGCGCAGCACAGGGACTGAACATATTATGTATTTGGCATCTGTAAAGTATAAACAATATTTGACGCGAGGGATTGAACATTATGTAGAGAAAATCTTCACAAGCCTCCACTTCCATGACTCCTTGCTCATCTATCTCCTTTAAAGCCCCTTGAATAAGAGCCACAGTCTCTTCTATGGTTGAATGGTCATTGAGTGTGAGCTTCCACTCACAAGGTATATAAGCCCCCCCTCCAACCTGTTTCCCTCTCAGGGTGCAAATAAAATCATTTTTACAGCTTGCCATTCGGGCAAGCTGAAGCTAGCATTTACTAGCCCAGACGTCATTTCAACTAGCCCCAAAAACGTTTTGTTCTTCTGTTATTCAAATTCCCCATAAAACATCACTTGCCCGTCGGGCAAGTTAAAAACAGAATTCACTAGCCCGATAGCAAAATCCACTAGCCCCGGGCTGTCGGACAGTACTTTCTTTGCACGCTGCCTCTTACCCATTTTTGAAAGGGTCAAAGGAGGGACTTTTGTGGTGGGTAAGCCTGTGACCACACTACAAAGAAACAAAAAAACATGATTAATTTTATTGAGGTAGGGTTGAATTTGGACATTAAATTTTTCATTACAGTGGAACATAAGGCGAACCTAAAGCAATATTTTGCCCTCAGAGCACAAATATGTCGTTCTGAAGAAATTTAGCATTTTGTCTTCCTGGTTGCTTTTCCCAGCTTTTTGGCACAAACGCGACAACATGTTTGTAATATCTCCACATGTTTGTCTACATTTTTGACGGAAATCCTGATCAAAATAAAAGAAATCAATGTAAGTACCTACTCACACTGATTTAAAACTAATTCCACACACATGATCTGGATCAATAAAGTGATTTCTAGATGAGAGTCGCATAAATTGCCGGTGAACACGACCAAAAACAGACCTGATCGATTATAACTGAAACTACATATACAGGCTAAGGCATAACCATCAATATCAGTAACCCTTCCTGTCCGTTGGCAATTTTCAATGTGTGGTTGCCATTTTTACTAGGTTGTTGCCATCGATGAAACTTTGCCTGAACACACTTTAAACGTTGTAGTTTTGAGGAAAATTAGTCTTGACTTCGTAAAAATTCGGCAAGATACTGAAAACTAAACATCAAGTCATGTACTTACATTCGATACCCGTCAAGATGGCGGCGGCGGCGTCGAAGGCCATTTGAAAACTGTCGCTTTTAACTACCGAAATGTGGCAGGAAAGTTCCCTTGACATTCAAAAAGCAAGGAGAAGGCTTCTTCACCGGTACTGCTAGCTCGGAAGTCCCGGATATTGAACGAGGAGAAGTGGAACAGGCTTTGAAAAAAGCTCCCTTGTTTCTTGCGATTATTTTTTCCTATTTTTGCGTGTTTTGAGCAGAACAATGGAATCATGACGTCATCGCTTCTTCCAAAACTGGCATACTCCCGAACTGGTATGTATTTTAGTGCAGATGGTCAGTAACCGGTGAAAAGTAGGCTTGGAACTTCTTCCTGCCCCACACCAGGGATATAAGGCTACTCTCGAAGTCTATTAGTAAGTACTTCGTCTCTGGTACCTTCAGAGACTAGGATACATAGGCGATAGGTCGTTCGTCTTCCTCTGGTGTGCGGTCTGACAAGACGGCAACCAGATCGTACGAAGAGTGTGACCAGCAAATCAGGGTTGGGGTGCACTTGGGCTTTGTCTTGATATCCTTAATCAATCTGAAGATAGCTGCTTCTTCCTACTACATTGATCAATGTGGCGGAGAGCAAGTTGAGTGGCAAAATAGTAGCTATGTCGCATCCTGAGCTTTTGTCATCTCAGCAGTGGTCCTTACTTACTTGAGAAATTGATGCAGTTCTTCAGTCGATATGACATGTCCCAAACACTACACGAATCCCCTTTAGAAATTTGCGAGGCTCTTGCGGTTGGCTTTCAAGCTAAAAAATTTCTCAGGCCTCCTCAAAAACGCTACCACACTCAGGGTATTCTTCAATAGTGCAGTCTGCCATAATATTCCTTCCAAGGACCTGGTCCATGGCCCGCTACCAGATGGCTGTTGCTGAAGCTATACAATAAGGCGAACTTTCATGATGTTACGAACCTCGCTCTGTATTGATGATAAGGAATGCATTTAAACGCCATTCAATTTCCATTTGCAAGTAAGGATGACGCCGGTCATGAACGGCCTCCCGTGCCCTTGTATGAATTCAAAACTCCGCTGCGTTTGCTTACTAACAGGCGAGCTTAAATTCTTGACATCTGAAAGTTTTGTGTTCTAGGAGATGCCAAAATTGATTTGTATACCTATTCATCTTATAATATGATTTGTAAACCTATAAAGCTGACGACGTTCTGGACTATAAATCAAATCGATCGAAGAAGAATAGCACGCTTTCACCGTAAAACTTTCTTTCCATGAGTCAACAGCAACTAGAAGACTCCCTAGAACCATTTTTCGGAGGAAAGCACGAGTCCGCCCAGATAAGCCCTGTTATTTGCCTGTAGAGCAGTTTTGTAAATTTTATTTTAAAAATACTGTTTAAAACTTGAAACTTGAATCTTGCAAAAGTTTGAGGGGCGAACAAGGAGTATAAGAGATGTGGTGATGAGATCCTGTAGAATGGAAGCAGGAAGAAGGTAATTAAATAATTACTTCATTTACGGTATGTTGGCAGATTAAAAGTCATGTTAATTAATGAAGTATTAAATTATGCGATAATTAAACCGAAAAGCTTACCTGCCTGACTTGTATCTTTGTTGAGGATTTAATAGCTAAATATTAGACAATTTATGAAAAAAAAAACCCTTTTATAATCACTAGCAAATGCTGGCATCAACTGCAGCTTTGAAAGCAACCTCTGCACTTGGACTCAAGACAAAACAGATCAGTTTGACTGGACTCGGAAATCAGGTTCAACATCTTCACCCTCAACTGGACCCTCCGTGGATCACACAACAGGCACTTGTAAGTACAGTCAAACTTGTATTAAGCAGTCACCTATCAATTTCCCGATAGTTGCTTCCCACATTTTCTGCAAATTTGACCTCTCTTCAACGGTCACCTCTATTAAGCTGACGCGGTCTCCGTTTGGATTTCCCAAAGAACTAGTTTCATTGTAATTTCCCTCTGTTAGATGGTCACCTCGTTACATAACAATCAATCAATGACATTTTTTTTTGACTGGAAGATAAGCGAAGTATTTCCATTTTCTTTCACAGGCCATCAAACACAACCAACATTGTAATCTAGGTATTAAATACACGTCTCTATCTTCATGTTGTATAAGGTTTTAAAATTAATGATTTGCTTAATCGTAAAGACGCCTGCAGCCTCACGGACGACATTGCCTCGTACCCAGACCTCTCTCTCTCTGTCAATGAAATTTTGCCCGCAAAGGAAGGCGGGAAGGAGAACTTCTCCTCCCTTCTTTACTCTTCCCATGGTCCCTTGCTGGATTATTGTCGCCCCCCACGCCCCACTCCGGGTAATATTAAAAGCACCGACATGTTTTTTTGTATACTTTTAGCAAGTGGATGGTACATATTTATTGAGACATCTTGGCCAAGGAAGCCAAACGACACAGCAAAGCTTATAAGTGCAAACGTCCCCGGCGGCAGTGCTGGTGGCGGAAAATGTTTGTCCTTTTGGTATCACATGTATGGAGCACACATCAATGCCCTCAGAGTGTATGTCAGGAGTGATTCTAAAGACACGCTTTTGTGGTCAAAGACAGGGACGCGTGGAGACAAATGGCTTCAGGCTGCGCTCACAGTCAATATCAGGACTTATTTTCAGGCGGGTTTTTATTGATCAATTAAAAAAGGATTTTTGAGAAATTGTAAATGCCCAGACTAGGAATATGTTTGAATAACTTGAACTACTTGCAAAATAAGACAGTACGTCTTTACCACATTCGACGCACGTATAAGAAATGTAAAATGTAACAATATAAATGTTCTAGAATTTTTACAACCCTCCAAATATATTTCGCTCTTCGAGCCTCGTCAGCCAACAAAATGTTCATGTAAGATGCACTGAAATAGTCTGCTTGTTCACCACTGTCATGTAAGCGAACATGGTACACTCTATTTCACGTGGTCACGCGCGACTACTAGCGACAAGGTTTCAAAATCAGAGTGGTAGAAAAAGCTGGTGTTGCGATTAAAAATTTACTTCAGAGGTCAGATCCGTTTAAATCACGAAAATGTGAAAGAGGGGATTGCCCAGTGTGTAGAGAAGATGGGAAAGGACCGTGTGATAGAAAGAGCGTGACTTATGACATAAAATGTACTGAGTGTAATGACATTTATATCGGAGCGCGTATATTAGAGGAAAAGAACATATAAAGTCATTGGCCAAAAAGGAAGAGAAGTGAGTCTTATGGAAGCACTGTAATGAGAAACACAACAGTGAAATGCAGAAATTTGAAATGAACGTTACCGTTTCTTACTCCAGCGACGCCATATTGAGGCACATATCGGAGGGTGTTCGGATCGATCAAGTACCGGAAGGCTCGTTGATGAACTCTAAGAACGAACGGAATTATTTCCGCGTTCCACGCGCGGTAGTCGCACGTGACCACGTGAAATAGAAAACACCATGTTGGCTTACATGACACTGGCGAACACGCAGACTATTTCAGTGCATCTTACATGAAAATTTTGTTGACTGACGAGGCTCGAAGGGCGAAATATATTTCGAGGATTTTAAAACTTCTATAACATTGATATTTTTACATTTCACATTTCTTATATGTGCGTCGAATGTGGTAAAGACGTGATGTCTTATTTTGCAAGTAGTTCAAGTGAAAAAGAATTGCATTAAAGTCTTTATTGCAAAACTTGACGAGCAGTTTGGAGTTGTAGTTAAATTTACGAGAGAAATGAATACACAGGTAATAGCTTTGTACTTCAGTCCCACTAGAAAAAAAAAATGCACAAGGAAAAAAAACAAAAAAGTAAAATAACGAAAATTAATGAGGACGTAGTAAATACAGTAGGCTTTGCAAGGTTGCTTCCTCGGACAGTCTTGGCGGCAAACCGTTTTATTGTTAGATGTCATGTAGCCTCCCACGCAGACGTTCTTAGGGGTTCGTCACGAGTCTGCGTAGGAGTAGGAGGCTATGTGGCTATATGTCTTGTGGCCGCACAAGGTGGGAAGAAATATAGCAACAGTGACTGTTCATTTTCTAAACAGGTTGTATTTGAGGGTGTTCGTGGAACAAGCTATCAAGGTGATATAGCAATTGACGATATTGTTATGAAAAATGCTGTCTGCCCACCCCCTAAAGCGTGCTCTTTTGAAGATGTTAAAATGTGTGGATGGACGAATGACAAGAGGTAAATTCATACAAGTAGCTTAAGGAATTGAGTGGGCTTCTTGCATGTGTAAATCCCAAGATTTTCTGAATTGGTCAGTGCTTCAAAAGTATTTCCTGGCTACAAACAGACAAGGTGTCTAAATGATCAGCTGGGCTAATGTTTCTTTTCTAATATGAAAGACAAGCAAGTAAATTATTCAATATGATTTTCAATTTTGAGCTATTTCTTCGGAGCTCCACTTTAAAAAACCAAAGAAAATCTTATTTTTAAAAAAACCAATAGAGAGGAGAAGTCGTTACTTCATGTTGCCATGGTAGCAAAATTTTGGATGTTAACAAACCGAAAATTCACTTAGAAAGTAAATTCTCAATGTTTGAGACTTCATCGATCTTATTCAGTTTCATTTGATTTGTCAAATGTTAGCGAATTTTCTGGATTTAATCCGAAAGGACCGTATCTGAGTTTGAAAAAGAAAAAAGAAACTTGTGTTGTGTTCACCTACTCAGTAACACTGGTGCGTGAAATTAGGAAGTCGCATGTCGCAGTCGCGCAACGACCGATAAGAAGTGTACAAAACGAGCATGATACACATGCAAAGTTGTTGTTTTGCTAATCTAAACCTATCGGTTGTTTTCCCGTTCTCGTTACTGTCGTCGTCGTCGTTTCTTAATCTCGACCCTATTGTTGTAATCACGAAACTTGGCTACCATGGTAACTTGACGTCACACTTCTCCTCTCTATTCTGGCCTAACCTTACAAGTCGAAATATCTGTAGCAAAAGAGCTTCAGGTTCACTTTTTAGCCAACTATGCCACCGTCTTGGTATGTCAAAGTTTGCTATACCGCCTTGATATCCAAGCCACCCCTCTTTATTTTTCTTTAACATTTTATAGATGCGATCCTACACTCCGCAAAACAAGAACAGTGCAATTTCATTCGAGTCATTTTCAACAGTTTGTCCTTGCAATCAATTTGTGTTAAATGAATAGAACATGTTTCTTTGTATGGTTGTTTTAGAGAGATGTTGGAAAAAATAACTGAAAAAAAAGTAACTGACTTCATAGGGGTAAAAAAAAATGGATGAAAAACCATAGCTCATGTTTGTACTAGGTTAAAAATCGGCCAACTGGCCGCTGACGAAACCAGTTTCCTGTTTACAAGAGCAATGGAAGGGTTAAACTCGGGAATACCGGGAATAAGTCTAGCTAGCTAGCCATTGGGGCGAGAATTGAATTCGGGTTGTCCTCCCCGATTATAATTCCAGAGATCTAACCACCCAGCCACACTGCCTCCCAGAAACGTAGCAACTGACCTCCAAATATACGTTTTAGTGATGTGGTCTGTCTTTTGTAAAGTAATAGAAATGTCTGCTTAGACAAAGTCGATTATATTTAAATTCTGGTTGAGTTCCTTTCTTTGATAATAAACCCGGTGTCTCTTTGTTGGTAATTTTTTAGTGCTGATGACTTTGATTGGACACGCCAAAGTGGTTCAACATCAAGTAGAGGCACTGGCCCTGCAAATGACCACACCTATGGAACAGCGAGAGGTTATTACATGTACATTGAAACCTCTTCTCCAAGAAGGCCAGGAGACAAGGCAATGCTTATGAGCCCCAAATATTCAACAACAAAGGGAAAATGCCTTCAGTTCTGGTACCACATGTATGGAAGCCACATAGGGACGCTTAACATCCGTATAAAACGCATGGTTCTTGGAACGCCCACGTACTTTTTGACATGGTCTAGATCAGGCGGTCATGGAAATAGCTGGTGGATTGCTCAGGCACAGCGGAAAATCTTTCAAAATAAGCAATGAAACATTATCATCAAAACAACAAAAACTTTTGATCTTGTTTCAGAAATATAATGTATGCTTTATTTCATAATAAGAATCAAGGCTTACCGACATTCATTGTTTGGTGTGAGTGAAAGAATGTAACTGAAAGAAGATCAACTTTTTTTCTCAATAGTCCGAGGCAGTCTTCATTATATATTAGGATGTTAGAGAGACAATATTTCTTATGCTATGCATCTGCTTTTATTTAACCTTCTTTTAGAGTTTTCTCGTGATCTTGTCAGTAAAAAAAAAAGGTATTATTCCCCGATAAAACGGCCACTTGCGGTCATAGACGTTTGGCTGTGTTAACTGAGTGGTCATATTACCGGGTAGTTTCTTATTTCAAGGCTTGTTTCTTTGCTCTCTTCAGTCTTACTACTGTAGAGTACAACTGTTACCTTGCTGGATTTGCCTAATTTACGTATTAGGTAGGATTCGCACACGCCTTGAAGGTCCTTGAAACTGACAGATGGTGCTGGAATGTTCAAGGAAGTCCTGAAAATTTGTGGCTCTCTTATTAACTAAACCCATAATCTCCACTAACTAATATGACATTGAGCCAGTTGTTGGTAGAATTTTAGCAAAACCAAATATTCAAAAACAAATATAAAGGATTATTATTGATTGCCTTGATTTTTCACGACAATTAGGCCTTTAAAAGTAAGGGTTGTCTCCTTGAAAGCAATTTATAAAATTTTGAATTTCTGGTCGCCAAAAGGAAATGAGTCCTTATTGTTTATTCGGAAATGCCCTCAGTTGAAATTAAAAAAAAAAAAACGACATTTCACGAGTCAAATGGAAGTGGCCATTAAAGGGAGTTGGTGTTATGTTTGGGTCAATTATCGGGTTCCTGAAAGAGCCGTTTTAATCGATTCTATTTTGGGCGGAATTCAACTAGCTCCTTAAAGAACATTATAGAGGATAATAATCTTTAACACACTATCCCTGGTTCTAAATTGGTCATGAATGCCTTGCTGAGGTATATATGAAAATTGTTCCTGTACTGAGGGCAACAACAGTGACAGTGTATTAAACAGGCATTTTGCAAGTAATCCCTGACAATGATGTTGTGGTCTTTAGTATTTGCATTGACACTATTTGATGTTTTCTTGTTGGAAGGTGACAATTACATCAATTTCTGACTATTGGCTGGTATTTGAAGGAGTACGAGGGTCCAGTTATCGTGGTGATATAGCCATAGACGATGTAGAGTTACTGGATAATGAATGCCCACCTCCAGGTGATTGTGATTTCGAGGCAGGCATGTGTACTTGGCTCAATGTGCCTAATAATGATAATTTTGATTGGCTTCGTGGGAGTGGCTCGACACCAAGTTCTAACACTGGCCCTTCCACCGATCACTCAACGAACTCATCTGTAGGTAAGTGCTATAGAGAGAATTTTAAAACACTTGCTTTATATTAAGTAACTAACTTTTTCACTTCATCTAGGAAAGCATCCTTCTCTTAGCCATCTTTCTTGAAGTTCCTAAAAGGATACACATTTTCCTTATTTCTTTATTAGAGCGTATTGTAAGCTCAGTTGTTGTTCAGTTTATGCTCTAAGCCCAACCGGGACATTTCCAAAACAAATATTTTCCTAACATGACGTTCGTTTGCCTATACCATTTCATCTCGAAGTAAAAAATAAAAACAAATACCTGAAATACCATTACCTAAATCAAAATAAAAGGAAGTAGATAAAAGAGAATTTACAGGATTACTGTGGGGCTAAATATAAGTTTCAAAAGGGTATGAAATATTATTAGAGATCATATCAGTCAAGGAAATTAAACATAAAATATTGGATTGAAAGAGCATAGCAATATTCGAAAGAAGTGATGAAAGAGGTTTTATAGTTACTAAGATTAAACGAAAATTAGTATGCTATTCTGTTGAGTATGGTTTTTTAATTCCCTCTATTTTCATTTTGCAGGCCAGTACGTGTTCATTGAGACATCATCCCCACGTCAACCGGGTGATATTGCGTATCTCATCAGCGAGCCATTTGATCCAACCAACAGCACTGGTAGATGCTTGAGGTTCTGGCATCATATGAAAGGAGCATCCATTGGCACTTTGAATGTCTATATTTACAACGGTAGTTTCTCTTCCATGTATCTGCTTTGGCAGAGGAAGGGAAATAAAGGAAACAATTGGATGCTTGGACAAACTCCGATAAAAAGCAGTATAAAGTATCAGGTAAAGGTATTATGCCATCAGTAAGGGCTGTGAGATTGTTGTTCTTTTGTTTTGTTTTGTTCTTTTAGTTTATTAGTTCATAACAAAGGCGACGTCGTAATGACGATGGAGTAACAGCTCTGAATCCCTGTATTCTTTCAACAAGACAGTATCATGATGCCTCGTGAAGTGACAGACGACGCATATGGCTTTTCAGTCCGAACATAAGGCTATCCATTCCTGGATTTCATCAATAAACAACATCCTTGGGCAATGACAATTCATGTGTGGCATTTTTAATAGCTCTATTGGGCATTGCATTGTATAAGTTGTGACTGATTCTTCGATTGCATCACACAACCAAGGCCCCGGGGCAAGGACACTGGGATCAACTGGGGTTTCTGGGTAACTGACCAACTACCCCTCCCCTAAGTCAATATTAACTCTTACCTCTCACTTAGGGCAAAATCGTGTCTTAGGGGAGGGGTAGGTGGGCAGTTACCCAGAAACCTCAACTGATCCGGAAACTGTATGTATTTATTTCTTTTTATTGCTTTATTTGGTTTTAAACAGGTTGTGTTTGAAGGAATTCGTGGAAATACCCACACTGGCGATATTGCTCTGGATGATGTATCATTTACTGCTGGTATGGCGAACTGCAGTGTGCAACCGTCTGATGCTCTACCACCTGGAATGAGTGAGTGGCAGTTTTTTGTTCTGATAGTCCTCATGACATTGTTTTAGAAATGTTTTCTAAAAAAAATATTTTCATAGATAAACTTAAATTTATGTAACGTCATCAGCTGGTGTCGCCTAATCCCCATGAAGCATTTTCCCTTCAAATCACGTAAAGCTGGGTCGGCAGAGAAGGCGATAATCCGGTTGCTCTAGGCGCTGCATGTTGATTAAAACACTGAAAGTACAAGTTGCATCAGCAATGGATTGTCTCTACCAGTTCTCTAGCAGGCAATATAGGCAAAGACATGGCAGGCTGCAAAAAGGGAAAGGCTAAATAGAAGAATTATTACGTTTGAACGTTTCCAGGTGCCCTAACGTAGCACGCGGACCGCCGCCATATTATCTGAACTGCACTCCACATGTTTAGTGGCCCATAAGTTGCCCCGTATACGTAAATGGACTGCAAACAACACTAGGAACAATTTTTATATGCGATCGACAACATTAAGACTGCAGAGAGGATGACTACTCACGAAAATCATCATCATCATCATTATCATCATCGGTCGACTGAGGAGCTGTCGACTCTAAGTCGTCTCCAACTGGCTCGGTCCTGGGCAGTTCACACGATGTCAACCTCGGCGAGATGCTTGTTATGGTCTATCAATTCCTGGATTTGGCTGGGAAAGGTGTCCCCTGGGCCTCCTCCCTTTGGAGGGCTCATACAACGCGTAAATTTTTTCGGGTTCGTCTTTCTTCCTGCGCAAAATGTGTCGTGAGATAATTGTTGGGCTAGTGCCAGTAAGATCTTAGGTTCTGTCATTTGATACTCCCTCCAGGCGTTTGATGTTCAACATGATTTTATAGCATGAGGTGGCAAAAGCATTTAGTTTCGCACCCATCTCCTTGGTGATTATACACGTTTCGAAGCCATACAGTAGAATGGATAGACATGTTGTCCTAAAGGGTTACAGATAACAGATCGTTTCGAGGCTTTATACTGAAGACTATGCGAGCACCATCCAACCCTTAATGTCGTTGACACTACTGGTCACCATGGATTCTAGATAGCGTAAGTCGCTAACCTTCATTATTTTAAACTATAAATAGGTATCTCGCAATAAGCCTCGCGAAACTCGGTTTGGTAACGGCACTCAAGTTAAGCCTTGCCGGTCGGGGTTAAGAACTGGATGGGTGACCAACCGCGAATATCGTCTTAAAGGTTCAAACGTTGTTCTTTCTTTTCTTCTTCTTCTTTTTTGCGTATTATGTGGTGTTTCGCACCTCGGTTTTGGGTACTACTCGGGTTGAACACACACCAGGAAAATAATGTCAACGGGATCTACCAGTTGTTTTTGAACTACTTTAATGTCACAATTTCCAATCTCGCGACAGCTAGCTAGATGTGTATATGCGTAGTCAACTGAAAATAAAGGCATACATTGCATTGCTTACTTGTGAATCGACTATAAAAGCTTGATAAATCGAATCTAACTGAAAATGAAATCAGCAAACTTTCTTCAACAAATGTGAACATACTTACAATTCTGTAAGGCGTTATCCCGTGATGACACGGCTATTTCCCTATCTTATTTGAAGAAAAGGTATAAGACACTGTTTTCAATAACAGGTTCTTTCTCACTGATCCTTCAATTTCTCTAATCACGCTAGTCCCACAAGCGAGCTGAAAACTGATTGGCTAAATTCTAAGAAAGAATAATAATCTTGCGTGTCCGGTTTTATCGCTAATAAAAACAATCCAAAAAAAAAAAAAATACCGTGACTCAAAATTAATTACAGCTGTTAACGGAGTGCAAAACATGTGGTGTTATTGTTAACAGTGTATTGAAAAGCAGATTTAGCATTATTTCGGCGCCCGGATTTAGAAAAAGACAAAAACAAAGAACAAATCTGGCCTGGCGCAGTTCGCCGGAAAATTATTATAGTTCGGGCCGTAATACAGAGCTGAAACTTTGCAGACTTTGATCTACATACATCGGCGGGGATGGGTTTTCGACAGTGAACGATCATAATGCCTCTGATTCCAATCTCCTGTTCCTCTGTCTCTTGTTGTAGGCGTTGCCTTTGCTGTGCTAAACGATGTTCCTTCTGCTCCACGGTTTCTTGTTGACGTCTTCTCCTCTCGTTGTTCACGCTTAATTGGAAGTCGGCGTTCTCGCTCCAGAGGAGTTTCGATGGAAAATCTTCCTGGGCGAGGATTTGGAGTCATTTGTTGTGCTTGTGTGTCATTTGCATGGGAAATTGTTCGTGATTCACCGATGGTAAACACATCAAAATGCGCCTTGGTCATCGGCGGCGAAGTCTATGTTGCCTGGAAACGCAAAATGCTCCATGACGTCATTGGCGGATACCAAGCATATATTCAGAGAAAGAAAGATGTATTTATTTATTCATGAAGCCTCGAATTTCGCAGCTGGCGCTTCGCGCGCGACAAGATTACAAAGTCGCTACGCTCGGAATGACCTCATAACCGAGTGCACCTGTGAGCCGGATAGGGCCTGAAACTCTGTTATGGTTAGCCACTGAAGCGAAGGCAAAAAAAATCTAAAACCATCCCAAGAATGGAAAGACTCTCACCATCAAGATTGGTCTAGGCAGAAATCATAGTCAAGCATGATTGGCCAATAATCTTGCTGGAAGGCTGAAAAAACGATTAACCATATTCAAACCGGGCCGTTTTTGCTTCCTACGACCGGGGAGGGGGGCGCGAAGGACCCCTCTATAACGTCAAAACCGCTCGTCTTACTGCCACCAAAATTGCACACAATAATTTACTTATCATTCTACAACTTCTTGGCATAACTTGATTGAATCAATGAGGCAATATGACGTCATTTTGACGTCATATTGTTGAATTTATTTGCAGAATCCAAATTTCCCTCAAAGTAGACATAAAGTGAAAAATTCTTAAATAGTAAGGTCTCTGATAAAATCAAGGAAGTTGGCTAACACATAAATGATATTTAACAATAGCAGTGATGTCATCATGTCGTCATTTGTTACAAAAAGGAACTGGCAGGATCCGCCATCTTGGATCCGCCATTTGGAATTATTGAAATGTATTCCATTCCACTTAAGACTAGCATAGTTCGAGGTATTTTATACATGAAAGTTAATCCAAGTATAAAAGGATGCTTAGGAAGCCAAAAATCGGCAAAATATGAGATTTCGAGAGAAATGAACACTGTTGAAAATTTGACTCAGCAACTGTCATGTGGTCATATTAATTATAAGCTCTTTTTTTTCTTTCTCAAAATAGTCGTTAAAAAGCCTGGATTTCATTAAAAGTTACAATAAGTTTGATAAAATAATACGAAATTAAGTTTCATAGAATAATTCAATCAGTAAAAAAAGAAATAAAACTTATTTTGAAGAGAAAATGCAAATTTTGAAAAACGTGGCTGTCAAATTTCGGTCGTCATGGTAACATCAATGCTGACGTACACGTCACGGCGACTTTAAAATGTGCCCAGACAATTTTTAGGAAAAGTCGCTAAATGTGGTGGTCCTAGCTTGAATGCTTTGGAAGTTTTTCAATTTTGAGGCGCCATTTATCAAAGGACTAGCGCCATGTGCCGTCATTCCACGAACAGCAGAAATTGGCAACACTGGTTAACTGTTTTCGAGCTGGAAATTGGGCTTTGAAAAACAAGCTTGTTCAGGGCATTGTAAGGGTGTGGGTACATAAGCGACTGGTCCACCACGTCTTGTTGTAAAATTACCAAAAGATTAACCTGCTAAGTATGGAAGTGGCAGATATGTGATTCTCGAAGAAGAAATCGCTTTGTCGATAACCCAAATTCCCGTCAACAAGCATGCCCATGGCGTTTATGAAAGACACTCCAACGTTGCCGCCTGGATTCATGACAAGGCGTTGCCTAAGGCTTAAGACAAAGCCAGGACAAGTTTCTGCTCAGATATTACAAAGGAAGGCGATCGAGGTAGTTGCGATAACATGTGGAGTCAATGACGTTCTACCAGCATCCAAATAGGAAGAAGCTGGGGAAGACAGCTGGCTAGAATCCAACATACAGGGTGAGCTGTTGTTAGTCTAACAGCCCAACTGAAACTGTGAGACATTTGAAGTAAAAAATGAGAACACTAGTGTTTAACGCTGAACGAGAGAGGATAGCCACTTGAAAGAGCTTCAAGTTCAACACAACACTGTCACACCAAAGGCTGCAACGCACTTTGGCAGGACCAGCAACTGGAGTCCTGTCAATTGAATTATACTTCACTGCATTAAATTCCGTTTTTCTTTTTTGATATCGTGGGATGTTTTGACATGGCAACAAAATACAAATATTGTTTGTCAGGTGCAATTGCGTAATTAATAATTTCATGGGACAGTCTAGGGAGTATAACAAAAGCACTTAAAGTAGTACATTTATTGTTTGTTGATGGATATTAAAAATCAGGAGCATTAACATGCACTAAAACTAAACAGCTGTGCAGATTTTCTGCCTTTTCTGTTGGTATCTTTCTAGAAGATTAAATAACATAAAGCTAGACAATTTATGAAGAGAAAAAAATTTCTCTGCAGCAAGCGTGGGTTTTAACTGCACCTTCGAAAGCAGCCTCTGTAGTTGGACTCAAGATAACACCGATCAGTTTGACTGGACTCGGACATCGGGCTCAACACCTTCACTTTACACTGGACCTTCTTTGGATCACACAACAGGCACAGGTAAGTGACTGTTTTGAGCTCATTTACTTTATTCATGGATCGGTACTCTACCATTTTAGCTAGTAATTTTACCTAATAGATAAGACATTAGGGCCATTTATACGAGGAAAAATAAGACGCGTCTTAAATAAGACACGAACTTTCCGTATAAACGGCACATTTCGTCTAAATAAGACACGACTTAGCTAAGACGCGTCTTATTTTAGAACAGCCCTTAAAACCTGTTCTTAGATAAGACGCGTCTTAGCTAAGACGAGAAAAACTTCGTATAATGACCTTCGCGTCTTACATAAGACGCGAATGCATAGTACGCATGCGCTAATTTTTGGCGGGAAAATTATTGCTTGCCCCGCGGTGGATTGGCAGGTTACTGGCGGGGAAAAATTGTTTACAAATTACAACGAGTTTTCGTTTCCTTGTCCAGTCTGCTTTATTTGTTTTCTTCGCTCAAATACAATGAGCACGCCGTTAAAGGTAAAAAGTAACACTTGGTCCATCGCGGAGGAAAAATATTTTTTGTTATTATGTAAGGAGAAGGCGATTATAGACCTCCTGGACAAATTCGTGACATCTGCTGGTGTAAGTAGACCCTTTTAACTTTAACGTATCACAACTTATATTTACTAAATAATCAAATTGCTATCTTTGTATTATAAACTTACACTTTAAAAGTAAGTTTAAGTATACAGAAGACTTGTATAAGACATGCTCGTATAAATGGTCCAGTTCGCGTCTTATTTAAGACGCGTTTTATTTTTCCTCGTATATAAATGGCCCTATTGACTGAGCCAATTCACTTCTGTCTCCATCCTTAATTTGAGCACTGAATCTAACTTAAATTTTATCTTTTAAAAGCGATGTATACACTTGAAAGAAAGCAAAAGAAAACGGCTTGCAGAAATGTTAGTAACAACTCTAGGTGCCGATCAGGGAGGTGTTCATTATACAGATCTCTAAATTATGATTTATTTGCTGTGTACCTTGACCCCTTGAACAATCCTTGTTAAAGGTTTAAAAAAAGAAGTTATTGCCTTTCGCTCTTCTCATGTTGCAAAAAGATATTGCTCTGTATGCAATGGATAACGCAATTGGTTTTCCTAATACTTCTCCACTGGATAGTGATTTATCAGTGAGTACAATACACCCTTATTGATGCATGCCTTTTACTCTAGTGTGAAGTTACTCGTTTTCTACTCTATCCCTCCCATACTCAAAGTTGATTCTGCATGGGGCTGTGCTCAGGGTAAGGTTTCAAAAGTAGTTGGCCCTCAAAGTTGTTTCAATAGTGTGAAAAGCACAATACTTGCTGCTTTATTTTTGTCAAGGTTTCATTTGTTGGGGAAAAAGGGGACTTGAAAATAAGGGACGTTCAAGCGCTTAATTCAAGTCCTGGGAGAGCATTTGATCCAGGACTGTCAAATTCATGATAGTTAGAATATTTAAAAACCTTTTGGTTAGCACTATGTTTTAACTGTACTCTCCTCGCTATAACAGTCTGTCACATTTATATATATATATATTTTTTGCGATCTACGAAACGCGGTCTTTTGCGATCTTAAGAAACGTCACCATCTGATCAGAGTGGAATACCACAATGTTAACAAACTAGTTTAACAGAGCAGTGTCAACTTTAAAGCTCTCAATACATTCTGTTGTACACTTTCAGCGAGTGGATGGTACATATACATTGAGTCATCTTTCCCAAGAAAACCAAATGACACAGCGAAGCTTATAAGTTCAATTGTCCCCGGCACAACTGTTTATGGTGGAAAGTGTTTGTCGTTTTGGTACCACATGTATGGAACACACATCAGTACTCTTAGTGTCTATGTAAGAAGTGGTTCTCATGACACTTTTCTGTGGTCAAAGGCAGGAACGCATGGAGACAAGTGGCTTCAGGCAGTAGTCACAGTCAATAGTAGGACTCATTTTCAGGTAAGACTTAAATTTTGGCAAGAAAAAAATTCTGAAAAAAAAATATTTACACGGACTTGCAGTGTCAGGGAATAGGCCATGGAAACGGAGAAAGAGGAGTCATAATATGCCTGTACAATTCAGTCACCGTCCACTAACCCTCACCCTCTGACGTCACAGATTTTCACAGATTTTTTTTCTTTCGCGTTATCAGGCTTTTGGGGGAACCAAATTAGTTTTTAGACGTGGCTAGACCTCTCGCGCTGAAGTTGAAGAACTAAAGCTTTCTTAAAAGTTACTGTTTATTTTTTGTTCAGGTTGTATTTGAGGGTGTTCGTGGTTCGAGCTTTCAAGGTGATATTGCAATAGATGACATCGTTATCAAAAATGGTTTCTGCCGACCTGTAAAAGGTTGCTCATTTGAAGATGTTCAGATGTGCGGATGGACAAATGAAAAGAGGTAAATTGATTAATTTTGTTTGTGTTAGCCTGTGGTATTGTTTAAGAGTATTATTTAAGCCCCGAACCAATAGTTTTTGCTACAAAACTGAGCTACTAAAAGGAGTAGCTGGGTATCGTTGTATTTTCTAATTTGAATGGCCAGCAAACAACACTATTAAAAGAAAACCACTAAAATAGCAGGAGCTGTCTTGCTTTTGGTCCACCTTATAAAGGTGTCCGTTTAAGGAAATTTGACGACTTTTTTTCAATTATGGTTGAATTTCTTACTTTGGTTTTAAACCTGGTGTCCGTTTAATTTCTTGATAATGTTTTAGTGCTGACGAATTTGATTGGACACGTCAGAGTGACTCGACATCAAGTTCCGGCACTGGCCCTACAAATGACCACACCTATGGAACAGCAAAAGGTTATTACATGTATATTGAAACCTCTTCTCCAAGAAGGCCAGGAGACAAGGCAATGCTGATGAGCCCAAAATATTCATCAACAAGAGGAAAATGCCTTCAGTTCTGGTACCACATGTATGGAAGCCATATAGGGACCCTAAATGTTCAAATAAAGCGCATGGTTCGAGGAAAACCTAAATACATTTTGATGTGGTCTAAATCAGGCGATGATGGAAATCGCTGGTGGATTGCTCAGGTACACAAAGAAATTTTTAATGAAAGTTAAAGACAACTACAGAAATGATTTTGTCACAGAGGTGCGTACTTCCATCATAAGAGCAATTATAATGGCAGTGGTTTCTGAAAGAGAAGCCTAGAAACGGGAAGAAGTTCACTTTTTCTTTCAACAGTCAAAGACTTTATCTATAACACAATCAGAATATGAAAGGCATTAGTGAGAAACAGGTATTGTTGTGGCTATAAACATGTCTTACTCTGCTCAGAGGGAAAATTACATGAATATTATTAGATCAGTTATCAAGAAAGCATTCGTATTAGGGAACCTTGTTCTACGACCAGAAACAGGTTACAAAAACTTGGGTGGTTTTAGTTTGCTCTTTAACCATTTTAAGGTAAGGTCGTCATCATTGACGAACTTGTCAGGTTTCCCATGCCACATTTCATTTTTATTTCAAAATAATGATTCAAAGGCTTCAAATTCCTATGAACTGCAGTTGGTGCTAGAACCTCCTTGAAGTTCTTTGTGCTGGCAAAATTATTGCAACACAAAATCTTAAAACAGAATCTAACGAGAATATCATTGTCTCGATTTTGCACAGCCTGGAGTCCTTGAATTGTGTCCTTGAAATTGGAATTCCTTGAAATATCAGTAGGGTATGGGCTTATACAGGTAACTTTTAGGGCGTGAAACGTTTTTGGCCGAGCAGAGTGTGGACCCGAGGGGGAGTGGGCTGAGGGGCAATTGGACCCGACGGAGTCGGTTCGTGGGATCGCGTTTGGAGGGGTGTCAAGCGATCAAGAAACGAGCGTGGCGCGTGGAAATTCGTGTTAATGTGTGAGTTAAGCCCCATTTATACGACATTCATTTTGGGGTCGGCACTCCTAAATTTTGGCAAGCGGACCGTAAATCTAGGGCACGGCCTGCGTCATTTACTCGACAAAAATGAGTTCGATTTGTTTCAATGTTTATTTCGGGAAGGTACCCCTGAAAGGAAAGGCACTCTTAAAATATTGAGCCATCAGGCATTTTTACAGCAGTTCCCGAAGGCCTTGACATAAAATTCCTGCCAAACATCACCCGCACTAGGCGATCAGCAAAGGATCAGGATAATTTTTCGCGGGTTGTACAAAACATTGAAGTCGTAGTAGTAAAAAAAATAGCGGATACACGAATACAAAAAGCAATTTTATGGGTTTTAAGCTCACGAAGAAAACGAAACGAAGGAAACGAAACAAAGTCACCATCTAAACAATTTTTTAAGTACTTAAACGCCGACAATACGGCTTTTTGCAGGCTTTTTTGAGCTCCTCCGTGACTGAGAGACCTTTGGACACATCCTCGCTCTTTTGTATGAATTGACATGGTTGAAGTAAGATTTTCTTACGGTAGTAATATCAAACTTCAGAGAAACCCGTGGAACTTTTGAATATATTTTGCGGGAGATTTCCGAAGATATTGCTTGTCAGGATACACCGATGCGAAAGGCCGTTACTCTAAATCGTCGACTAGCGATAAAATTGTATTATCTCGCTTCCGCATCCGAATATAGAACTATTGCAAAACTTGTTTATTTGGGTGTCTACTTCGTTTGTGTGTACTTGTGGCAAGGATGTTTGTGAAACTATAACGAGAAGAAGGGCGTAAGTGATTTCCCATCGGTGACCGAATGCCCCGCAAAATCTCTTTTCGGCACGCGGGCCACTTTTTAGGCGGGCCAGGACGACCTCAAATTGGCTGCTTTTTTTAGAGCTTGCACAATTTGCATTCCCGTTTCCAATCTGGTATTGAGCATTCGTTTCCCCACTTTGTTCGCTGTTTTCTTTAGAAAAAGGTGATGCTGTGCGAAACAGTGAGCGGAACATGCCACCTACGCCATTACCCCCTTGACCATAAGGATACGTTCCTCGATAGACACTCCATCGCTTCATTGTATAAAGGGTATGACTTGCTGATGATAGGAGTAAAATTCGTGGTTCGTAGGCAACAGCATGTTAAAGAATTGCACGGCGTCGAAAATGCAATTTGACGCGATTGATATGTGATGTAAATGGTATCAGTTAACCCATGTCTCCCCTTATAACCCTGTTGTTGGTTGAGCCAACGGAGTACTTAGGAGCGTTCTACACCATAACGACGTGCGGCACGATACAATTTGTTCACACCCCCTAATTCTGGTAGGCGGTCCGGGTTAATAATACAGTTTCTCTGACAGATGGTTCATCTGATTGTAGGTCTTCTTTTTGTGCGTTTTTCTCATCGTCGTTGTCTGTTTCATCTCTTAATTCTATCTGCACTTCACTACCACAACATGCAACTTAACATCTATCCTCTTACAAATGTCACTTAAAGAAAAGGTCGGTGCAGAATCTCCGCACAGACGACTTGCAGCACTCTCCATAGTATAAATACCAATGACTGAACAAGGTTTGTCTATTGGCTTTTCTGGCTTTATAATTTTTAACTACTAACGTACCCAAAAGTCAAAAGTATAGAGTGTTTGATTAGAGCGTAAAACCCCTGAATTCATCAAAAACGGTTTGGCTTTTGTTTGTCTACGACGGTTCGCTCTTGCCAGGGGTTGACCTCTCCTAAAATCCCAGGAAAGGGAGGGGATTGATGCTGTTCCTCTAGTTTTAATTTCTACTTTTTCATGATTTTAACATCCTCATGAATAAGACAATCACTTAAATTACCACGGCAGAACTTGCCAAAGAATGCTTAAAATGTTTTGTCGTGTGTTCAATTCAAGGCTTCCTTGTTCATTTCTTCGCCTTACGGCACGATTCAATGTGACATGCACTTAACACTCCGCTCGGCAAAAAAAGTGCTACGCCCTAAAAGTTATGAATTCTTGGTCGCCAAAAAGCATGAATACTGAGTTGTAGTGTGAAATGGCTTCTGAATTGAAAGTCAGTGTCCATTGTTTAATAAACAATGGACACTATCGCCTTCGATTCGCCTGAACAAGTCAGGCTTGGTACATTGGGCTCTCACTGTAGCACTCGTTTCAACCATCTCCTCAAAGGACACTGTAGACAAAGATTTATTTGTAACTCACTGGCCTTGGTTCTACTGCTTTTTGGAGACAAGGAATTAAACTATCATGGCTGCCCAGAAATATCATTCTGTTGTTCAAAAACGTATCACGGGATCCAAAAATCCTGCTTGTGGGAAAGTTAATCCGGCGGCAAACAAAATGAGAACCAATGACAGTTGGCGTTCCACTGCTTGGAGTCTCCAACCTTTTTTTTCTCTAAATTTTGTTTCAGGGATCCTGGTATACTACTTAGGCGGCACATATTTCTGCAAACACAACCTATAGTTATGAAAGGGAAAAACGTCTTCCTGAAAAAAGTGGATTTGGTAGGGAGGAAGATCGCACTTGGTTAATTCCAAGAAAACTATGCTACAATGTATTTCAACTGGTGCGGCTAAACCATGAACCCTACGACAAAACTTGTAAAAAGCCTCCGGGAGAGGCATCCTTCACGATATCTTTTATTGGAAGATAATCCCGTAGCCTTGTGGTAGCCAAGACCCCATAGGTATTGGAGTGCAATAATGTATACGATTTTTAGTAAAGGGTGGCAATATTCTGTTGGCTAAGTTATTATATTACTAGCTAGCTCTGACATCAGGCGCAGATCGTGCAGGTTTACTTTCTATTTGCCGATGGTTCAACGTCTCCCAGCCACAACCAATCATTTGTTTCCAGCACGTGATCATTTTTTTTTTTTTGGAAATTGTGGTAGGGAATTAACCGCCGTCCAGGCAAAATAAAATTTTAGCCATTTAAAACAACGCCTAATATTAATAGTGAATGGGTTGTGAGTGCCCTGGCCAGAAAATGCTAGTATTAATCAGACATTTTTTTACGCAAAACTCTTAAAGGGATGAATATTGTTATATCAAAGTTTCTTCTTCGACACTAATTCTCGCTGCCTGATGTCACTCACTCTTCTTGCAGGTCACAATAACATCAAGTTCTGACTACTGGCTGGTATTTGAAGGAATACGAGGGTCAGGTTATCGTGGTGACATAGCGATAGACGATGTAGAGTTACTGGATAATGCATGCCCACCTCCAGGTGATTGTAACTTCGAAGCAGGCATGTGTACTTGGCTCAATGTACCTAATAATGATGATTTTGACTGGCTTCGGGGGAGTGGCTCCACACAAAGTTTTTACACTGGCCCTTCCACCGATCACACAACAAACTCATCTGGTGGTAAGTAATAGAGTGAGGATTATTCTTAAAACAGTTGCTCTACATGTAGTAAGCAATCTTTGTCATATAATCTGAGAAGGATTACTTTCCTTGGCTTCTAAGAATTTTAATTCATTCAAAGATTTTCAATCTGACCAAATACAGACAAGTTCTCGTAAATTATTCAATGCTCATTTCGCATGCAGGAATTCTGATTTGAATTTGACACCAGTTACGGGGACGACTAACGGATTCACTTTTCAAATAATCAATTCATTAATAGAATCTTGGGGGGTACGCTTGACCTGTTTTGGCTGTAAGGCAAATACTCCTAAGATGACATTTCTAACAAGAGTTAGAAAGGTTACGAAATATCAATATTGACCGTAAAAGAACCAAAATAACTACATACATCAGAAGGAGAAAGCAGACGGATACTAACTACGTCTTATAGCCGCTAAAATTAAACACAGCTAAACACTGCCGATTTAGCTGACGCTGAGGCCACTGGATTAGTACCTTCCCCTTATGTGTGCGTTTTTAATCCATCCCATTTTCATTTTGCAGGCAGCTATGTGTTCATTGAGACGTCATCCCCACGTAGAGTGGGTGACAAAGCATATTTCATCAGCCAGCCATTTGATCCAACCAACAGCACCGGTAGATGCTTGCAGTTCTGGCATCATATGAAAGGAGCATCCATTGGCACTTTGAATGTCTATATTTACACCGGTAACTTCTCTTCAATGTCTCTGCTTTGGCAGAGAAAGGGGAATAAAGGAAATAATTGGATGCTTGGGCAAACTCCAATCAGAAGCAGTATAAAGTACCAGGTAAAGACAATGTGCAGGTTGTCTCTGCTGTTTTTTGTTTATTAGTTATCCAGTATACATACCAACGGTGGCATCAAGCTAAGAGTGAATTACGCAAAACTCGTTGTAGAAGTAAACATAATAATAGCTCTGATTACCTTCATTGATCTTCAAATTATTGATCTTCACATTATTTTCCCTTGTAACAAATAGATTCCATGTTGCTGTGCGTCTGTTCTGTATTAGGTCACAGATGACGTCTAATTGTGGTGAAAACAAAGAAGTAGCACATGAGCCACAGGCGAGTGTGTCACTGATGTTTTCACCACGTTTTGACTTCTTCTGTGATCCATTGCTGACCAGCCTCATGGCAACATGGAATCTTTTTTTGGGGGGGGGGGATGAAGAGAGACGAAAAGCTACATATGCATGTATACTAGCCTCGTACCACTAGACTGCTAGAGGATACATTTGTACTAGTTTACGCATTTTCCAAGTTACAAACGCCACCTTTCGTCCCCGCTTATTTTCTTCTTCAACTTATTTGTATACAGTTTATCTGGAAAGTTTTTCAAAGCCTTCCCTTCCTTAAAGCAGAACAATCTCGAAAACATTTTCAAAACCGCGTGTTTGGATGACATGCTATTGCTAATTTTGTACAGAATTCTCCCAGTTTAGGCATTTTCAAGTCGTCAAGAATTCTTTTTGTCTACGTTTCTCCGCTTTTTTTTATTTGTAAACAGCTTCGCTAAACTTTTTTTCGTGGCCTTCACTTGCTAAATCCGAAATTATCTCGCAAACTCTTTCAAAACCTCGTAATATTGAACACAACAAAGAACACAAGTCGCCGTGACGTTATCCATGTATCTGTTTAAAAAAAAGATTCCATGATTCCGTGCGTCTCTTGTGTAATACTAACAGTAGATCACAGATGACGTCAAATGATGCTAAAAACAAAAGAGTAGTAAACGAGCCGCGAGAGAGTCACTGATGATGTTTTCACCACGCACGTTATGACGTCTTCTGTGATCTATAATGACTAGACCCAGGCCACGGCAACATGGAGTCTATTCGTTTTATACAATGAACAGAAAGGAAAAAACGACGTGCTAGCTTCGCACGGCTTGACTGTTGGAGGAGTTTTTCCATTTTAGGCATTTCCAAGTAACCAACACTCTTCTCAAATATTTTCGCCTTCTTTACCTTACTTGCCTCTACTTGCTGAAAGTAATCGCAAAACCATTTTCGACAATGCAAGTCTCTCGTAGCGATGATATACGATTGGAACTGTTTATGAAATTTTGTCCACTTTAGGCATTTTCAAATCGTCAAGAACTCATTCCGATATTGCCTCAATGAGCTCGGACATGATACAACCCTTTTCTTCGATTCCATCACGCAAACAAGGCCCTAGGGCAAGACACTGTGTATAGATGTGTTTGGTTTTAAACAGGTTGTGTTTGAAGGAATTCGTGGAAATAGCTACACTGGGGACATTGCCCTGGATGACATTTCGTTTACTGTTGGTGCAGGCAGTTGCACTCTTCAACCGTATGATGCTCTACCACCTGGAATGACAACTGCAGCTCCTACTACTTCAACTCCAACTACTATTGGTAATTAAGTGATGCTTATCTGTTTTACTTATGTTGACGACATGATAATGTTTTGGATATTTTCTAAAAACAGTCCAGGGCATCCGGAGGAGAGGCACTCGTTGCTGGGAGAGACTACAGTCACCAAAAACAAAAAACAAAAACAAATGCGAAGGCACCCCATGAAGTGTAGGATAAATCAGTAACAGACATACCAGGAAGACATTTTTCTAGCTACGGTGGAAGGGATGCTGTCCACCGAAGTACGCACGTATAGCAAGTATGCCTCACAAGAAAAGCAACCCACAGTCTTAACTACATGTCTTGGAAGGCCTCTACTTGCACTATTTGCAGCTGACATCACCAATCCAATTCTTAAACTTTATACCATGGGATATTTTTACATGGCAACAATATATAACTGATTACTTGTCAGATGCAATTATGTAATGACTAATTTCAGGCCAGGGGAATGGTCTTGGGGGAAGTCAGGAAAATTTAAAATGCTCTAAAATTTAACAGATAATTAGCTTTTCTGCCTATTCAGTATCTTTCTGGATGATTACAAATCATGAAGATAAAATACTTTTCTCTGTAGCAATTGTGGGTTTTAACTGCACATTCGAAAGAAATCTCTGTAGCTGGACTCAAGACAACACCGATCAGTTTAACTGGACTCGGACATCGGGCTCAACACCTTCATTCTTAACTGGACCTTCTGTGGACCACACAACAGGCACTGGTAAGTGATTGTTTTCAGTGCATTTACTTTATATACCTTACTAGGCAGTTAAAAAGGCAAAATTTTTTTGCCCAACAGACATTGCCTTTTGTTTCCCTCTCTAAAGTCACCTTTTAATAGAGAGGTTTCCACCTGAAAAAAAAAAAAAAGAAAGAAAAACTTAGAGAAAACGGCTGAAGAAATGTTAGAAACAACTCGAACTGTTGGGGGTGTGCAATTTCAAGAGATCTCCAAGTTATTTTTTATCTGCTGTGTACCCTGACCTCTTATAGCAATCCTTGTCAGAGGTTTTAAAAATCTTGATACCTTTCACTCTTCTCTTGTGCTACATTTGTGAGTAAAATTATTTGTATATGTAAAAAGATAAATGAGTACAATATAGTCCCTTATTAATGCGTTTGCCTTTAATGTAAAGTTATTAGCTAGTTTTTTTTATCTCTTTCTCCCATACTCAAAGATTGTTCTGCATGGGGCTGTAGTCAGGGTAAGGTTTCAAAAGTAGTTGGCTCCCAAAGTTGTTTCAGTCGTGTGAAAGGCACGATATTTTTTAAGGTTTATTTTTGCCCATGTTTAAATTGTTAGGGAAAATACGGACTTGAAAACTTTACTTCTTCTTCTTCCATGAAACCACACATCCTCCTTTCTATAGGGACGTTAAAGAGCTTAATTCAAGTCAGGTTAATTAATTCATAGTAGTTAAAATAAGAACCTATTTCTTAGCACCGTATTTTAACTGTACTGTCTTTGCTATAGCAGTCTGTTACATTTATATTATATTTTTGCTTTGTTGTCCACGCTTTTAACTTTAAGAAACGAAAGCACCTGATCAGAGTGGAAAACCACTATGATAACAAAACTTTTTAACAGTGTTTGATTAACTTTAAAGCTCTAACAACATTCTGTTGTACATTGTAAGCAAATGGATGGTACATGTACATTGAGTCATCTTTCCCAAGAAAGCCAAATGACACAGCGAAGCTTATAAGTTCAATTGTCCGCGGCACAAATGCTCATAGTCGAAAGTGTTTGTCGTTTTGGTATCACATGTATGGTGCACACATCAGTACTCTTAGTGTGTATCTAAGGAATGGTTCTCATGACACCCTCCTGTGGTCAAAGGCAGGGACGCATGGAAATAAGTGGCTTCAGGCAGCAGTCACAGTTAATAGCAGCACTCATTTTCAGGTAAAACATGCAATTTTTTGCAAGAAAAAATCAACAAAAAAGAAATCAAGTTCTTAATTGAAACAGATCATTTACGCGGAATTGCCATGCCATGGATATGGTCATGTTAAATTAAATACCTAGTGACTTTTCAAGAACAAAACAGAGAAAAATGAGTCATAATATTTATATCAATAGTTGACCAGGTGACTTTGACAGTGGACTATCGTCACCGTCACCGCACTGTTACCCGCTGAAGTCAGAGATTTTCTTTCGTTGCGCGTTCTGAGGCTTTTGGTAGCAAGCAAATTAGTTGCTAGATGTCACATGACCTTACACGCTGTTCTGGAAAAATCGAAGCTTTCTTAAAGAATACTGTTTATTTTCCCTTCAGGTTGTATTTGAAGGAGTTCGTGGTAGGAGCTTTCGAGGTGATATAGCGATTGATGACATCGTTATTAAAAACGGTTTCTGCCAAGCCTTGAAAGCTTGCTCATTTGAAGATGTTCAAATGTGCGGATGGACAAATGAAAAGAGGTTAATTGATTAATGTTGTTTGTGTTAGCCTGAGGTACTGTTTAACAGTATTATTTAATGAAAATGAAGAAATGATCGTCGCAGTGAACGCAATTTATGCAATTGCGTAAAGAAGCCTGAAAAAAATCCAGGACTTCAACGGGGTTTGAACCCGTGACCTCGCGATTGCCGGTAAGACGCTCTACCAACTGAGTTTTGAAACCACTGACGTAGGGAGCAGGTCATTTGTGGGTTCATATGTTCCCGTGAAAGAAATTGACCTGCTCCCAGCGTCAGTGGCTTCATAACTCAGTTGGTGGAGCATCGCACCGGTAATAACGAGGTCAGGGGCTCAAACCCCGTTGCAGTCCTGGATTTTTTTCAGGCTTCTTTACGCAATTGCATAAATTGCGTTCACTCCGACGATCATTTCTTCATTTTAATTTCATTTCATTTCCGCAGTTCATACATGATTCATTCATATATCATTAGCAGTATTATTCAATCTTATCGCGCAAGCTCCGAACCAGTAGTTTTTGATACAAAAAGCTAAAATGTTTCCAAAAATAAGCAGAAATGTTATCCAGACTGATCACAGGAGTAGCTGGGATGCTTTGAAAGGCCATCAAACAAAATTATAAGCAAAAAACGACTAAAAAGGCAGGAACTGTCTTAGTTTTGGTCCGTGTTTTAAGGGCCAGTGTCTGTTTACGGGAATTTGACTTTTTTTCAATTTTTGCTGAATTTCTTACTTTCCTTTTAAACCTGGTATCCGTTTCTTGGCAATGTTTTAGTGCTGATGACTTTGATTGGACACGCCAGAGTGGTTCAACATCAAGTTCCGGCACTGGCCCTACAAATGACCACACCTATGGAACAGCGAAAGGTTATTACATGTATATTGAAACCTCATTTCCAAGAAGGCCAGGAGACAAGGCAATGCTTATGAGCCCCAAATATCCATCAACAAAAGGAAAATGCCTTCAGTTCTGGTATCACATGTATGGAAGCCACACAGGGACCCTAAATGTTCAAATAAAGCGCATGGTTGGAGGAAAACCTACATACATTTTGATGTGGTCTAAATCAGGTGATAACGGAAATCGCTGGTGGATTGCTCAGGTACACAAGGAAATGTTTGATGAAAGTTAAAGACACCAAGAAAAATGATTAATTTCTCATAGAGGTGCTTACTTTCACTATAAGAGCAAAGCATACCAATATTAAAATGGTAAACAGTGGTTTCTGTAAAAGAATACTAAAAACGAAAGACGTTCATTTTTTTCCCCGTCAAAGACATCTACAACACAATTCAAACACGAAAGACGTTTTGTAAGAGATAGGTATCGTTGTGGCTATAAACAGTTTTACTCTGCTCAAAGGGACAATCAGTAATCAAGAAAGCATTCGTTTGGCGGAACCGGTGTTCTTCGACACGTAAAAGGTGCAAAACATTTGGGTGTTTTGGGGTTGCCATATTAGGGTCGTTCATGGCTGGTTTTTTATTGCTTTTTAACTGTTGCAGGGTAAGGTGTTCATCATTGATGAACTTGTCAGGTCTCCCACGCCATATTTCTTGAAAGTACCTGAAATCCTTTGAATTTCAAAACAAAGATTCAAAGCCTTAACATCGCCAGAAATTTCGAATCGACATGCTCAGTGAGAGGCGACACTGAGAAAAGATCGAAAATCGAAAAAAAATTGTACTAGAGGCATATATAAGAGTTCGCCTACTTCGCATCAATTCCATTAGTATTTTTGTTAAACTAAATGAGTCTGCATTTATACGTACCTTGCAAGTTTTATCCGTTTTGGTTTTAAGGTAAACAGATTTGCAAATTGACTGTAAAGGAAAAAAACGAGATTTCCTTAAAAAGGAGGCAATCTCTTCCAATAACCCGGCTATATGGGATCAATTTAGGTGTGCAAGAAACCACGCAAATAACGCAATTAAACTGGCAAAAAGACTCTATGTTTCTGACAACTTGGAAGCCAACAAAGGTAATTTGCGCAAAACATGGAATGTTATCAACGAGCTAACTTCACGTAACAGTGGTAAGTCAACGAATATTTTGGAGATCAAGGTAGATAATAAAATAGCAAGTAACCCCATGGACATTGCGGAAACTATTAACGATCACTTTACAAACGTTGCGCAAGTATTAGCACAAGATATTCCTGTTGTCGATGCTAATCCTGAGTCTTATTTAGAGCCCACTGACCATTCGTTTTCTCTGCAAATTCCGAGTGTTGATATTGTTTCTAACGTTTCGTCGAAAATTGATGAAAAGAAAGCCACCGGTCTTGATATGATTCCGAGTAAATTGTTGAAAATGGCTGCTAATATCGTCGCACCCTCTCTTACCTCAATATTCTCAAAGTCTATTCTCACTGGGATATATCCAAACGATTGGAAAATGGCCAAAGTGACTCCACTTTTTAAAAAGGGCATTAAATCGGACCCTAACAACTACAGGCTAATATCCGTAATCCCTATAATTTCGAAAGTTTTTGAAAGAAATGTTTATAATCAACTTTTCCATTATCTAGATGATAATAAATTGCTACTAGGTTGCCAATCAGGGTTCCGTTCTCTACATAGTACGCTCACGGCTTTGCTTGAGGCAACAAATGCTTGGTCAGTGAACATCGACAATGGCCTTCTAAATGGCGTTGTCTTTATTGACCTTACTAAGGCATTCGATACCATTAATCATGAGATCATCTTGCGTAAGATGTCATACTTGGGTGTCGAGCAGGCAGCCATAAAATGGTTCTCGTCGTACTTAAGTGGCCCAACCCAAAGATGTAATGTCAGTGGCAAACTATTATCTGCTCGTACCCTCAGTTGCGGCGTGCCGCAGGGTAGCGTATTGGGTCCTTTGCTATTTTTAATTTACATTAATGATCTTCCCAACTCCCTGCGGGGCGCCGTACCAAGAATGTTTGCCGATGACACCAACCTTACGTTATCTGCTAAGACCTTAACAGAGCTTAAGCTAGCTCTAACCCCTGAATTACATAACCTTAGCTGTTGGCTGAAAGCTAACAAGCTCAGTCTAGATGTTGCTAAAACAGAGCTAATGATTATTGGATCAAGACAAAGACTATCTGCCCAATGTGACGATGTAGAAATCAGAATTGATGATCAAATTATCAAGAGAGTCGATCATACCAAATCCTTGGGTCTTACCATAGATGCTCAACTCTCTTGGGGTAAACACGTTGAAGAGATTTGCAAGAAAGTCTCTTCAGCTATAGGCGCCCTAAAACGTGTGCGGCCGTTTATATCCAAAGAAACTGCAATCCAAATTTATAACGCCTTAATTATGCCTCATTTTGATTACTGCAGCCCCGTCTGGGACTGTTTGAGTGGTTACTTGAGTGATAAGCTCCAAAAATTACAGAATCGTGCAGCCAGAGTTATTACTACATCACCCTTTGATGCGAGCTTAAACCACCTACTCTCCACCCTCAGCTGGGAGAGGCTATCTCTTCGACGAAAGAAACAAAAAGCCTTAATGATGTATAAAACCATGAATGATCTCGCGCCGGAATATCTACAAAGTCTTTTCTCTCAGCGTGACTCTGCTTACAACTTAAGAAACTCTGAGGGAAGACTGACCCTGTCCAAACCAAGCACCAATTATTTGAAACGAAGCTTCTCTTACAGCGGGGCCATGTTATGGAATAACTTGCCCAAAAACTTAAAAAATGCTGCATCCGTTGAGCATTTTAAGCGAAATATCAAGAAGGTAGCTGATATATCAGATTCCCACACGGCAATCATGTAAAGCAGTTGTAATTAGTTTTAGTTTTTAACTTAAGCTTAACTGATGATTTCCCGTGTTTAAATAAAGATTTACATACATACATACATACAAGGAATTGTATGGCTGTCGGCGATAAAACGCCGAGTTCGCGTCCAAATTCGTCGGGTATAACCACTTTGCATCGGTTCCGCGAGTTAAAGAGGCTTGACTTTCAGGTCCGGTTACATTTTGCACTTCCCGATGGAAACCTCTTTCGGTTTTTAACTTTGAGTATGGACCCGACCGCGAAATTTCCTGATATTCACTTATCAATATCTCCGCGAAAAATCGTCCGAATTTCGTGCAAAGCCTCTCGTTCGAGAGATAATTTCTTGCATTTTGAACACGTTTCAAAATAATTGACAGCATATTCGTTCAGCAGTTCCTTTTTTACTGTAAATACGGCCATGTTTGTGTATCGTGACAAAGAGCCCGTACTCGGTCGGATCTGACAGCGGCTTACACCATTAAAGAAACAAGTTTATAGAAATAGCACGACTTCTACTGTGTTCCTGAGACAAGGAATTAAATTTAACATGGCTGCTCATAAATATCATTCTGTTGTTCAAAAACTTATTTCGGAATACAAAAATCCTGTGGGGAAAACTAATCCTGCAGCAAACAAAATGAGAACCAATCACAGTTGCCGCTCTACGCCTTAGAGTCTGTTTGCCTATGGATACTCCAACCTTTTTTTTTCTCTAAATTTTCTTTCAGGGATCCTGGTTTACTCCTTAGGCGGCACATTTTTCTTCAAACACAACTTATAGTTATGAAGGGGAATAACATTCTTCCTCAGTGAAAAAAGTGGGGTTTGGATCGTTCCTTTGGTTGATTCCAAGTAAACTCTGCTACAACATGTGTTACAACTGGTCCGGCTGATCCATGAATCCTACGACAAACCCTGTAAAAACCGTCCGGTTAATGACACCTTTTGCAATTTTCCTAAAGGAAAAAAATTCTGTAGCCTTGTGGTAGCCAAGACCTCATTGGTATTGGTATTATAATTTTTACAATATCTTCAAGGTGGCGATATTCGGTTAGCTACGTTATTACTAGCTACCCCTAACATTAGGCGCAGATTGTGCAGGTGTATATTCTGTTGGTGGTTCAACGTCTCCCAGCCACAACCAATCATTTGTTTTCAGCACATGATCAGTTTTTTGAAAATTGTGGAAAAGAATTAACGGCCGGCAGGCAACATAAAATTTTAGCCATTTGAAACAACGACGTCTGGTATCAATAGTAAATGGGTTGTGAGTGCCCTGACGGAAAATAGCTATTAAACAGACGTTTTGTACGTAAAACTCTTGAAAGGATGAATAGTATTGTATCAGGATTTTTCTTCGCCACTGAAAATTCTCACTGCTTGATGTCACTCACTCTTCTTGCAGGTTACAATAACATCACGTTCTGACTATTGGCTGGTATTTGAAGGAGTACGAGGGTCCGGTTATCAAAGTGACATAGCCATAGACGATGTAGAGTTACTGGATAATGCATGCCCACCTCCAGGTGATTGTAACTTTGAGAGAGGCATGTGTACTTGGCTCAATGTGCCTAATAATGATGATTTTGACTGGCTTCGCGGGAGTGGCTCTACACCAAGTTCTTACACTGGCCCTTCCACCGATCACACAACAAACTCATCTGGTGGTAAGTAATAGAATGAGAATTATTTTTAAAACAGTTGTTCTACATGTAGTAAGCAATCCTTTTCATTTAATCTGAGAAGGATTACTTTCCTTGGCTATTTTCCCTAGATTTCACCAACAGATATTTTTTCCAATCTCGTGAATGGTATTTGACGCACGACATTGAAATTCAGCTGGGTTCACAACATGTTCCGCGCCAAGCAGTACATTTTTAAGGCAAATACTCTTAAGATGATAATTCTTTGCGCTCAACATTTTCCGTTAATAGCGCTGCGCGCAGATTATTTATGGACCCAAATTGAAATTCACATTAGCGAATTCCCCACTTTTATCTGACTTTTGTTATTAAAATTTCATGTTTGTCTGTCTTTTGTCATTAAAATGAGAAAAATGACAAAACTCAGACAAAAATTGCAAATTAATCACTTTGACGTCATTGGTGCACTGCGCTATAATTGTCATTTTTCACGTTCTAACGTCACATATCTCCTGTGGTCTGCACTATAATTGAGACTGCGGTATTTCATCCATTGATTATTTCATTTTATCAGCTTCACCGAAGAAAACAAAGCAACTCGGAAAACAAAGTATATGCCACAACAAGAGTTAAAAAGGTTACGAAATATCAATAATGACGGTAAAAAAAAAAAAAAGAAGGAAAATGGCTGCATACCGTATTTATTCGATTAACCGTCCTGGGCGCTTGTTCGAGGTAGGCGCTTATTAAATTTTCAACATTTTCAGCAAGTGTAGTATGTTTATTGCAACAAAACAATAAATGGTGATAACAAAACGCGAAGATGCAAGGTTTCTGTAAAATACTCTGAAGAAAACTCCGTCTTCTGGAAGTCTCTTATTAGTACTTTTTCAATTCGTTTTCTGCCTTTAGGGTGGGTGCTTATTCGAGGTGGGGCGCTATTTCGAAGTTGGGCGCTTAATCCAATATTAAATACGGTACATCAGGAGGAGAAAGGAGACGGATACTAACGAGGTCTTACAGTTGTTAAAATTTAACACTGCCGATTTAGCTGAAGCTGAGGACACTGGATTAGTACCTTCCCCTGGTGTGTATTATTTTTACTCCATCCCATTTTCATTTTGCAGGCAGCTATGTGTTCATTGAGACGTCATTCCCACGTCAACCGGGTGATATTGCGTATCTCATCAGCCAGATATTTGATCCAACCAACAGCACTGGTATATGCTTGAGGTTCTGGCATCATATGAAAGGAATATCCATTGGCACTTTGAATGTCTATATTTACACCGGTAACTTCTCTTCAATGTCTCTGCTTTGGCAGAGAAAGGGGAATAAAGGAAATAATTGGATGCTTGGGCAAACTCCAATAAGAAGCATTGTAAAGTACCAGGTAAAGACAATATGCCTTCAGGTCTTCTATGCTGTTTTTTGTTTATTAGTTATCCAGTATCCATATCAAAGATGGCATCAAATTAAGACTGGATTACGCATAATTCGTTGTGGACGTTAACATAATAGCAGCTTTGAACACCTACATTGTTTTAACCAGATCTTCACATTATTGTCTGTTTTAACAAACAGATTCCATGTTGCTGTGCTTCGGTTCTGTATTAGATCACAGATGTCGTCTAATTGTGGTAAAAACAAAGAAGTGGCACATGAGCTGCAGGCGAGTGTGTCACTGATGTTTCCCCACGTTTTGACGTCTTCTGTGTGATCTATTACTGACCAGGCTCATGGCAACATGGAATCTATTAGTATTGTACAGTGAAGAGAGAGGAAAAAGCTACATATATATATACCTGCCTCGTACCACTTGACTGTTCGAGGTTCGATTTGTGCCGCTTTACAAGTTACAAAAGCTACTTTTCGTCCCTCCTTCTTCTTCTTCTTCTTTATCTTACTTACATACAGTTTATCCGAAAAGTTTTTCAACGTCTTTTGCCAAAAACAAAATAATCGCGAAAACGTTTCCAAATTTACGATGACAAGCTATGGCAAATTTTATAAAGAATTCTTCCAAATGTGGCATTTCCAAGTCGTCAAGAACTCTTATTGTCTCGGTTTCTTCGCTTTTCTTATTTATAGACAGCTTACGCTAAACTTTTTTTCGTGGCCTTCACTTGCTAAATCCGAAAATGTCTTTCGACCTCTTTCAAAACCGCGTCATATTGAACACAACAAAGAAAACAAGTTGCCGTGCGTTATACATGTATCTGTTTGTTTAACAAAAAGATTCCACGATTCCGTGCGTCTCTTGTGTAATACAGTAGATCACAGATGTCGTCAAATGATAGTAAAAACCAAACAGTGGCACACGAGCCGCGGGTCTGTCACCCATATTTTTTTTCCCACGCATGTTATGACGTCTTCTGTGATCTATTACTGACCAAACCCACGGCAACAAGGAATCTATTCGTTTTATACAATGAACAGAAAGGAAAAAACAACGTGCTAAATTCGCACCGCTTGACTGTTAAGTTGGAGGATTTTTTTCCCAGTTTAGGCATTTCCAAGTCACCAACGCTTTTCAGATATTTTCGGTTTCTTTATACTACTTGTAGACAGTTTCTTTCAAAAGGTTTCTAAGACCTCTACTTGCTGAAAGCAATCGCAAAAACATTTCAAAACTGCAAGTCCCTCGTAGCGATGATAAATGATTGCAACTGTTGAAGAAATTTCGACCACTTTAGGCATTTTCAAATCGTCAAGAACTCTTTCGGTCCTTGTTCTCCATTTTTCCGAAATAATCTCGCAAACATTTTTTAAAACCGCGCGCCATTATGGATGAAACAAAGAAAACGGGTCTTCCTTCACGTGTTCTCTATACCTAATAGATCGAATGAAACACCGATCAGAGCACTCGGAGTATTCACAAAACATTGTATAAACTCTAATAGATCATGGGCAACGACCCATCACAGCGCATGTAGCACTGACTAAATTGTATAAAAAACTGATTGATGAAGCATATCGCCTGAATGAGCCCGGACATGATGCTATGCGTTTCTTTGATTCCATCACAAAAACAAGGTCCTAGGGCAAGACACTCTATGTATTAATTTCTGTTTATAGATGTGTTTGGTTTTAAACAGGTTGTGTTTGAGGGAATTCGTGGAAATAGCCATACTGGGGACATTGCCCTGGATGACATATCATTCACTGTTGGTGCAGGCAGTTGCACTCTTCAACCGTATGATGCTCTACCACCTGGAATGACAACTGTAGCTCCTACAACTTCAACTCCAACTACTATTGGTAAGTCGCTTTTCTCGGTTTTACTTATGTTGACGAAATGATATTGTTTTTGATATTTTCTAAAAAGGAAGCTGGGCTGGCCAGCCGAAATATCGTTTGAAAACTTTTAAGCACGCTTTCTATTTCTGTTTATTGAATGTTGTTAAAACAATTTGCCACGTTTATCCCACTTTTATTTATTTATTTATTTATTTATTTATTTATTTATTTATTTATGAATGAATGAACGAAAAGTTTTCCATACATAGAAAGGCAAATACGAAGGCACCCAATGAAGTGAAGGATAAATCAGTAACCGACATACCGGGTGGACAGTTTTCTAACTACACCGGAAAGGATGCAGTCCACTGAAGTACGCATGTATAGCAAGTATGCCTCACAAGACAAGCAACCCGTAGTCTTAACAACATGTCTTGGCTGAAGGCCTCTACTTGCACTACTAGCAGCTGACATCACCAATCCAATTCTTAAACTGATACCATGGGATATTTTTACATGACAACAAGAGCTGTGGTCACAATACAGACTTTTACCTAGGTAAAACCGATTTACCCTAAGGCAAATTCATCAAAAATCTCCCGAGATAAATTTAGCTCGGGTTTTGTTTTACCTGGATAAAAAATTCTGGGAAGGTCACACTACCGGCTCCCAAGGTTTTTACGCGTAGGCAAATTCTGGAGCGTAAATTCAAGAAGGAAAGATGTGCAGGGATCTAGCCGATCAAAGAGACGTTTTTTTTCCTTTATCTCCCTGTTATTTCTTACGCCAATTCAACGTGCAAGGTGAAGACAGGCGAAGACTCGTGCCCCAAAAATTTCTTTCACCGCGTGAGCTATGTCCGGTTCTGTCATCAAGACCTTCGCCGATGATCGTCTATTGGCTAGCAACCTAGGGGATTTCATTTTCCCCTAGCTATCGCTTTGGGGTAGCTTTCAGAGGAAACTCTATTGTTCTCGAGACATATCCAAGCCCCAGACGATAAAATTTCCCCGAGGTAAATTACTTAGGGAAAATCGGTCACACTTAAAAAATCAAGTTTCCCTAGGTAAACTGTCAACAAGTCGAGTTTACCCGGGTAAAAAATCTGTAGTGTAACCACAGCTAATATGTAACTATTGCTTCTCAGACGCAATTATGTAATGACTAATTTTAGGGAAATAGTCTTGGGGGAGGTCAGGAAAATTTAAAATGCTCTAAAATGTAACAGATGATCAACTTTTCTGCCCACTCAGTGTCTTTCTGGATGATTACAATTCATGCAGATAAAAAAATTTTCTCTATAGCAAGTGTGGGTTTTAACTGCACATTCGAAAGAAATCTCTGTAGCTGGACTCAAGACAACACCGATCAGTTTGATTGGACTCGGACATCGGGCTCAACACCTTCATCCTCAACTGGACCTTCTGTGGACCACACAACAGGCACTGGTAAGTGATTGTTTTCAGTGCATTTACTTTATAGATGGGTCGGTACTTTTATTACCTTAAAGGCAGTAAAAAAGGCAACATTTTTTTGCACAGCATACATTGCCTTTTGTTTCCTTCTATAAGGTCACCTTTTAATAGCGAGGTTTCCACCTGAAAAAAAAAAATAATACTAGTAGTAATCAAAGATTAATAAGTGCGTTCGAAGTTCAATGAATTTAGCTAAAATCCACCAGGTGAGCCCGCAATTTCTTTGGCCGGCTATTGGGCTTAAAATTCGTGCGCGCGCTTAATAATTATTCAAAATGGCGCAGATTTTGAACATCGCCCGTCCAAGTAACCAAAAATCTCGAATCTTCACGCCTGGCATGCACAGGTATCCCATCGACCACAGGATCCCCAAAGATTACGAAGCGTTCTCCTAACGTCGAACGCAAAAAATAAAGAAAACAGCTGAAGAAATGTTCGAAACAACTATAAGTGTGGGGAGGTGTCCAATTTCCAGAGATCTCTAAGTTATGTTATATTTACTGTGTACCCTGTCCTCTTGTAGCAATCCTTCTTAAGGGTTTTTTTTAATAAAATCTTGATACCTTTCACTCTTCTCTTGTGCTACATTTGTGAGTAAAATTACTTGTACATGTAAAAAGATACTTGAGTACAATATAGTCCCTTATTGATGCGTTTCCGTTTAATGTAAGGTTGCTAGCTAGTTCTCTGCCCATACTCAAAGTTGATTCTGCAGTAGCTGGCTCCCAAAAGTTGTTTCAATCGTGTGAAAGGCACGATATATGTTGAGGTTTATTTTTGTCCAGGTTTAAATTGTTAGGGAAAATAAGGACTTGAAAACTTTACTTCTTTTTCTTCTTCCATGAAACCACACCTCCTTCCTTCTACAGGGACGTTCAAGAGCTTAATTCAAATCCTTAATTCATGATAGTTGAAATAAGAACCTATTGCTTAGCACTGTATTTTAACTGTACTGTCTTTGCTATAACAGTCTGTCACATTTATAATTTATATATATTTTTTGTTGTCCACGCTTTTAACTTTAAGAAACCACAGTACCTTATCAGAGTGGTATACCACTATGATAACCAAATTCTTTTACAGTGCTGGATGATCTTTACTGCTCTAACAACATTCTGTTGTACACTTTCAGCAAATGGATCGTACATATACATTGAGTCATCTTTCCCAAGAAAGCCAAATGACACAGCGAAGCTTATAAGTTCAATTGTCCCCGGCACAACTGCTTATGGTGGAAAGTGTTTGTCGTTTTGGTATCACATGTATGGTGCACACATCAGTACTCTTAGCGTGTATCTAAGGAATGGTTCTCATGACACCCTCCTGTGGTCAAAGGCAGGGACGCATGGAAATAACTGGCTTCAGGCAGCAGTCACAGTTAATAGCAGCACTAATTTTCAGGTAAAACTTGCAATTTTCAATTTTTGGCAAAAAAAAAATAAACAACAAATATTAATAAAATGAAATATTAATGAAATGAAATAGTTTCATTTACACGGACTTGCAGTGCCATGGAATTGGCCATGTTACATTAAACGCCTAGTGACCTGTCCCGAAGAAAACAGAGAAAACGGAGTCATAATATTCATGCATAAATCAATAGTTGACCTGGTCACTTTGACAGTGGACTATCGTCACTGTCACCTCACTAATACCCTCTGACGTCAGAGATTTTCTTTTGTTGCGCGTTCTGAGGCTTTTGGTAGCAAGCAAATTAGTTTTTAGATGTCACATGACCTTACACGCTGTCGTGGAAAAATCGAAGCTTTCTTAAAGAATACTGTTTATTTTCCCTTCAGGTTGTATTTGAAGGAGTTCGTGGTAGGAGCTTTCGAGGTGATATAGCAATTGATGACATCTTTATTAAAAATGGTTTCTGCCAAGCCTTGAAAGCTTGCTCATTTGAAGATGTTCAAATGTGCGGATGGACAAATGAAAAAAGGTTAATTGATAAATGTTGCTTGTGCTAGCTTGGGGTACTGTTTTAAGAGTATTATTTAATATTATTGCGCAAGCTCCGATCCAGTAGTTTTTCATACAAAAGTGAAATTCTTTAGCAAAAATGAACAGATTGCTGAATTGTTATCCAGACTGATGAAAGGAGTAGCTGGATGCTTTGAAAGGCCAACAAACAAAAATATTAGCAGAAAGCGACTAAAATGGCGTAGGAACTTACTTAGTTTTGGTCTGTGTTATAAAGATGTCCGTTTATGGCTGAATTTCTTAGTTTCCTTTTAAACCTTGTATCCGCTTCTTGTTAATGTTTTAGTGCTGATGACTTTGATTGGACACGCCAGAGTGGCTCCACTTCAAGTTCCGGCACTGGTCCTATAAATGATCACACCTATGGAACAGCTAAAGGTTATTACATGTATATTGAAACCTCATTTCCAAGAAAGCCAGGAGACAAGGCAATTCTGATGAGCCTCAAATATCCATCAACAAAAGGAAAATGCCTTCAGTTCTGGTACCACATGTATGGAAGCCACATAGGGACCCTCAATGTTCGAATAAAGCGCATGGTTCGAGGACAACCCACATCCTTTTTGATGTGGTCTATATCAGGCGAAAATGGAAATCACTGGTGGATTGCTCAGGTACACAAAGATATCTTGAAAGTTAAAGGCAACAACAGAACCAACATTAAGAATTAGCAGTGGTTTCTGTAAAAGAATACTAGAAACGGGAGAAGTTCACTTTTTTTCCCCACAGTCAAACACATCTATAACACAATTAAAACATGAAAGGCGTTATGTAAGAGATAAGCATTGTTGTGGCTATAAATATGTTTTGTATTACTCTTTACTCAGAAGGAAAATTACATGAATATTGTTAAATCAGAAATCGAAAAAGCATTCGTAAGCGGAATCCTGTTCTACGACCAGAAACAGGTCACAAAAATTTGGGCGTATTAGGGTTGCCATATTAGGATGGTTCATGGCTGGTTTTAGTTTGCTCTTTAACTATTGTAGCGTAAGGTCTTCATCATTGATGATGATGTCTTGAAAGTACCTGAATTCCCTTGAATTTCAAATTAAAGGTTCTTAAGCCCGAAAAAAATTCCTATTCAGTTGGTCCCAGGACCTCCTTGAAATTCTTTGCTCAGTTTATTCAACCCAAATTTTTCAAGAGATTAATATGACCTTAAGTGTCGCTGGTAGAATTATAGCAGCACATAATTGTAAAATATAGTTGCCTTCATTTTGTCCATCCTGGAGTCCTTGAATTGTGTCCTTGAAACCGAAAGTCCTTGAAATGTCCTGGAATTCTTTTTCGCCAAAAGGCGTGAATACTGATCTGATTTGTAGTATGGAATGGCCCCTGTTTAACAACATGACATTCACGTACGAATTAATAAACAGTAGACGCTCTCGCCTTTGATTCACCTGGACAAGTATGGAGGTGGTGGTATGGCTTGGTACATTGGGCTGTCACTGTAGCACCCGTTTCAATCAATTTTATTTTGGGACAGAACTTTTAACCATCTCCTCAAAGGACATTTTAGGCAAAGAGTTATCTTTAACTCACTGCCCCTTTTTCTACTGTTTTTCTAAGACAAGGCTGTTGGAAATGAATCAAATTTAATATGGCTGCCCTGCATAGATTTCATTCTGTTGTTTCAAAAAACCTTGTGACGGGTTTCAAAAATCTTGCTTGTGGGGAAATCTAATTCAGCGACAAACAAAATGAGGATCAATGACAGTTACGTTACACCCCTCAGAGACTGCATGGATTCTCCAACCTTTTTGCTCTTCATTTGGCATTAGAGCTCCTGGTATAATTATAATATTAGGCACATTTTTTCCGTAAATACGACTTATAGTTATGGCAGGGAAAAACATTCTTGCTGAAAATCTCGAATGGGTTTCCGTAGGGAGAAAGATCGTCGCTTTGGTTGATTGTAAGTTAACGCTGCTGCAACAAGTCAGGGCGAGTTGCAACTGGTGCGGCTAGTACATCAAATCCCACGAAAAACCCTGTAAAAATCATCCGGTTTCAGCACCTTTTACAATTTTTTTTACCTTGGGAAAAATTCCTAAAGCCTTGTGGTAGCCAAGCGCTTTTTAGTCATTGACGTGCAATGATTCAGAAATTTTCAGTGAAGGGTGGTCATTCTCGGTTAACTAAGTTACTACTAGCTGTTCCAGACAGAAGGCGCGAATTGTGTGGGATAATATTCCATTTGCCAGCGGTTCCACTTCTCCCAACCACAACCAAATCTTTTTTTCATCACGTTATAAGATTTTTGGAAAACTGTGCAGGGGAGTTAACGGGCCCGCCAGGCAACATAATATTTCAGCTTTTGTGAAAACGTTTGGTATCAACAGTGAATGGGTGGAGAATTATGCCAAAGTAGTGAGGGCAAATAAGTATTAGACAGGTATTCTGTACGTATTCTGTACGTAAGTTCTTATCTGGGATAAAAAGGATTATGCCAAAGTTTATTCTTCACCAGTAATTCTAATTTTTGATGTCACTTCCTCTTCTTGCAGGTGACAATCACATCAAATTCTGATTATTGGCTGGTATTTGAAGGAGTACGAGGGTCCGGTTATCGAGGTGACATAGCGATAGACGATGTAGAGTTACTGGATAATGTATGCCCACCTCCAGGTGATTGTAACTTCGAGACAGGCATGTGTACTTGGCTCAATGTGCCTAGTAATGATGATTTTGATTGGCTTCGCGGGAGTGGCTCCACACCAAGTTCCTACACTGGCCCTTCCACAGATCACACAACAAACTCAACTGGTGGTAAGTATTAAAGTGAGAATTTTTTTTAAAACAGTTGCTTTACATGAAGTAAGCAATCCTTTTCATTTAATCTGGGACAGCTTAGTTTACTTGGCCATTTTCTCTAGATTTCACCAACAGATATTTTTTCCACTCTCGTGAATGGTCTTTGATGTACGACATTGTAATTCAGCTGGGTTCAAAACATGTTCCGCGCCAAGCGTACATTTTTAAGGCAAATACTCTTAAGATGACATTTCTTTGTGCTCAACATTTTTGGCAATTGTCGTTTTGCACGCTTTTATGTCAGCTGTCTTCCCTGGGGTGCACTATAATTGAGGCTGCGTTATTTCATCCATTGATTATTTCACTTTATCAGCTTCACAGGAGAAAACTAAGAAACTCGGAAAACAAAATATAGGCCATGACGAGAGTTAAAAAGGTTACGAAATATCAATATTGACCGTAAAAAGAACGAAAATAACTTCATACATCAGAAGGAGAAAGCAGACGGACACTAACGAGGTCTTATAGCTGCTAAAATTAAACACAGCTAAACACTGCCGATTTAGCTGAAGCTGAGGCCACTGGATTAGTACCTTCTCCTTGTGTGTATGTTTTTAATCCACCCCATTTTCATTTTGCAGGCAGCTATGTGTTCATTGAGACGTCATTCCCACGTAGAGTGGGTGACAAAGCGTATCTCATCAGCCAGCCATTTGATCCAACCAACAGCACTGGTATATGCTTGAAGTTCTGGCATCATATGAAAGGAGCATCCATTGGCACTTTGAATGTCTATATTTACACCGGTAACTTCTCTTCAATGTATCTGCTTTGGCAGCGGAAGGGAAATAAAGGAAATAATTGGATGCTTGGACAAACTCCAATCAGGAGCAGTATAACGTACCAGGTAAAGATCATGTGCCCTCAGCGGGGTTTTGACATTGCTGTTGTTGTTGTTGTTTTAGTTAATCAGTTTATACTAAACGAGGCATGAAGTTCAGAAACAGGGTTCAGAGGAGATGTGTTTGTCGTTAGAACATCAAAACCCGTTTAAAACCTCTGAAAAAATGAGTTATTTTGATCGCGTTAAAGTTTCGTTCCACATTCTATAGACCGCAAACCAAGAGACTGAGGGCTCGCAAGATCGGCTTACAGTCAAATTGTTCTTCAAAGCGAACGAATGTGTCATCATTATGTTCCACACTCACATCATTTAACACGCATGAATTGGCTAATAACAGTCCTCTTTGGAATGGGCCAATTGATTAGCTATAAATTCATTGTTTGAATAAGACAAAAGCTGTCAAAGCGTCAAAGCTGTCACAAATTAAAATGAAACGAGCGAAACGTTCGGTAAATTTAATGCAGAAGAAACGTATTTTTTTACGTCCAAAAATCAGTTTCTGTAGGCATAAAGTTGTTTTAAATCCAGCCGAATTGCGGCCAACGAAAACCTGAACGCCATTAACATGAAAATTTCGTATTAGTTTCGTATCTAAAAGCGTCCACTGAACCTGAATTTAACTTGAAGATTTCATAAAATTCGCCGACGTCCTTGCAGATCAGTGATGCGTGTTTTTAACTAATATTATGAGTTATGAAACAAACTCAAAAGAATATATAGGTGAAGTTTTTCTTGAAAATGTTTAATAGGAAACTAAGAACTCAGTAAAACTGGACGACCACGTGGCAAAATTCAAAATTCATCTCAAATCGGTGTGCATTTTGATAACAAAATATATAAAGCGTTTGTGAAACATTTATTGAAACATGCATAAATTATACATACATTAATTCATACAATCAACTCTTGCCTTGCGGACACCCCGCTATTAGACCTATTACGGACACCCCGATAATGCTGAAGCAGCTAAATCCCTGGTGAAAACAAGTTACTGACGTTTGACTGAAATGAACTCTCTCTATTACAGACTCTCGCTAATAAGGACGCTTACTTAATTGAGGTCCTTATGTACAATCAACTCCCAATCAATTCCCTTTTTAAAAGCGTAATTTTTTTCGCCCACAGAGTCAAAAATGTACCTGAAAAGTCTTCGATAACTTCGTTGTTTTGGTTGAAATTCAAAACAGGACATTTTCCGCTCAGCCGTGAAGATGACGTTGTTGAATTCCTCGGAGGACGATAGTGTGACCAAAAGCTTTCCTTAGTCCACAGAAAGAAAATTGAGCATTCATTTGAATTTCCCTTATCCATTTTTGTCTTTTAACGGTGTATTTCTAACCCCGAAATGCGAAACCTCGGCCTTGGAACCACCTCTTGGTGTGATTCACAGATGGCGAGACAGCTTTAGCCCTGATCTGTGTTTTACATGTATACTCTCATAAAACATGCTTTTCAAACCAATCAGCGTGAGCGTTATATCTCAACTTTACTATAATCTGTTTTAATCAGGTTGTGTTTGAAGGAATTCGTGGAAATAGCTCCACTGGCGACATTGCCTTGGATGATATAACCTTTATTGTTAGTGCAGGGAGTTGTACGCTTAAACCGTCTGATGCTACTATTGGTAAGTGACGATTAATAGTGCTCTACTGGTTTGGATAACATGATATTGTTCTTGATATGTTTCAAATTTCTATTTTGAGAATTATATTTTCCTTCAAGACCTCTCGCCAATGCTTACGTAATTATTTTTACTACGTTTTTAAATTCGTTTTTTTTATAAGGCTGTCTGCGATACGACAAAGGGACTAATAGATATTTAAAGAAAAAGCACACTTAACGACCAATTCGGTTAATATGCGTGAGCAAAAGTATCTAACAACTCATTCTTTTTCTCTTTTCTAAGGAAAAGGAGATCTGCTTTTATAAGAGATCTCACTGATGCCATCAGCTACACAGGCTTTAGTTAAAAGCATGCAATAACGCTCTCCCTCTCACTTTCACTCTCTTTTCTAATAACTTTGTTTGAATCAAATCCTGAATTTGACCTCCAGGTGAAGAATCATTTTCCCATGCACCAATGGTCCCTTGTTTAGTTATTTTTCAGCTTAAAAGGCTAATTTATCAAATGAGTCGTTCTTAAGGGAATTTGTCATTTTTTTCTTTTCACAAATTAAGCATACATATGCACGTTGAAAGGACTACTACATTTCAGAGAAACAGGTCTCTGGGGTAGCTAGTGGTATGAAATAGTTCAAACAAATAGATGCAACACAAGCAAGTCTATAACTTTTAATATGAACGTTTCCCAGGTGCAAAAGCACGCAATACACAAAAAGATCCTGTGTTGAAAAATAAGCGCTAAGAATTTTTTTCTTATCTCATCAGATATTGATGACTGTTATCCCAGCCCTTGTAAAAACAATGGAACATGTATTGACGGTGTGAACAATTACACGTGCTCTTGCGTACCTGGATTTGAAGGAAAGAACTGCACAATCAGTAAGCTCTTAAACAACTTTAATGATTTAGTTTTTTTTTTTTTAAGTTATCAGTCAGGGTCAGTAAATATTGTGTTTATTGCATTACTTCTGCTTTTTTTTTTTGGGGGGGTTTTTTTTTTTTTTTTTTTTTTTAATTGATCGGTCAATGCGGGCGTTTTCAAGGTAAAGTTAAAGACATTTAAAGTCCAAAGGAGCAATTGTTGTTATTGCTCTTCATTTGGGAAAGTGATGACTGTGATCCCATAATGTAATAACTGTACTTGCATACACGGGCTCTAAGAGTTTTTTTTCCTCATCAGATATTGATGACTGTTATCCCAGCCCATGTGAAAACAATGGAACATGTATTGACGGAGTGAACAACTACACTTGCGCCTGCGTACCTGGATTTGAAGGAAAGAACTGCACCATGGGTAGGTTCTTCAGTTAATAAGCATATTTTAATTCATTAGCCAATGGGAACGTTTTTCAGGTGATTTGGTGATTAAAGTAATACTACACTACAAAAGTCGTATTTCTTGTCTCACCTGACCCTTGCGATAACTGTACGCAACGCTCTATCCATTTTAGCTAATCAAGACGGCTAAAACACAGGCCAATTGCGTCTTCGTAATATACCCGATGTTATGTGGTCAGGTGCAAGCGAAAGTATTAAGTGTGTTGATCTTGGTACTCATCAGATATTGACGACTGTTATCCCAGCCCGTGTGAAAACAATGGAACATGTATTGACGGTGTGAACAACTACATGTGTGCTTGCGTACCTGGATTTGAAGGAAAGAACTGCTCCATTGGTAAGCTCTCAAACAACTTTGATCAACCTATCCTTTTATTCAAAAGTCAACAGAAATATTTTCTAGGTGTTGTTTTGAACAATAACGTCCGTTGGACCAGTGAAAATAATATTTGCTGCCTCATAAGTCTGTTCTTCTTTTTTTCAGACATTGATGACTGTGATCCTTACCCGTGTCTAAACAATGGAGCATGCATAGATGGTGTAAATAACTATACTTGCGCATGCTCTTCTGGTTTTGAAGGGAGGAACTGCAGCATCAGTAAGTTTTTTTTTATTATTACTGTATTTATAATGTTGGTGTTTTTAACTTAAAATATGAATTTGGACAATTGCCTGTTAATATAACAAATAATAGTTTAGGAAGGAAGGAAGGAGGGAAGGAGATGCAGGATCAGTAAGTTTTTTTTTTAAGGCCCTAAAAATGAAATGGGTAAAAAGCTATTTAGATGATCAAGATACAGGGAAATGGAAGCTTTTTTTCAATCATCGACTAGCACAATTTGGAGGGAAATTAGTTTTCTGGGGAAACTTAAGCCCTAAAGACGTTCGTTTCCTTAATCTGCGAGATCCATTTTTAGCTGAGATTATGGAATATTGGACGACCCTAAATTATAAGGACAACAATCTAGATTTCACGTCAGCTCAGATCTGGCATAACTCCCTCATAAGAATAGAGAACAAACCAATTTTCTATAAATCTTGGTTCACCGCAGGTGTGAAAGATGTTAAAGACATCCTTGACACGGACGGAAAGTCTATATTAAGCTATACTGCATTTACCGCTAAATATAAAATCAAGACTAACTTTCTAGAATCCTATAAGGTAGTATCAGCCGTTAAACTGTTCAGGCAAAAGTGTTCTCAACAACCCAATAGAGGACCCAAAACCAAGACCTTTGGGCAAACATTATTAGCCTCAGAAAAAGCCTGTAAAACCGTTTACAAATCAATTATCGAAAAAAAAAGCCACCACCCCTCTTAAAAGCCAGGAAAAATGGCTGTCTAAGGAAAATATAATAGGAAATGCGAATGTGAACTGGGAGAATACATACCGCTTCCCCTTTCTGTGTACAACAGAAACAAGGTTACGAGTGTTCCAATTCATGTTCCTCCACAGACGAATAGCAACAAACGACTTCCTCTTTAAAATCGGCCTAAAACAAGCAGACTCCCGTTCTTTCTGCGGGGAATTTACTGAAACCCTTGCCCACTTGTTCTGGTATTGCAGTTACACTCAAAAATTCTGGAAAGACATTTATGGATAACTCAAAACACCACCTTAAACAAATCCATTGCCTTCTCTCCTCTTATCTGTCTTGGACTAATTGATAATCTCTGATTTATTACTACATCATCTTTTCCTTATCGCCAAACGATATATTTACACATGTAAGTTAAATAACTGCAACCCTGCGCTACAGGTTTATATACAAACCGTTATGAACTCCTTGGAAATTGAAAAAGAGATTGCCTCTAATAATAACAATATGTCCTCCTTCGAAAACAAATGGAGCCCTCTTAAACTTTGCCCCTCGGACAAATAAACTTGCTGTTATTAAATAATTCCAAAAGTTCCAAAAGTTAAAAGTGATGCAGAAACAAATGCAAATGCAAATCACCTTTTAGTTGGTAGGACAGACTCCTTATGTTTTTGTTGTATCGTGTTTTATTTTGCAATTTTGCAAATAGTAGTCAATTTTGTAAAATTGTTTTTTAGGCTTAATTAGTTGCAAATGCTGTAACATCGTATTTTTCCTTTATCTCTTGTACCTTGTTTTTTTTTTTCCTCCATGTAAATGTAAGTATTGTCATTAGAAGTGTTGTAACCAAATAAATGTTATTTTAAAAAAAAAAAAAAAAAAAGTTTTTTTTTTACTGACCAAATTTTAGCAAGCGTTTAAAAGTTAAAGTACGATGTAGACGATTTCAAGTTTCCGTAGATCAAATGGTAGGTTCCTCCATCCTTCTCCGCTTTTTACCATTATAATAATGAAACATGTATATCTTTTTCCCGCGTCAAATCTTTAATTGGAGTTTGAAGGTGCGAATTTGCGAAGTACTTTCAAAAAATAAAACTTAGTAAATAAATAAATAAATAGGTATAATGTACTCCAGTGAACGATAAATTCATTATTAAGAATTTTTTATAGTTCTATTTTATCTATCTATTTAATAATATATTTATTTGCTTATTTTTTTGTTAACTTATTTCTTTGTTTTAAAAAGGATGCATAAAAAAGTAAAGCTTATTCAATTCGCTTAATGTGTGCATCATGGTTTCACAGATATTGATGACTGTTATCCCAGCCCATGTGAGAACAATGGAACATGTATTGACGGTGTGAGCAACTACACTTGTGCTTGCGTACCTGGATTTGAAGGAAAGAACTGCTCTGTGGGTAGGGTCTTCAGTTAATAAGCATATTTTAATTCATTAGCCAATGGGAACGTTTTTCAGGTGATTTGGTGATTAAAGTAATGCTACACTACAAAAGTCGTATTTATTGTCTCACCTGGCCCTTGCGATAACTGTACGTAACGCTCCGTCCATTTTAGCTGATCAAGACGGGTAAAACACAGGCCAATTGCGTCTTCGTAATATACCCGATGTTATGTAGTCAGGTGCAAGCGAAAGTATTAAGTGTGTTGATCTTGGTACTCATCAGATATTGACGACTGTTATCCCAGCCCGTGTGAAAACAATGGAACATGTATTGACGGTGTGAACAACTACAAGTGCGCTTGCGTACCTGGATTTGAAGGAAAGAACTGCTCCATTGGTAAGCTCTCAAACAACTTTGATCAACCTATCCTTTTATTCAAAAGTCAACAGAAATGTTTTCTAGGTGTTGTTTTGAACAATAACGTCCGTTGGACCAGTGAAAATAATATTTGCTGCCTCATAAGTCTGTTCTTCCTTTTTTTCAGACATTGATGACTGTGATCCTTACCCGTGTCTAAACAATGGAGCATGCATAGATGGTGTAAATAACTATACTTGCGCATGCTCTTCTGGCTTTGAAGGGAGGAACTGCAGCATCAGTAAGTTTTTTTTTCATTATTACTGTATTTATAATGTTGGTGTTTTTAACTTAAAATATGAATTTGGACAATTGCCTGTTACTATAACAAATAATAGTTTAGGAAGGAAGGAAGGAGATGCAGGGTCAGTAAGTTTTTTTTTTTTACTGACGAAATTTTAGCAAGCGTTTAAAAGTTAAAGTACGATGTAGACGATTTCAAGTTTCCGCAGATCAAATGGTAGGTTCCTCCATCCTTCTCCGCTTTTTACCATTATAATAATGAAACATGTATATCTTTTTCCCGCGTCAAATCTTTAATTGGAGTTTGAAGGTGCGAATTTGCGAAGTACTTTCAAAAAATAAAACTTGGTAAATAAATAAATAAGTATAATGTACTCAAGTGAACGATAAATTCATTATTAAGAATTTCTTTTTGTAGTTTTATTTTATCTATTTATTTAATAACATATTTATTTCCTTATTTTTTTGTTAACTTATTTCTTTGTTTTAAAAAGGATGCATAAGAAAGTAAAGCTTATTCAATCGCTTAATGTGTGCATCATGGTTTCACAGATATTGATGACTGTTATCCCAGCCCATGTGAGAACAATGGAACATGTATTGACGGTGTGAGCAACTACACTTGTGCTTGCGTACCTGGATTTGAAGGAAAAAACTGCACCATTAGTAAGTATTAATGAACAACCTTGATTAGTATATTTAATTCATCAAAAAAGGGAACGTTTTAAAGGTACTGTTATGTTTTTTATTATTATTTTGCCAAAAAAAAAGCACAAAATATTCATATATTCCAAAAAAATTGATATATTCAAAAAATATTCAAGTTGAGGAAAATGAAAATAATGCAAGAATAAACGAGAAAAAAAAACCAAGGAAGCAAAAAAAAAATACACACAAGCATTAGGAGAGCTAAAGTGTGTTTATACCAAGAAAAAATGACTTAAGTTTAGAATCAAACAAAGTAGTACTAGAGGCATTCTGAATTTCGGGGCTAAGGGAATTAATATTTTGGGTCCTTGAAAACGAAGTGAAAATTTCGTTACATTTGTCCTGCAGTAGGGCAAACGGAAGGAATTCTTACTTCTAGTGTTATATGAATGTAAGTCAGAGTTAAGCAATACGTTTGTATTGCTTAACTAGTATTATGGACAATACGTTTGTCCGCCAGACCGTTAAAAATGGTCGAGTTAAGTTTGTTTTTCTGGCTCTCTGTCAGACAAAGATGACTGTGCTCCCTACCCGTGTGTAAACAATGGAACATGCGTAGATGATGTGAATAACTATACCTGTGCATGTCACCCTGGCTTTGAAGGGAGAGACTGCAGCATCAGTAAGTTCTATTTTTATTTCTTTCTTTTTTTTTTTTTAAACTGGTTAAGATGTGTTATTGAACAGAACGAAACAACTGAAAAACCTCACAGTGTTCTGTTAACTGGAACGGGAACCACTCTGGTGCTGAATACCTTATATTATTTTGAGCAAGACTTGCCGTCATTTTATGAAGCGGGGTAATTAAATTTTTAAATTGACTGGATATGGTTTGACACGGAAACTAGAATTGCTTCCACATTAGCAAGTCGTCTGCTACGTGACGTAGATCTTGTCGTAATGCTTTCAACAGGATGAAACTCGATCGCATGATGAAAAGAAAAATGCCGAGAGAAATGCACCGGTAGCTAAAGGACCAGCTTAACTGTGTTTCTGTTCGCATGGAGAAAAAGAGGACATGAAAATGATAGTTGATGTAGGTCACTAGTCAATCGTGATTCGAACCCCCTCGCTTTTTTTCTCGCTCCATTTTTCCATGATCTTGAAGCCAGGAACAGGCTTATTTAGACTTGAAGAAATTTTGTGTGACCCAGAAACAAAATCGCAACATCCTACCTGTGCATCTCTTTGCAAAGGCCCTTGCCCGTCTAAATCGAAGTTTCTCCCTGCCTTCCATGCTCTGAAAGCGTCTGATACAACTTTGATCTTTGCTGGTTTTGAGGAAAGAACTGCACCCATAGTAAGTATCAAAACAGTCAATGGAAACGTTTTCAAGGTGTTTGTCCACCAGACTTAAAAGTTGTCGAGTAAAGTCTGTTTTTCCTGCTTTGTGTTAGACACCGATGACTGTGACCCTTACCCGTGTCTCAACAATGGAACATGCATAGACGATGTGAATAACTATACTTGCGCATGCCCTCCTGGCTTTGAAGGGAGGAACTGCAGCATCAGTAAGTTTATTATTACCGAGGTTTTTTTACAACGTTTTTCAAAGTTTCAGTGTAAATTTGGAGGATTCCAAGTCATAAAAATGCACAATCGTTCTGGCAGGGCTTATTTCCCTTTCGTAAACGGTCGTTGCCATTTTTTTTTTTTAAGGAATGTGTAGCGTTTGTGCGATTTTAGGTTATTTTAATGCACAGTAGCTTTTCCATTCTTCATGACATTTCATTACCTTACAGACTGCTGTTAATATTTAACCAAAGACTCTTAGCTACTCTTTCTCCGCGTAAATGTTTCAATTAAAGGTTTTTTAAAAATGGTGGATTGCAAGCCTATATTAGGACAAAATATAGTAAACTGCGTTTACAGAGAAAAATATTTTTTTCTTCGAAAACGCGAGAATAAATTTTGGTGTTTCATTAAATATTGGTGACTGTTATCCCAGAACGTGTTAAAACAATGGAACATGTTTTGATGGAATGAACAACTACACCTGCGCTTGCGTACCTGGCTTTAAAGGAAAGAACTGCTCTATAGAGTGTTTTCACATGACGTCCCGGCGACCATATTGGTGTCCCAAAACAATGAAACGGCGGCCTTGTTGGTGTCCCAAACCAATCCTGTGGGAGTTGAACTCTTTTCTTATGCAAACGCTCTCTTTTGTTCCCATAAATTTGCATAGATGCTGGCCAAGTGAGTGAAAACGCTCCATTGGTAGGCTTTTAAACAGTTTAACTGAATACAGTCTTAATTCAACAGTCAACGGAAACATTTTTAAGTAGAAGTAGGGTAGATTTAGGTCCGTCCGCTGGACTAGTAAAATTTGTCTTTATTCTTCTCCTTCTTCTCCTTCTTTCTCCCTTTCAGACACAGATGACTGTGATCCTTACCCGTGTCTCAACAATGGAACATGCATAGACGATGTGAATAACTATACTTGCGCATGCCCTCCTGGCTTTGAAGGGAGGAACTGCAGCATCAGTAAGTTTGTTATTACCGAGGTTTTTTTACAACGTTTTTCAAAGTTTCAGTGTAAATTTGGAGGATTCCAAGTCATAAAAATGCACAATCGCTCTGGCAGGGTTTATTTCCCCTTCGTAAACGGTCGTTGCCATTTTAAACGGTCGATGTCACCCTTAGTAACCATGCCTTTACTTATGATTGATGTAATATTTTCCCTGGATTAAGTTACAATAAGAGAAATAATACTTTTTTGAATAGTCTTAGAAAGGACGACCTTGAAGCTCAAATTGAATTGACGTTAAAAGTTATAGAAAGGATTAGGGTCATCTATTATTGATGTAACAGTTACGGAAGACAGTTTGCTACAATAGCTTATGTATTTAATTTTTCGAAATTTTGGCTGATCAATATGGTAGTGAAACGGTAAGGGTGAGAGGGATGCGAAAAGTCCGGGTTCGACCCTGGGTTGCGATTTTCTTTCGTTCAAATAAAAACGCTCTCAATAACAGGTCAAAACGTTTCTATGTGCCTTAGAAATTGCAGGGACCGTTAACGAACGAACGGGATAACTGCCTCGTCAGGTTCAGTAAAAGGTTTCGTCATTGCTCACTCCATTTTTCTATCTTAAAGGGGCACCTTCAAGCAGTGTCATGGCGGTCGTGCACTTCACCGAAATCATTTGCTGTAATACAAAAATTAGGAACGTGATTTCTACAACTGTATGTTTGATAACAGGATTGTATCTATGTTTCTTTTAAGAAGGGTATCACAGCCTGCTATTTGCTTAGGTTGCGAAGATATAATCTGATTTTCAAACACAATCAGAACGTTCGTAACTTCCGTATTACAACTAATTATTTCGTTAAAGTGCACGGCCGCAATGCACACTGGTTGAAGGTGCCCCTTAAAAGATTATAATTAGACGGACTTTTTTTTTACCGACGTAAAAACTGCAAGTGCGGTTTGAATATGCAAGTTCACTACAAGGCTCTATAGTACAAAATGTTTTAGACTTGCAACCGAAAAGGTTTTTCATATTTCAAAGACATGAACGCATAAGAACATCGATCTTAATATGTAATCGTGATGTCTTTTCAGATTTTGACGACTGTTATCCTAGCCCCTGCCAAAACAATGGAACATGTATTGACGGAGTGAACAATTATTCTTGCGCTTGCGTACCTGGATTTGAAGGAAACAATTGCACCATTAGTAAGTTCCTAAGAAATGTAAGGAGCTTTATTTAACGCATTTAATTCATCGGTCAATGGTAATGTTTCAAGATATTTTTGTACACGATAAGTTCCTTCCCTATTAGACCAGTAAAAGTTGTCTCAATCGTGTAAAGTCTTTTTTTGTTATTGTTTGCCTTTTATCAGACACTGATGACTGTGATCCTTACCCGTGTGTAAACAATGCAACATGCATAGATGATGTGAATAACTATACTTGCGCATGCTCTCCTGGCTTTGAAGGGAGGAACTGCAGCATCAGTAAGTTTTCCTTTCGTGTTGACCTTTCTCATCGGTCAATGGTAACGTTTTTGAGATGTTATTGGGCATGATATGTTTCTTCGCCAGACCAGTAAAAGTTGTCTTTATCGCATGAAGTCTGGATTTTTCGCTTTCTTCCAGACAAAGATGACTGTGATCCTTACCCGTGTGTAAACAATGGAACATGCATAGATGGTGTGAACAACTATTCTTGTGCATGCTCTCCTGGTTTTGAAGGGAGGAACTGCAGCATCAGTAAGTGTTTTTTTTTTTTAAGAGAGAAGGTTTAGAACGGTTTTTTTTTTCACGTTATTTTAATAAATCATCGGTTTTGTAGGTTTCGTGATTGTTTGGCAAGCTGAAATTTTTTCCTTCTTGAATAGAACATTAATCTATAGATTTAGCCAGGGTAAAAAGCGAAGCTCTCCACAATATTTATAGTTTTCTCCAGGAAAATATGAAATCGTGTAACGCTATAAGCGGCGAACGCAACGAGAATAGTGAAAAAACAACAATAGGTCTAATTAGCAAAAAAGCACTTTGCTCGTGCAGCACACTTTTTTTTGTACATTTCTTTGCCGTTGTTTTGCACGACTGCAACGTGAACATTCCAGAAACTTCCTCGCTACAAGTTTTATGAAGGAAATGTCGTATCTTTTGTTCACTTGTTTTACTGCCGCTCACCTTGGTGGCCGCTAGCATTTTCATTTTCTCACCGCCGCTAAAAAATTTTCATGTTGTTCTTCCAACAAAAATGTCTCCTTTGTTTTTGATCCCTCGCTGTAGCTCTCTGTCGTTCTTTTTCTCGTTGAGCTTCGCTGGCCTGTCGCCTACTTTCTCTTTTTTCTCTCTTTCTCTTTCTCTATCACCCAAATTTGTGGGCATAACAAATAATCTAAGCTTAACACTTTAGACAACAAGCATACAGAAACAACGCCTGCTTTCCGTTTTCGTCTTTATTGACTCTCCTAATGGTTGTCTCTGCTTCCGAGACTCGGTTGACTATGCGATTTACCGCCGAAACAATCTCGAGTTGCATTTGGATTGCCATACCTGTTGATTAAGTTATTTTACATTGGTATGCCTGTGGTGCGAACGGACGGACGGACGGTCGGTCGGTCGGTCGGTCGGTCGGTTTTTTTATTTTCTTACGTATGGGGCTACACTCGCGCGCGCGTGGAGCACCGCTGTAATAAATTTTCTTACCCATGTTAAAGATTCCAGTAGGCTTCAAGTATGAAAGTTCATAATGCCCAGTAGTAAAAAAATTTGTTTTCCAACATTTTTTTTCTTTTAAACATGAGTTTGTAAGACTATAATTAATCGTATGAACTGTATGCAACTTTTCTTCTTATCAGATATTGACGACTGTTATCCCAGCCCTTGTGAAAACAACGGGGCATGTATTGACGGTGTGAACAGTTACACTTGCGCTTGCGTACCTGGATTTGAAGGAAAGAACTGCTCCATAGGTAGGTTCTTAAACAGTTTTTATTTAACACCAGTTTCAGATCACGAAAGCCAACGGGAACATTTGCAGTAGTCGTGTATTAAGGTCTATCCAAGTCTGTCTCCTGGTCTGTCCGTTAATCGACTGCTCTGAAAGTTGTATTTTTTTCTTGGTTCATTTCAGACACCGATGATTGTTATCCTTACCTGTGTTTAAACAATGGAACATGCATAGATCATGTGAATAACTACACTTGCGCATGCCCTCCTGGCTTTGAAGGGAGAAACTGCGGCATTAGTAAGCTTTTTTATTATGATATTTAAAAAATGGGTGTTTTTAACTTAAAATTAATATGAGTTTCGACGATTTCAAGTTGTTATGGTAGAGAATAGTTTTCTTCGTAGGTCTAGTGATAGGTTCTTCCTAAAGTCCTTCTCCCTTTTTTACCATTTTAAATATAACATGTACTCCAGTAAACGATAAATTTCCGTCGAAAGGAACTCTTATAGTTTTATTCTGTTTTATTAGGTTATTTTTTATATAAATATTTACTAAAAAAATGCGTGCATCAAAAGAAGCACTTATTGAATCGCTTAATTTGTGTGCATTTTGGTATTTCATCAGATACTGACGATTGTTATTCCAAGCCGTGTGAAAATAATGGAACATGTATCGATGGAGTGAACAACTACATTTGCACTTGCGTACCTGGATTTGAAGGAAAGAACTGCAGCATCAGTAAGCTCTTAAACAACTTTGTTAAACATATGTTTCATTTATCAGTCAGAAGAAATGTTTTCTAGGTGCTGGGGTGCACAATGACGTCCGTCGGACCAATAAAAATTCTTTTCGTTGCCTTATGAAGTTTTTTCTTCTATTTCTTAGACATTGATGACTGTGATCCTTACCCGTGTGTAAACAATGGAACATGCATAGATGGTGTAGATAATTATACTTGCGCATGTGTCCCTGGCTTTCAAGGGAAGAACTGTGCTATAAGTAAGTATTTTTTATGAAGGTATTTAAAAAGTGGGTGTTTTAACTTTTCTTTAAATTTTTAGTTTGGTCGATTTCATTTTATTGCAAAAAAAATAAAAAAAAAACCAGTTCCCATTGTATTTTCGTTGACAGGTCCACGCTTCCTTCTCCCTTTTTACCACTTTAAATAGAAAATTTACCCAAAGCAAAGGAATTTTTGTGGTTTTGTTTTCTTTTATTTATTATTTTTTGTTTATTTAAGTATTTACATTGGATATAGGGTGAAATCGCGTAATTTGTGTGCATCTTGTATTTCATCAGATATTGATGACTGTTATCCCAACCCGTGTGAAAACAATGGAACATGTATTGACGGAGTGAACAAGTACACTTGCGCTTGCGTGCCTGGATTTGAAGGAAAGAACTGCACCATCAGTAAGCTCTTAAACAAGTCTTTCAAACAAACCTTGAATTCATCAGTCATCAGTTATATTTTCTAGGTGCTGTGGTGCGCAATAACGTCCACTTGACCAGTTAAAATTGTTTTCCCCCTTTTTTCAGACACAGATGACTGTGATCCTTACCCGTGTGTAAACAATGGAACATGCATAGATGGTGTGAACAACTATTCTTGTGCATGCTCTCCTGGCTTTGAAGGGAGGAACTGCAACATCAGTAAGTGTTGTTTTTTTTTTTACGAGAGAAGGTTTAGAACGCGTTTTATTTTTGTTTTATTTTTTTTTCATGTTATTTTAATACATCATCGGTTTTGTAGGTTTCGTGATTGTTTGGCAAGCTGAAATTTTCTCCTTCTTAAATAGAAGATTAATCTATAGATTTAGCCAGGGCTAAAAGCGAAGCTCTCCATAATATTTATAGTTTTCTCAAGGAAAATATGAAATCGTGTAATGCTATAAGCGGCGAAGGCAACGAGATTAGTGAAAAAACATCAATAGGTCTCATTAGCAAAAAAGTACTTTGCTCGTGCAGCACACTTTTTTGTACATTTCTCTGCCGTTGTTTTGCACGACTGCAACGTGAACATTCCAGAAACTTCCTCGCTACAAGTTTTATGAAGGAAATGTCGTACCTTTTGTTCACTTTTTTTACTGCCGCTCACCTTGGTGGCGGCTAGCATTTTCATTTTCTCACCGCCGCTACAAAATTTTCATGTTGTTCTTCCAACAAAAAATGTCTGCTTTGTTTTTGATCTCTCGCTGTAGCTCTCTGTCGCTCTTTTTCTCGTTGAGCTTCGCTGGCCTGTTGCCTACTTTCTCTTTTTTCTCTCTTCCTCTTTCTCTATTACCCAAATTTGTAGGCATGACAAATAATCTAAGCTTAATACTTTAGAAAACACGCATACAGAAATAACGCCTGCTTTTTGTTTTTGTCTTCATTGACTCTTTTAATGGTTGTCTCTGCTTCCGAGACTCTGTTGACTATGCGATTTCCCGCCGAAATAACCTCGAGTTGCATTTAGATTGCCATACCTGTTGATTAAGTTATTTTACATTGGTATGCCTGTGGGGAGAACGGACGGACGGTCAGTCGGTCGGTGGTTTTTATTTTCTTAGGTATGGGGCTAAGCTCGCGCGCACGTGGAGCACGCTGTTAATAAATACTTTCTTACCCATGTTAAAGATTCCAGTAGGCTTCAAGTATGAAAGTTCATAATGCCCAATAGTGAAAAAAATGTGTTTTCCAACATTTTTTTTTCTTTTAAACATGAGTTTGTAAGACCACAATTAATCATATGAACTGTTTACAACTTTTCTTCTCATCAGATATTGACGACTGTTATCCTAGCCCTTGTGAAAACAATGCAACATGTATTGACGGTGTGAACAGTTACACTTGCACTTGCCTACCTGGATTTGAAGGAAAGAACTGCTCCATAGGTAGGTTCTTAAACAGTTGTTATTTAACACCAGTTTCAGATCACGAAAGCCAACAACAACATTTTCAAGTTGCAGTAGTCGTGTATTAAGGTCTATCCAAGTCTGTCTCCTGGTCTGGGGCCGGTTGCTCGAAGCCTAGTTAGCGCTAACCGTTGGTTAAGAGGTATCAAAATGTATAGGTTTCCATGGTATTTAACGCTGGATAGCACTAACCATGCTTTGAGCAACCTGGGCCTGTCCGTTAATCGACTACTTAAAGTTGTCTTTTTTCTTGGTTCATTTCAGACACCGATGATTGTTATCCTTACCTGTGTTTAAACAATGGAACATGCATAGATCATGTGAATAACTACACTTGCGCATGCCCTCCTGGCTTTGAAGGGAGAAACTGCGGCATCAGTAAGCTTTTTTATTATGATATTTAAAAAATGGGTGTTTTTAACTTAAAATTAATGTGAGTTTGGACGATTTCAAGTTGTTATGGTAGAGAACAGTTTTCTTCGTAGGTCTAGTGATAGGTTCTTCCTAAAGTCCTTCTCCCTTTTTTACCATTTTAAATATAACATGTACTCCAGTAAACGATAAATTTCCGTTGAAAGGAACTCTTATAGTTTTATTCTGTTTTATTAGGTTATTTTTTATATAAATATTTACTAAAAAAATGCGTGCATCAAAAGAAGCACTTATTGAATCGCTTAATTTGTGTGCATTTTGGTATTTCATCAGATACTGACGATTGTTATCCCAAGCCGTGTGAAAATAATGGAACATGTATCGATGGAGTGAACAACTACATTTGCACTTGCGTACCTGGATTTGAAGGAAAGAACTGCAGCATCAGTAAGCTCTTAAACAACTTTGTTAAACATATGTTTCATTTATCAGTCAGAAGAAATGTTTTCTAGGTGCTGGGGTGCACAATAACGTCCGTCGGACCAATAAAAATTCTTTTCGTTGCCTTATGAAGTTTTTTCTTCTATTTCTTAGACATTGATGACTGTGATCCTTACCCGTGTGTAAACAATGGAACATGCATAGATGGTGTAGATAATTATACTTGCGCATGTGTCCCTGGCTTTCAAGGGAAGAACTGTGCTATAAGTAAGTATTTTTTATGAAGGTATTTAAAAAGTGGGTGTTTTAACTTTTCTTTAAATTTTTAGTTTGGTCGATTTCATTTCATTGCAAAAAAATAAAAAAAAAACCAGTTCCCATTCTATTTTCGTTGACAGGTCCACACTTCCTTCTCCCTTTTTACCACTTTAAATAGAAAATTTACCCAAAGCAAAGGAATTTTTGTGGTTTTGTTTTCTTTTATTTATTATTTTTGTTTATTTAAGTATTTACATTGGATATAGGGTGAAATCGCGTAATTTGTGTGCATCTTGTAATTCATCAGATATTGATGACTGTTATCCCAACCCGTGTGAAAACAATGGAACATGTATTGACGGAGTGAACAAGTACACTTGCGCTTGCGTGCCTGGATTTGAAGGAAAGAACTGCACCATCAGTAAGCTCTTAAACAAGTCTTTCAAACAAACCTTGAATTCATCAGTCATCAGTTATATTTTCTAGGTGCTGTGGTGCGCAATAACGTCCACTTGACCAGTTAAAATTGTTTTCCCCCTTTTTTCAGACACAGATGACTGTGATCCTTACCCGTGTGTAAACAATGGAACATGCATAGATGGTGTGAACAACTATTCTTGTGCATGCTCTCCTGGCTTTGAAGGGAGGAACTGCAACATCAGTAAGTGTTGTTTTTTTTTTACGAGAGAAGGTTTAGAACCCGTTTTATTTATTTATTTATTTTTTTCAAGTTATTTTAATACATCATCGGTTTTGTAGGTTTCGTGATTGTTTGGCAAGCTGAAATTTTCTCCTTCTTAAATAGAAGATTAATCTATAGATTTAGCCAGGGCTAAAAGCGAAGCTCTCCATAATATTTATAGTTTTCTCAAGGAAAATATGAAATCGTGTAATGCTATAAGCGGCGAAGGCAACGAGATTAGTGAAAAAACATCAATAGGTCTAATTAGCAAAAAAGTACTTTGCTCGTGCAGCACACTTTTTTGTACATTTCTCTGCCGTTGTTTTGCACGACTGCAACGTGAACATTCCAGAAACTTCCTCGCTACAAGTTTTATGAAGGAAATGTCGTACCTTTTGTTCACTTTTTTTAACTGCCGCTCACCTTGGTGGCGGCTAGCATTTTCATTTTCTCACCGCCGCTACAAAATTTTCATGTTGTTCTTCCAACAAAAAATGTCTGCTTTGTTTTTGATCTCTCGCTGTAGCTCTCTGTCGCTCTTTTTCTCGTTGAGCTTCGCTGGCCTGTTGCCTACTTTCTCTTTTTTCTCTCTTCCTCTTTCTCTATTACCCAAATTTGTAGGCATGACAAATAATCTAAGCTTAATACTTTAGAAAACAAGCATACAGAAATAACGCCTGCTTTTTGTTTTTGTCTTCATTGACTCTTTTAATGGTTGTCTCTGCTTCCGAGACTCTGTTGACTATGCGATTTCCCGCCGAAATAACCTCGAGTTGCATTTAGATTGCCATACCTGTTGATTAAGTTATTTTACATTGGTATGCCTGTGGGGAGAACGGACGGACGGTCAGTCGGTCGGTGGTTTTTTATTTTCTTAGGTATGGGGCTAAGCTCGCGCGCACGTGGAGCACCGCTGTTAATAAATACTTTCTTACCCATGTTAAAGATTCCAGTAGGCTTCAAGTATGAAAGTTCATGATGCCCAATAGTGAAAAAAATGTGTTTTCCAACATTTTTTTTTCTTTTAAACATGAGTTTGTAAGACCACAATTAATCATATGAACTGTTTACAACTTTTCTTCTCATCAGATATTGACGACTGTTATCCTAGCCCTTGTGAAAACAATGCAACATGTATTGACGGTGTGAACAGTTACACTTGCACTTGCCTACCTGGATTTGAAGGAAAGAACTGCTCCATAGGTAGGTTCTTAAACAGTTGTTATTTAACACCAGTTTCAGATCACGAAAGCCAACAACAACATTTTCAAGTTGCAGTAGTCGTGTATTAAGGTCTATCCAAGTCTGTCTCCTGGTCTGGGGCCGGTTGCTCGAAGCCTAGTTAGCGCTAACCGTTGGTTAAGAGGTATCAAAATGTATAGGTTTCCATGGTATTTAACGCTGGATAGCACTAACCATGCTTTGAGCAACCTGGGCCTGTCCGTTAATCGACTACTTAAAGTTGTCTTTTTTCTTGGTTCATTTCAGACACCGATGATTGTTATCCTTACCTGTGTTTAAACAATGGAACATGCATAGATCATGTGAATAACTACACTTGCGCATGCCCTCCTGGCTTTGAAGGGAGAAACTGCGGCATCAGTAAGCTTTTTTATTATGATATTTAAAAAATGGGTGTTTTTAACTTAAAATTAATGTGAGTTTGGACGATTTCAAGTTGTTATGGTAGAGAACAGTTTTCTTCGTAGGTCTAGTGATAGGTTCTTCCTAAAGTCCTTCTCCCTTTTTACCATTTTAAATATAACATGTACTCCAGTAAACGATAAATTTCCGTTGAAAGGAACTCTTATAGTTTTATTCTGTTTTATTAGGTTATTTTTTATATAAATATTTACTAAAAAATGCGTGCATCAAAAGAAGCACTTATTGAATCGCTTAATTTGTGTGCATTTTGGTATTTCATCAGATACTGACGATTGTTATCCCAAGCCGTGTGAAAATAATGGAACATGTATCGATGGAGTGAACAACTACATTTGCACTTGCGTACCTGGATTTGAAGGAAAGAACTGCAGCATCAGTAAGCTCTTAAACAACTTTGTTAAACATATGTTTCATTTATCAGTCAGAAGAAATGTTTTCTAGGTGCTGGGGTGCACAATAACGTCCGTCGGACCAATAAAAATTCTTTTCGTTGCCTTATGAAGTTTTTTCTTCTATTTCTTAGACATTGATGACTGTGATCCTTACCCGTGTGTAAACAATGGAACATGCATAGATGGTGTAGATAATTATACTTGCGCATGTGTCCCTGGCTTTCAAGGGAAGAACTGTGCTATAAGTAAGTATTTTTTATGAAGGTATTTAAAAAGTGGGTGTTTTAACTTTTCTTTAAATTTTTAGTTTGGTCGATTTCATTTCATTGCAAAAAAATAAAAAAAAAACCAGTTCCCATTCTATTTTCGTTGACAGGTCCACACTTCCTTCTCCCTTTTTACCACTTTAAATAGAAAATTTACCCAAAGCAAAGGAATTTTTGTGGTTTTGTTTTCTTTTATTTATTATTTTTTGTTTATTTAAGTATTTACATTGGATATAGGGTGAAATCGCGTAATTTGTGTGCATCTTGTAATTCATCAGATATTGATGACTGTTATCCCAACCCGTGTGAAAACAATGGAACATGTATTGACGGAGTGAACAAGTACACTTGCGCTTGCGTGCCTGGATTTGAAGGAAAGAACTGCACCATCAGTAAGCTCTTAAACAAGTCTTTCAAACAAACCTTGAATTCATCAGTCATCAGTTATATTTTCTAGGTGCTGTGGTGCGCAATAACGTCCACTTGACCAGTTAAAATTGTTTTCCCCCTTTTTTCAGACACAGATGACTGTGATCCTTACCCGTGTGTAAACAATGGAACATGCATAGATGGTGTGAACAACTATTCTTGTGCATGCTCTCCTGGCTTTGAAGGGAGGAACTGCAACATCAGTAAGTGTTGTTTTTTTTTTACGAGAGAAGGTTTAGAACCCGTTTTATTTATTTATTTATTTTTTTCAAGTTATTTTAATACATCATCGGTTTTGTAGGTTTCGTGATTGTTTGGCAAGCTGAAATTTTCTCCTTCTTAAATAGAAGATTAATCTATAGATTTAGCCAGGGCTAAAAGCGAAGCTCTCCATAATATTTATAGTTTTCTCAAGGAAAATATGAAATCGTGTAATGCTATAAGCGGCGAAGGCAACGAGATTAGTGAAAAAACATCAATAGGTCTAATTAGCAAAAAAGTACTTTGCTCGTGCAGCACACTTTTTTGTACATTTCTCTGCCGTTGTTTTGCACGACTGCAACGTGAACATTCCAGAAACTTCCTCGCTACAAGTTTTATGAAGGAAATGTCGTACCTTTTGTTCACTTTTTTTACTGCCGCTCACCTTGGTGGCGGCTAGCATTTTCATTTTCTCACCGCCGCTACAAAATTTTCATGTTGTTCTTCCAACAAAAAATGTCTGCTTTGTTTTTGATCTCTCGCTGTAGCTCTCTGTCGTTCTTTTTCTCGTTGAGCTTCGCTGGCCTGTTGCCTACTTTCTCTTTTTTCTCTCTTCCTCTTTCTCTATTACCCAAATTTGTAGGCATGACAAATAATCTAAGCTTAATACTTTAGACAACAAGCATACAGAAACAACGCCTGCTTTTTGTTTTTGTCTTCATTGACTCTTTTAATGGTTGTCTCTGCTTCCGAGACTCTGTTGACTATGCGATTTCCCGCCGAAATAACCTCGAGTTGCATTTAGATTGCCATACCTGTTGATTAAGTTATTTTACATTGGTATGCCTGTGGGGAGAACGGACGGACGGTCAGTCGGTCGGTGGTTTTTTATTTTCTTAGGTATGGGGCTAAGCTCGCGCGCACGTGGAGCACCGCTGTTAATAAATACTTTCTTACCCATGTTAAAGATTCCAGTAGGCTTCAAGTATGAAAGTTCATGATGCCCAATAGTGAAAAAAATGTGTTTTCCAACATTTTTTTTTCTTTTAAACATGAGTTTGTAAGACCACAATTAATCATATGAACTGTTTACAACTTTTCTTCTCATCAGATATTGACGACTGTTATCCTAGCCCTTGTGAAAACAATGGAACATGTATTGACGGTGTGAACAGTTACACTTGCACTTGCCTACCTGGATTTGAAGGAAAGAACTGCTCCATAGGTAGGTTCTTAAACAGTTGTTATTTAACACCAGTTTCAGATCACGAAAGCCAACAACAACATTTTCAAGTTGCAGTAGTCGTGTATTAAGGTCTATCCAAGTCTGTCTCCTGGTCTGGGGCCGGTTGCTCGAAGCCTAGTTAGCGCTAACCGTTGGTTAAGAGGTATCAAAATGTATAGGTTTCCATGGTATTTAACGCTGGATAGCACTAACCATGCTTTGAGCAACCTGGGCCTGTCCGTTAATCGACTACTTAAAGTTGTATTTTTTTTTTCTTGGTTCATTTCAGACACCGATGATTGTTATCCTTACCTGTGTTTAAACAATGGAACATGCATAGATCATGTGAATAACTACACTTGCGCATGCCCTCCTGGCTTTGAAGGGAGAAACTGCGGCATCAGTAAGCTTTTTTATTATGATATTTAAAAAATGGGTGTTTTTAACTTAAAATTAATGTGAGTTTGGACGATTTCAAGTTGTTATGGTAGAGAACAGTTTTCTTCGTAGGTCTAGTGATAGGTTCTTCCTAAAGTCCTTCTCCCTTTTTTACCATTTTAAATATAACATGTACTCCAGTAAACGATAAATTTCCGTTGAAAGGAACTCTTATAGTTTTATTCTGTTTTATTAGGTTATTTTTTATGTAAATATTTACTTAAAAAATACGTGCCTCAGAAGAAGCGCTTATTGAATCGCGTAATTTGTGTGCATTTTGGTATTTCATCAGATACTGACGACTGTTATCCCAAGCCGTGTGAAAATAATGGAACATGTATCGATGGAGTGAACAACTACATTTGCACTTGCGTACCTGGATTTGAAGGAAAGAACTGCAGCATCAGTAAGCTCTTAAACAACTTTGTTAAACATATGTTTCATTTATCAGTCAGAAGAAATGTTTTCTAGGTGCTGGGGTGCACAATGACGTCCGTCGGACCAATAAAAATTCTTTTCGTTGCCTTATCAAGTTTTTTCTTCTATTCCTTAGACATTGATGACTGTAATCCTTACCCGTGTGTAAACAATGGAACATGCATAGATGGTGTAGATAATTATACTTGCGCATGTGTCCCTGGCTTTCAAGGGAGGAACTGTGCTATAAGTAAGTATTTTTTATGGAGGTATTTAAAAAGTGGGTGTTTTAACTTTTCTTTAAATTTTTAGTTTGGTCGATTTCATTTTATTGCAAAAAAATTAAAAAAAACCAGTTCCCATTCTATTTTCGTTGACAGGTCCACACTTCCTTCTCCTTTTTTACCACTTTAAATAGAAAATTTACCCAAAGCAAAGGAATTTTTGTGGTTTTGTTTTCTTTTATTTATTATTTTTTGTTTATTTAAGTATTTACATTGGATATAGGGTGAAATCGCGTAATTTGTGTGCATCTTGTATTTCATCAGATATTGATGACTGTTATCCCAACCCGTGTGAAAACAATGGAACATGTATTGACGGAGTGAACAAGTACACTTGCGCTTGCGTGCCTGGATTTGAAGGAAAGAACTGCACCATCAGTAAGCTCTTAAACAAGTCTTTCAAACAAACCTTGAATTCATCAGTCATCAGTTATATTTTTTAGGTGCTGTGGTTCGCAATGACTTCCACTGGACCAGTTAAAACTGTTTTCCCCCTTTTTTCAGACACAGATGACTGTGATCCTTACCCGTGTGTAAACAATGCAACATGCATAGATGGTGTAAATAACTATACTTGCGCATGCCACCCTGGCATTGAAGGAAGGAACTGCAACATCAGTAAGTTACCTATTAAGGAATTTTGTTTTTGGCTTTTACTGCGCACACACATACGTACAGAAAATTGAAAATCGACTACCTCTTCTATGGCTGAATTCGTATGCGAATAAGAAAAATATCAACAATGACGTCACGATGAATCCGCCTATACTGTGCAGGTTATACATATGTGTCATACCGGCAAATTATTGGTTTAACTGGTGAGTTCCTTTCTTTGACTGTGTCTTCTGTTGTGAAATGACGTCAAAATGCATTTTGCTTGTTTCATTTTATCTCGTTATTTTAATAAGTCCAGACGTTTGAAAAATAAAATCAAGTTGAGAACGCTTTCAGATAATCGCGAAACCTTTTTTTTATTCTGTACTTGCCTTTCGAAATCGCGAAAATAAAAGCCCGCGAAATGCCGTCTCACAGAAATCGCGAAATTAAGTACCAAGGCATTTTATCAGATATTCACGGATATACCAGCTAATGTGAAAACAATGGGACATGTAACGATGGAGTGAACTACCACACTTGCTCTTGAGCACCTGGCCTTGAAGGGAAAACTGCACCATCAGTAAGCTCTTTAATCCTAATTAATAGTTTTATTTATTTATTTATTCATTTTAATTCATCAGTCAGCGGGACAGTAGATATTGTTATCACTGGGTCACTCCTGTTTCTTCCTTTTTTAGACACTGATGATTGTGATCCTCACCCGTGTGCAAACAATGGAACATGCAGAGATATGGTGAATAACTATACTTGCGCATGCCAGCCTGGCTTTGAAGGGAGGAACTGTACTATCAGTAAGTTTATTTGTTATTCGAGAATATTTTAATACGAGTATTTTATGTTGATGCTGTATTGGTCCTGGAGAGTGAACAAAAGCGTGACCAAGCTAAAAGCTTTCTTCAAGATTTTTGTTGGAGCAAATCTATTGGTTATTTCCACCCTGAAAACTTTTGTCCAGGACAAATGCAAGCCGTATGGCTTGGTTTCCCCTCCTTTGCAGAGTCTTCCTTTCCCTCTGCGACAGTCTGTACAGGTGGATGTCCGGGCGGTGTGCGCTGACGTCAGGCTAAATTTCATTGTATTTTAAAAAAATTGTCTGATAGGTTTCCAATTTCCATGATAATTGAGGCTCGTTTCATAGTTCCATTGACTGATTCTCCCATTCTTCATAAAATTTTACTCTTGAAAACATTATAATGAGATACATACTTCTCATGTTTTAATCATATAAAAGCTTCCGTGAAGATCTTGCGCCTTATGAATTCCTTGTTCAAGTAAAGCGGTTTTTATCAATTTATTATTATTTTATTTTTTGACAAATAAATTTATGAAAAAGTGAAGTTATTTCAACCGGATAAAGGGTTTTCTTCTTGGTACCTCATCAGATATTGATGACTGTCATCTCAGCCCTTGTGAAAACAATGGAATATGTATTGACGGAGTGAACAAGTACACTTGCGCCTGCGTAACTGGCTTTGAAGGGAAAAACTGCACCATCAGTGAGTTTTAAAACTACCTTAATCAACATGATTATTTATAATTCATCAGTCAATGGAAACGTTTTCAAGGTGCTATTATGAACAATAAGTTTGTCCGCAAGGCCATTAAAAATTGTCGAGTTAAGTCTATTTTGGTTGCTTTTTGTCAGACACTGATGACTGTGATCCTTACCCGTGTCTAAACAATGGAACATGCATAGATGGTGTGAATAACTATACCTGCGCATGTCATTCTGGCTTTGAAGGGAGGAATTGCAACATCAGTAAGTTCTTTACTTCTTCTTCTTTTTCTTTTCCTTTTTCAGGAGGAATTTTTAAAATGTGTACGCTGTGATACCCAAATAGATTTTCCACCCTTCATATATTTCACTTTCTTATTTGAAAAAAGGGCAATTTCTCCATGTAAACGTTTCAATGGACATATTTTTCTTTTTTTGAAAAAATACGAACATAAAAAAGTAAATTATTCATTAGCCGATGGAATCACTTTTTAAACTGATTGTTAATATTGTGCCTCTTGGCTTCCTGTCAGATATTAATGAATGCTATCCCAGCCCGTGTAAAAACAATGGAACATGTGTTGACGGAGTGAACAACTACACTTGCGCTTGCGTACCTGGATTTGAAGGAAAGAACTGCGCCATCAGTAAGTTCTTTATAGCTTTAATAAACATAGCTTCAACTCATTAGCCAACCGAATCGCTTTGAACAGGTTAAAGCTGAAATGGAGGACATTTACGTCCGCTGGACCAGTAAAAATTATGTTTATTATGTTAAGTCTATTTTTCTTGCATTTTTTCAGACACTGATGACTGTGATCCTTACCCGTGTGTAAATAATGCAACATGCATAGATGGTGTAAATAACTATACTTGCGCATGCTCTCCTGGCTTTGAAGGGAGGAACTGCACCATCAGTGAGTTCTGTTTTTCTTTTATGTCAGTTTTTATGAAGGAATTTTTGTCGGTTAAGTTTGTTGTTGGTTCTTTCATTTGCTCCGAGAGGTTTTTCTCCGGGTACTCCGGTTTTCCCCTCTCCTCAAAAACCAGCATTTTCAAATTCCAATTCGACCAGGAATCAGGTAAACGAAGAACCACTATGTGGATGTGCTACCTGCAAATCGTTATTTATTTATTTATTTAATGTTTGTTTTTTGTTTTTTTTGTTTGTTTGTTTGTTTTTTTGGCGGTAGGTTCTTCCATCCTTGACAACACTTAATTTTCTTAAGTAATGGACGTTTCTTCTTATGAAAAGTGCGCGTTTTGTTGTTGTTTTTTTCTTTTAGATATTAATGATTGTTATCGAAGCCCTTGTGAAAACAAAGGAACATGTATTGACGGTGTGAATAGCTACACTTGTGCTTGCGTTCCTGGCTTTGAAGGAAAGAACTGTACCATCGGTAAGCTTTTAAGGTGCCGCGGAGCAAATTTTCGTCCGATAGAGCACAACAAAAGTCGGAAAAAACTGCACCAATAGTACACTGTAAGCTCTGTAACAATTTTCATAAACATATTATTAATTCATCAGCCAATGGGAATGTTTTCAAGAAGCAACAGAGCTCATTTACTTTGGAAAGAGCACCATAAAAGTGTTTGCTTTTTGGTATTTCATCAGATATTGATGACTGTCATCCCAGCCCGTGTGAAAACCACGGTACTTGTGTTGACGGAGTGAACAACTACACTTGCGTTTGCCTACCAGGCTTTGAAGGAAAGACCTGCGCCATCGGTAAGTTGTTAAACAACATTAATAAACACCCGTTTCAGTTTATTAGTCAACGGGAACGTTTTGAAGATGGATTGGAATACATTTACATTCGATAGACCAGCGAAATTCGTCTTTATCGTATAAATCCTGTTTTCGTCGTTATGGTCGTTGTTTATTTCAGACACTAACGACTGTGATCCTTACAATGCAACACGCATAGATGATGTGAATAACTATACTTGCGCATGCCCACCTGGCTTTCAAGGGAGGAACTGCAGCATCATAAGTTTTTTTTACGAAGAACTGTAGAACGTGTTTTTAAGTTAAAGTGTAAATTTGGACGGAATGATTTCCGTGGTTCATTTAAAAGCCTTCTCCCATCCTTCACACCATTTTACTTTGTGAAAGACTATGATACGGCCAAAAATTTTTCTCATGTAAGAGCGCTAATTTATGACGGTTTTTTTTATGCACGATTGCTATTGCTGTAGTGCAATATAAATTCCGGAGGAGGCAGAATACTTTTCGTGGTAACGTTTTTGTTGGTTCGTTCAGAATTACTATCCTTCAAAAATCTCGTTAATTATTCTGCATCCATGATTGGGTTTTTGACGCAGGGTAACAATAACTGATCGAACGTTTTTCCAGCAAAGGAAAGTGAATTATTGCATCTTTTAAGATGGCTTGATAGGGTTTTTCTAGCAGTCGGCTAGAGCTATCCCCATGACCTTTCACACACGTTTAAAAAATACTGAAACTAGCATTGTAAATTGTATTTCAAAGCCCGTCGTTTTCCACATACGACGACCGAATATCAATATTGTCTAGTTTTTATCGTGTTTTTAACCATAAAAACTGCACCCGAAATTAATATGACTCGATAACGCTCTTACAGATTTCGCTTAAACTTCACGAACATCGAGGAGAAAAACGTTACCGTAAACGATTTTGGAAGACCAGTTTCCAGTGCCTAGAAGTACGGCTGTAAGTGTAGTTCTAATTTTCAATTTGTGGATGACAAAATCTCTTCTATGTTGATTCTCGGTACCCTTTGAGGTGGACAGAGATTACAGACCAGAGCAAATCTATGTTTACTCTACCTGCAAAAGAAATAGTTCAGTTCTCCACATTATGTTACCATGAAACTTATAAAACTGTAGAAACCAGAAGTATTTCCGGAATGTTATTTTGTTGCAAGACAAGAGCTAATCAGGCGTGGGAAAACTAAACGACAGAAAGGAACAGTAGTTCGTTGTTTTTCGCCTAGTACTGTTCTTCGCTGTGATTGGTCATAAGGCATTAAAAATTCCTAAAATATTTCAGGTGTTGAAGGATTTATTACTTTAACAATAATTCTTTAAACTTTTATCACAGTCAAACCTGCCCAGTGTGAGCATGACCAGTTTAGATGCAAAAATGGCCAGTGCATAGAAGCCAGCCTTGTATGTGATGGTGTTCCAAATTGTCTAGATTATTCGGACGAAGAAGGCCCCCTTGCCGACTGCGGTAAGTGACCACCAATTCGACTCTCTCTAGACTAAGACCAATCACTTTCATTTCAATAAATATCTGGTAACGCTTTCCTTCTTCATCAAAAGATGTTTGTATTCTCGTATTTCCCATCTGCCATCTGAACAACAGATGATAAATTAATTGGAAAAAAATGGAATATCATGGAATCTGCAGCTAAAGTTCTTCCTTCTTGGGCTGTGTGGTGGGTGGGAGAACCCCTGGGTGAATAGATGTAGTGATTTATCATAATTATTTATCCTAAGTATCCAGTCTGCCCTGCGTAAACCATTCACATCTCACATTCTCAATGAATCATTCTGGTGATATTGTCGTGTCTCTTCTTATCCTTTTTTGCGCAAGTTTGCTGCACTCACTAATGATATGGATGACACTTTCACCTTTATGTGGCACATTCTACACTCTTGTCTACACGATAATTCGTCCTCAAAGCTTGTTCTTGGGTCGCACTCGAGAACTTCAGTGTTGAATTCCATGTTCCGTTGATTTCAAAACCCTCTTTTTCCAATTGCCTCAGCAACTGTCCAAGCATTTTCTTTTCCCTCCATTATTTCACTTCTTCTTCTACTGCTTCCAAATGTACCACTCCAGATGTTTTCACTGTCTCCAGCAACTGCCCCCCATTGCTGTTCCAAACCTACCATCCAACACTGATCTCCTCGCCCTGGATACATCTTAAGCAACTTAACCCCCCCCACCCCATCTTTTCCTCTTGGCATCAGTATAAAGACTGTTAATATCACTCTTACGGTGAAGTGCACCATACATGGTCATCACCTTCCCAGTTTTTCCGTCCACCTCCTCTGTTGTCCACTTTAGAACTCCTCCTCCGTACCGCAGCATGGCAACCGCCCATGTATTGACTGCCATGACCTTGTTTCTTCCGTGAAGTTTTGAGCTCAGAATCAGCTTGACACGTCTCTTATATTCCTTCCTGAGCTGTCGTTTCATTTCTTTGTCCTTCATTTTATCAAGGGCTAGAATTCCAAGGTATCTGTATCCACTTCATTATTATCCCACTAGATTGTTGGATAGCTCATGTACTTCACATAACATTATTATTGTTATTATTATTATTATTGTTATTGTTAATGACTCAGACTCAGATTTTACAGATCGAAAACATTAGAGCTCGCCCGAATTAATCTTAACACGAGGTCTTATTCTTTTCAACTTGTTTCTTTTTAATAACAGAGACGGATAATTTTCTTTTGTCATGACTTAATTTAGAACACTGGACTGCCTACAAGAGTTATTGATCGCACCTAAGCCGCAGGGAATGTTTTAATGTATAATGCTTTTAAATTCTTTCTTTCCCCAAATATTTCTCTAAATTATGTACATATTTTCAAAGTTGAATAAAATTGTTTATTAATTATTAATAATTATCATTAATATAGTATCATAGGTGACGAATTACTCCTTAATTTTGGCGCATGTGAAATTACAAAATTGCCATGACAACCCTTCCGTACGTCTCAGTGTCAAGATGGCGACGAAGTTTTAAAATGCCGTGAATGAACATGTCAGGGCACAAAAAGACGCTTTAGAAAACCTGAACACACAAGAGAACATCAAGAAGGATTGTAACAGGTATTTTGCCGAAAGAGTCTGAAAAATTCTGAACTTTATAAGCCAAATTTAAGGTCTAAACATTTGAGAGAGTGGAGTTCTCAATCGACACGATCCACGATAAACATGTCAAGAATCCAAGATTGCTAACGTAATTCGTCACCCATGATATTAATAGGTAATCAAATGGTATACTCGTGAAATTAAGGGAATAATTTCACTTGCGTTTTGTCCAAATCCTAATAATTTCCCTCGCCTTTAAAGGCTCGGGAAATTATTAGGATTTGGACAAAACGCGCGTGAAATTATTCCCTAATTTCACTCGTCTTCATTTGATTACACATTCTAATTCGTATTATTATTATTATTTTATTCAACTTTACAAATATGTACATATAATTTACAGAAATATTTGAAGTAAGAATAAAGCACCATATAACATTAAGAATTATATAAATCATAAAAAATACACTGTGTCAATAACGATTTCCCAAATACATTCTTTGCGGCTTAGATGCAATCAATAACTCTTGCAGGCGGCCCAGAGTTTTAAATTAAGTCCTTACAAAAGAGAATCATCCGTCTCTGATATTTAAAAGAAACAAGTTAAAAAGAATAAAATATCGTATTCCTAAATTCCTAATTCGTTTAAAAAAGTTCTTACAAAAATAAATAAATAGGTAATAATAATAATAATAATAATAATAATAATAATCAATTAGTTAATTCGGGCAGGCTCTAATAATTTCGATCTGTACATCTGAGTCGATAAAGTCTAGCTGTCGTCTTCTGGATCTTGAGCCTCTCAAGCATAGTATCGCAGAGCGTACGATGGCGAAAGATACTTTAGCTCTTATCCAGGAAATTGCGCTTGAGTAACTTTCTCCCTTCTTATTTGCGATCAGCTCCGCAAGTCTGTTGTGGTACTTGACACACTCATCATACTTGACCACACTCTGTGGTCCTGAAAACTAGGGGAGTAAACGTTCCCTGCATCAGTTCGATCTCCAGTACTCTTTCCGCATACTGCCTCTTCTTCTCATTCTCATGCTTCTTGTAGATTTGCGTAGGAGTCAAGTCTCTGTAAGAGTCTACATTAGAGTGACACACCCGAACGTCGAAGAATGCAGATCTCTGTCTCTCCCAGAAACCTCGAGCATGAATATCCAAACGGGCATCACGGGCTTTGTTAGCGCCATGATTTAATGTCTCCCCAGTGACCTCCTGGAGGACCGGTTCTACTTCCACGTCATTACAGACCATCCTTACCATCTCTGCTTCCAAGTCGCGCAGTTCGTTATGGCGCTGGATAGTGAATCCGCCACGCTGACACACCATTGCTTGATCCACGCTAAATTGAACACCGCATGCGCAGATCAAGGGCGTGTCCGTTGTTTCCCAGTCGTATTATTATTATTATAATTATTATTATAAAAAAATGGTAAAATCTTTATTACAAAACCTCAATTAAAATCCTATTTACTGTTACAAAAAATCTAATCAATTCATCAAAAGACTATCTACAATTCCTTCATTAGAGAACAAAAACAATCCTATATATAATAAGTGAAGAAAGAGAAAACTATTCATTTACAAATTCTAAAAAATAGAAGTAACTTAACCTTACATAAAAGAAGAGGAAATAAATATAATCAATAATAAAAGTTATTTTTATTATTATTTTTATTATTATTATTATTATTATTATTATTATTATTACCACCGCGCACGTAGATTATATTACTTCACAGAGTTCCATCATGGTGTCAGGAGAAAGATCTACGGAGGAGCTAAAGAGGCATCAACAATCACTTAAGAGAGCAAGTGCCAAAGTGAAAATGGATAGCATTGATTCAAGCCTCTCCCCAGGCCTGCTGCGTCTGGTTAATCAATCGAGGGACAAGGGCGCACGTTCTTGGCTGAATGCGATGCCTCTCGCAGACAAAGGTTTAGCCCTCAACAAGCAAGAATTCAGAGACTCGCTACGCTTGCGTTATGACTTGCCCTTAGTCGATTTACCAAGTCATTGCATATGTGGGGATAAATTCACCGTTAGTCACGCCCTCTCTTGTAAAAAGGGGGGGTTTGTAGCGCAGAGACATGACGGTGTACGGAACTTGTTAACGACATTCATCGACAACATCGGCAATAATGTCGAAATCGAACCACGCCTCCAACCCCTGGACAACGAGCGATTTCATTTGAGGAGCGCTGTTACAAGTTCTGAGGCAAGATTGGACATCAAAGCGGGAGGTTTCTGGGCAAGAGGAGTTACGGCATTTTTTGATGTTAGAGTTACGCACGTCAACTCCAAGTGTTACCAGAGCAAGCCAACATCGGAAGTGTTCAAAGAGCAAGAAGAGAAGAAGCGCAAGTACCAGCAGCGGGTGTTAGATGTAGAAATGGGTTCGTTTACGCCTTTAGTGTTTGGAACCAATGGCGGAATGGGAAACGAGTGTCAGCGGTTCTTAAAGCATCTCGCAGACAAGATAGCTCAGAAAGACACCGAGCCTTATCATGTTGTAATCACTTGGCTCAGGACACAGATCTCATTTGAACTCTTAAGATCGGTACATGCATGCGTCAGAGGTTCGCGAACGTCGTTTCGTAGCAAGATAGAGCAATCATTAGACTGTAAAATAAATGTCGCTAGTGCGGATATCTGAAATACGTGTCTATATGCTTTTATACTTAGGGCTTTTTATGGACACTGGTTTAGTCGTCATTAGTATGATCTTGATATCTCTGCATAATGGAATTCTTAATTTTATAGAATTTTGAACTTTTATTATTGATTATATCTATTTCCTCTTCTTTTATGTAAGGTTAAGTTACTTCTATTTTTTTGGAATTTGTAAATGAATAGTTTTCTCTTTCTTCACTTATTATATATAGGATTGTTTTTGTTCTCTAATGAAGGAATTGTAGATAGTGTTTTGATGAATTGATTAGATTTTTTGTGACAGCAGGTTGATTGTAAATAGGATTTTAATTGAGGTTTTGTAATAAAGATTTTACCAATTTTATTATTATTATTATTATTATTATTATTATTGTTGTTGTTATTGTTATTATTATTATTATTATTATTATTATTATTATTATTATTATTATTATTATTATTAGTATCTCTATTATCACAGTCTTTGCTGGTGTTCTTTTTGTGCATCAGCCGGGCGCAAACCATGCACCTAGAGCGTCAGTCACTCAAGTCAATCATTCTGTTCATACACTGAGCACCTTTCTGAGGATTCGTGCAGATCCCAGCATGCAGATCTTTTGAATCTCTGTCATATTCGCTCTTTCTGATACTTTCTTGATGTTTTCTACCATACCCTTCTTCACTGTACCAAGCGCACCAACAACCACAGGGATCACTACGGTTTTCATATGCCACATTCTCTGTATTTCTAGTTCTAGGTCTTTGTACTTGCATTTTTTTTTCAGTTTCCTTCAGTGCGATGTTTCTATCTGATGGAACAGTCATATCAATAAGTTTGCAGGTGGAATTCACTGAATCTTTAACGATGATATCTGGTCTGTTCGCTGTTATAGTTCTATCAGTATTGACTGGCATGTCCCACATGATGGTGATGTTGTTATCTTTATTGTGTATCACGGTCTCTGGTTCGTGTTCGTACCATTTGTCTGTAATCTCTATATCATGATCTTTACATATGCTCCAATGGAGATATGCTGCAGCATTATTGTGCCTGGAGATGTACTCTGTTTTGGCTAATACCTTACATCCAGATACAATATTATTATTATTATTATTATTAATATTATTATTATTAATATTATTATTATTATTATTATATTATTATTATTATTGAAATGTAACACAGCTCATGATACATTGAAGCTGGTTTCTTCATAAGTTTCAGGAAGAAGGTGTAACAACAAGTTACCAAGGGAAGCCAATAAACCCCTGTTTTGGTTTTCTCTTCTCTCCACCTCTCCAGCGCCCCAACAATACACATTCATTTTATAGATCAGTCCCATAGAATTTCCCATATCAATGAACTATTATTTATTGGCTTCCACAGAATATGTACCTGAAGCAACTGTTGCTGCTCAAAGAGGGGGCCAGAAAAACACAAGTAAGAACCACTGTTATTCTGCTAGTGACAACATGGTCAGAGAAAGGCCGTTGAAATCGCGTAAATTAACAGCTATCACATATAAACCTCCCGTTTGTCGCTTATAAAAGTCTTACTTTATTTCTCTAAAAGACTCTGATCTTGGAGTTATCTATCACACACAGCGAGCTTACATCGTAGTAATGAAAGGACAAAATTTGTTACGTCGTCTGGGTGTTGGGCCGTTGTTATCGATAGATCTCAAGTAGTCGCTTTGGAGCGAGAAATACGGAGGAAAAGTTTAAATGGCCGCCCAGAGAGTGGTCGTGGTCGGTTAACCGCTGCCCAATTAGGCCAACTGAATGAGCACCGTTCTGTCGAGAGAGAGGCGGCGGAGTGAAGCCCTGGATTTGACAACACCCAGGTTCTTTATAAAATTGGGGAAAAACCTTTTTTTGTAGTAGAATATGGAAACAGTTAGACTTGCTAGACTTTTTGAATAAGGATGATAAACTGTAGGTCCCTTTCCACAAACCTTTGCTCATTTAAAATCTTCTTGGCGCTAATGAAACCACACACAGTTCGTAAAGAGTAGGGAACTTAGAGCGCGGTGTTATGATCCATGTGATTGGCCTTGCTGGATAAGCTTCAAGTGCTTATGAACGAATGAGATCACAACACACGTACAGCAAGAAGTTACTCTTTTAGCTGGGTGCTGGACCTCCCGGTGCCCAGATACCCAAGAACGAGAGGTTCGACCATTTTATTCATTCTTTATTGAAACTGTCGAAGTGGAAAGGTTGAACTAAACTACGATTTCTTGCTACTTGACATCAGTCACAATAGTAGTACATAAAAATTATTAGAGAATGGACATTACTTGAATCAAATAAAAGAAATTGAAAACATTTCATTTAATTGTTTTTCATTACTGAAAAAAACCGCCTAAAACCGTTGGTTGTGATTATTTTCTTGCAGTGTACATTGGCACCGGCGTAGCTGCAGGGATCGTAATAATCATTGTTGGTCTTGTGCTGGCCTACTTTATTATGGCGAGGAAAAAGTAAGTCTATAACTCCAGTCCCAGCTCACAACATTAGCTTTCAAAATAGGAATCTTATCCCGACTATGCGGGTTACCTCTCCTTAAAACTATTTAACCCGCGGGCTGAGAAAGTTACCTGGTCGGGCAAATGGGGTAACCCGCCTGTACGGGTCGCTCTGATTTATCATATAAACGTGATCAAATTAAAATGAGAGGTTGTATTGACAAGCGGGTTACCCCACCTAAGCGGGTTACCTCACCGTACTGGGATGCCCCACCGCTCATTAAACAGATCCTTAGTAACAGATGTGAAGCTGCACTTTCTTTCTTTAACTCCTGGCCTCCTAATTTTGATGTTTCAATATCCTCCTACCTCGAAACGGTTGGCAACTTCGTTTCATTGTAACTTCATTAAATTTTGCTGTACGCATCCTCGGACGATTTCACGAATTTTAATTTCACGACCTTTTTTGTTTTGTTAAATTGTCATTTAGATGGAAAAAATCGTGACCGTGGAGATGCTTAGTAGAGATTTTGTTTGTTGTCTTGTTGTTTTGATCGATCGCCGTATCAAATAGCATAAAGCGAAACGCTCTAATTCAGTTTGTTTGAACTTGGACTTTTGTTTTGTTTTCTTTGCTCGTTTTTGTTGTCATTCATTTTTTTTTTTCGAAGATGTGGGATGCATATTTACACTGTTGCTAACTCAATGCTTTTGATTTTTTTTGATGTATAGAAGAAGGAGAGACGAACTGGAAAGTATGCCTAAAGGGGTTGGGAACCCTGTGTTCGACACTGACGATGGACAACAACCTCTAGAAGATGTAAATTAAATATAAAATTAACAATAGAATGATTTGATGTAAAACTTAAAATTTATTTTGTAACTTAGGGTGCGTTTTTGGGAAAATCCTAAATATTTTGAAACCAAATACGAATTTTACGTTCATTAAAAAAAAATCCAAATTAAGAATTCAAGTTGACGTAATCCACAAAAACAGGAGTATTGGCTCCTGACAAACGCAATGCATTCATAAAATCCAATACAAAATACGATTCAGGATTTGGGATTAGCGTTTCTTTCAGTACGAATCTCGCATGCTTTTTATATGAAATAAAACAATGGGATGCAATAAGTGGCTGTGAGTGGGATGTAGACGACACTAGAGACCAACGCTAGTCTTTGTGAGAAAAAATGCCTTTTAAACTATACCGGTGCGCTCGCCGAGGTTCCTAAAACGGAGCAGTATAGGATTTTAGATAACTAATTACTTGCCCCTCCACTAAATCAACATTTTGCCCCATGTAAGACATTACTGCTGCTGCCGAGTTGGGAGAGGGGTAGGGTGAAAATGAAAATATTAAGTCCGCCTCGTTCTATAGCCTGTTCGGGCAAATATTGCCGTCACTCGGATTTTTCGTCTATTTCTATGTAACAAATTCAAAGCATTTGAGGTCAAGATTCGGGCCTTAAAGAATAACAGCCTAAGATGATACGAGCGCGATATATGTGCAGATGTCCAATTTATTGCAGAGATGCATAAGTGTGTAGGTGTCAATGCTATTACTAGGTAGCCTGCGTTGAAGCCGGCCCACGCACTCGTCCAAACCATTTGTGAAGGTTAAGAGCGTCTGAGGTGCAGGAAAGGCTATTAGGCGGTAAAAAATACATTTCCAATGGTATACTCCAATATACTGCTTTGTTTTGTTTTGTTTTGTTATGTTGTTTTGAACTTTGATCACAAAATAACATTAAACGCTGGTTAAAGAGAAATGTTAAGTAGGCTCCTTTGAATGGCGCGCAAAACTGCACTTAAAGTAAAGCAGAGGCAAAGATAATACTTCATCTTTCTAATATGTTTAATGATTCATATCTTTTTTTTTTCTTTTTACTTTACGCTATAGACACTAGCCCTAGAAAAGTTGATGTGTTATTGATTTCTTAAGTTTGTTCCTAACACTGCTTTCCTTTGCTAACAGTTCTTCATGAGTGATGTTGACACGAATATGTTCGCAACAGATGACAACTTTAGAATAGTGGTAAGCGGTCACATGAGCAAAGCTAGTGTAATCTTTGAAATATGGCTATTTATATTTTTCGATTTTTGATTATATTTTCTTTATACGCCTAGAACGATGATAAGGATAAAAGTTTTACTGGGAGTTGATGTGTTGAATCAGATTCATCTTTTAGAGAGCGGCAGGTTAAATTGTTTTCTCTCGTTTCGGTTTGTTATAGACTAACAAGCCTGGAGCAATCTCTATGGATAATCCACTCTACCTGTCGGATCCGTACCAAGACGAAGTAGAATGCTGACAGCATGAAAGAGTTTTAATCCTTGTCCTCGCTTCAATCCTTTTTAGTTAAACAAGAAAATTTTTGCATCTATGCTGAGCTGATTTTAGCTAGACAAAAACCTTTCTTAAGTTTTATTAATGAAAAGTTGTGAACCTGTAATTAGTTATATTAAAATATTTTGATCTGCAAAGTAACGAATTACAACGCAATCACAAATTACAGACCAGGGTATGTGATTAAATTATTCTCAGTAATGCCACAATAGCTTTTTTCTTTGAGAAAAAATTGTACCTGAAAAATAGTCATAGTTTTCGAGTTTTACTGTTCAACAGTATCACTGTTCAAATTTCAGAACCAACGTTAAAATATTGCATCTAAACACAGCTTGGCCAGCATGTCTCGGAATTTGACTGTATTCTATTACTTCAGTTAGGCTGCTTCGATTTGCTTGTAGTTGTTTTGAAATGACTGTCTATATAGTTTCAAATCAATATCGATTTATATTGTCAATAAACAGCTTTTAGTTTAAGTGTTTTGGTATTAAAGAGACTGTCTTGTAGGCTCAGATCAATATAAATTTACATTGCCAATAAACTGCTTTTAGTTACTGTTTTTGTATTTGATAGCCTTTGCTGGTTAAGGAGAAGGTTTGTTTTATAAAGAGGTTTCTTGTTTCTATCAGGCAAGTCATCACTGACGCGTACGGTTCTCCAGATAATCTGTTGAGAGGACTGGTTGGATTTAAGAGCGGTTCTAAAAAAAGGGAGAAAAAATTGTAGGTCTACAGGCTAACTAGCAATATACCATCGAATCGATAGGTTATGGGCCTACATCTTCCAACTATGGCATGTGCTGGTTGCTTTGAAGAATTTGCCTGGGAGTGGAACAAATAGCCAGTTAGATGATCAGTGGGATGGTCAGATAAGAAACTAAGCAAAAACGAAATGAATTTGGGTACAGCTCAGTCAAACACGGTTAATACGGACACTGAGGGGGCCATGAGTCCGTATTAGCGAAGTGTCTTTATAAAGCAAGTTGAATTTAGAGAAAATGTAAGGGCTTCCTTTTCCCAGGAGCAAAGCAAACTTTCCATTCGCCACTTGCACATCATCCATAATGCACGTTATTTGTCCCCCAAAATTTGGCATATCCTTTGCTTTTCATTTCTCCTGGGTATCATAGCCTTCCCACGAAAAATTGAAAACAATGCTTATATGCAAAATTTTGGGGGTTAAATAAGGTGCATTATGGAAGATGTGCAAGTGGTGAATAATAATAAGTGTCCGTATTAAGGGTGAATTTTCACTGCCGCGTAATTCTAACGTGCGTACACGCGTAAATAAAATAGAAGCGATGTATGAAAGGCGCACATAGATGTAAAAGTTGAGGGACGTGTAACAGTTAATACGTTTACGCGCGACCTTTCATATATTGCTTCTATTTTGATTACGCGCGTATGCACCGGCCGAATACAAATATGGCGGACCTCCAAGCTGGCCCAGGTCTAGTTGCCAGAAAGCGAGGCTAGTGAGGCCTCAAGAGTTTTGTTTTGACTGCGGAATGGTTTTCTTCGAGTTGTTGTACGCTGGCCATGCATCGAGTGTGGGTCTTTTATTTCACCTCTTGTTAAATTACGGAAACATTATCCAAAGGGAGTAGAAAGATACTGGCCAATTTTATTGTCAATGTAGCTTACGTTAAGCCACCCTGGAGGGACACTTGGTTAGTTTTCAATAGTTCCAGTAGGCAGCATTTGCATATAATACTAGAAGAACATGAGCTTGCCAAAGTCTAATTCAATGTGCTGCCAAAACGCGATGTTTTTGTATCGAAATAAAGTAGTTCGTTTGGGTCTTGAAGTATTCAGACCAGTTTATCAACGGTAACCGTAACTGGGTCGCGCTTAGCCTGCGTAGCTGGCGGTATTGTGTAGTAGTCGAGTGAGGTTTGGCGGCGGAGCCGTTGTAATATATTTGAGAGAGATTTGACGGCGGAGCCGTCACGAGCGGCGAAGCCGCGAGAAATACCGCCTCGTCCCTACTCCCTGTTTTTGGAACACGGCTCTGCCGCCAAAACTTTAATCTCGCACCCACACTATACCGCCAGTTACGCAGGTTAGGTCGCGCTAAACAAAGAGCAAATTGGTGTGCAGCCTTTTTCATGATGTGTTAGAATGATCTGAATCTGAGTGCGCGCAACGGCCAAACAGTTTCCTCCAATGCACCCTTTTTCTACAGCGTTGCCAAAATAGCAAAATTAATGGGCGGAACACTTGCTTTTGTTTCATCCTTGTGCTTCAGTTTCGTTTTACCGGTCAAAGTGGTGCTCGGCAGTTTCGTTAAACCGGTCAAAGCAGCTCAGCTCGCAAACACGCCTGATGTGTAGGTGCTGGTAGCCAATTTTTGCGCCATTTTCCCTTTTGTTTGACCCTCCCGTAAGCGACCACCCAAAATGCAGAGACTAAGTGGTCGCTTACAAGAATCCAACCACAGGGCGTCTCTTCAGAGAAGAGGTCCAGGCACATCTACTGAAACTGCAATAAACGTAAAGGTCTCTTGGCCTTTAATAACAACACCACAAACCAAATTCGAACGAAGATTTATTGTAACCGACGTGCTTGGTACTTGAAATAAAATGCGTAGTACAAAGAGTGTGAATACAAACGGCGTGGGTTGAAACTAAAACAGTAAAAGAGTAAAAAGTTACAAGTTGCGACTAAGCAAAATCAGAATAAAGAAATAACAAAACTGCAAAAACGAGGACTGTGAAGTACACATAATTGTTTCGGCCAGGGAAAACTGCTTTGAAGCGGACTGCGAATAACGCAAAGATACTTGCAAGACACTAAACAGAACTGCGCTTAGCGCGGACCAAAATGAACTGCTCAAACTGTACCGCAAAACTTCGATATGAAAAATACGCTAGGACATGCGGAAAATAAAACTATAGAAACTTAGAAAGGCGCTGATGAAGATGAAACACCAAAGAAACGCTAACGAGGGGTAAGAAAACTGACAGAAAGGAATAAACACCTAAATTTACGCAAATAAACTAAACAAAAGAAGGAAAAGAAGTATAAACTAATTAGCGTACGCAAAGGAAAAACAAATTACGCAAAAACCAATAATAGAAAAAATGTTACAGTTGGATCTTACATCTTCTTTATGTAAGATAATTTATTGCATGCAATGTCTAAGTTACGACATGAGTAGTTCCATGTTGCCACAAAAGTTCTTCGTACATTCTTAATAGCAAAGTACATACAGCAAACATAGAGATCAGAGAATGCGTCAAGTGGTCGCTTACAAGAGGTTAAAAACAATGGAAAATCTTTAACCGTCAGGCCCAAAAAGTGGTCGCGGTCGCTTACAGGAGATGGTCGTTTACTAGATGTTTCAACGGTAAGGCTTTGACCGGGAAAATTTTGGTGTTTTCGATTGGCGGTCGGTTATGGGAGGTGGTCGCACATGGAGGTTCAACTGTAGACTTGAATTTTCGCACTGTCGACTAAAAGACATACAAGACTAGGTTGTTCTAACCTGAGATCAGGCTCTATTTTCGTTTCGCTTTGAAAATTACATTCCTGCGGGCATGGCGAAACGAAAAGAGAGCCCCAATTTTAGTCGTAACCGTTAAAGAGAATATATGAGAACCGCTAAAATTGGGCCTGATCTCAGGTTAAGGTTGTTCTGCAAAGTAAATTAAGTGTAGCATGAAGTGTTAAAGGTCATTCCCCTGAGATTTTTGTCAAACTTTCCATATGTGAAAATTCAATAAATTCCGACTGCTGAAATAATTGAAAAATGGAACTCCCACTCAAAAAATTCTTGAGATTTGATGCATGCAAATAATCCCTCCTTTCCGTAAGCGCATTAATATTTTGCAGAAAATTTGGCTCGATCCCGTTAGTATATTCTAGTGTCTTAATTTGAAAACCCAAATAACTAAAATTCAGTAATCACTATTGGATATGAAGAAACCTTATTTTTAGTGCTTCGACCAAAATTTAATATAAAATAGTTACATTTGTAACCATGGTGACCGACCAATTTTACCATCTGACATTTCCTTATTTTTTTCACGTATTTTGAAAATTCACCAATTTTTCCGTCTATATGTATGGGCTCAGCATGCTTTGTACATCAAATTGGTACAAGAAATGTTTTGTAGTTTACAACGATAAAGTAAAGTCATCCAAGAAAACTCTACATCTAGTCTTAATAAATAATATAATTTGGTTGGTATTAGTATGTTAAAAGAAATGTACAGTCTAACTGAATGCTGTCGATTTTTTCCTCATTTTTATCTTGATATTACAGATGGGATGATATTTTACACCTGACTTTTGGAACTATACCTATTTTTCTGCTCAATTAGAATACCGGCTAAATGACCTCGAAGTAGTGCTTCTTTGACTGCGCATAATCAGCTGCTGTAAGTCCTTATCTTATCGACCTACCCATCCAACCTCAGAAGATTAATCACACTTCAAAAACGGGTCGTAAGAATAATGTCGAGGAGTGCTTTCCATGCTCACACTGACCCCTTATTTAAAAGTTTAAAAGTTCTTAATCTTGAGCGTATCTACAAACTTCAAATAGGAAAATTTATGTATCAATACAGATCTGGCTTACTTCCTTATAGCTTCAATAACATGTTTTTGGTGACACACCAGGTGCATTCTTATGGCACTAGAAGTTCGGAGCTTTTTTATTTACCACAATGCAGGACTAATATGGGAAAGTCCTCCATCAGTTTCCAAGGTCCTAAATTTTTTAACTCTCTTAGTTTTGAAATTCGAAATGCAACAAGTACCGCTTCCTTTTGCTGTAAGCTGAAAGCATTCCTCTTATCGTAAATAGTAATTTACATATACATAGAGAATATTACACGGTGGCGAGAAGATATGAATTTTATGTTCGAGTGGCAAGAACAATATCTCACGAGTGAGCGCAGCGAACGAGTGAGATATTGCTCTTGCCACGAGAACATAAAATTCATATCTTCGAGCTAACGTGTAATATTCTTTTTATTATATAAACATACTGATGACGGCGTTTTTGATGATTTTCCGAAGATTTCCGACCACCTTCCGAAGATTTCCGAAGATTTTTCAAATTGTCCCGAAGACCAGACGAACGTTCCCGAACATTTTCCGAAAATTTCCGAAAATTTCCGAAGATGTCCGAAGATTTCCGAGCACTTTCGAGGAAGACCCGAAGATGTTTTGATGATACACCGACGAATTTAAGTACAATTTAAGAGACAAACCTGATGTCAGTGAAATTATCGATATCTTCGCATGTAAAAATATCGTATTTTTACGTGTGTTCAGATACCACATTTCTCGGTGGTAGAAATCCTTGTAAAACACTGCAGTTTATATAATAAATAAAAATATATATGTGTGTATTTTTTATTTTTTTTTTATTTTTTTTTACCTTTGCTCTTTTATTTTCATTTTTTTTTTCTTTTTGTCATTTCGCTTTTTTTAGCCTAGAACTATAATTAGTACGACTATCTAATATATCTATTCTAAGATTTACTGTAGCTCTGCCATTGATTTTCCCAGGTAATTATGATAATATTTTGTACTAATTATCTAACTGAGGGAGCCCATTCCTATAAGCCCGGTGGCTTCTCTTGGGATTCCTCGCCATAAGAGTTTAAATAATTAGATTTTTTCTTTTTTACTTTGTATAACTTATGGCAAACAAAACAATAAACAATACACTTACTCATGTACTTAAGATGAGATGTTATTTTACACCTGAAATTGAAACTATTTTTCCAGTTTTTCAGCTCTAATTTGATTTACCTTAAATGACTTCGTAGCAGTGCTCCCTTTACTGCGCATAATCAACAGTTACAAAGTCACGATTCATATGCTTAAGATGAAATGATATTTCACACCCGAATTTGGAGCTATTTTCCTATTTAATGCTGGATAAGTGTTCATTGAATGACCTCGTACTAATGCTTCCTTCACTGCGCATAATCAGCAACTAGAAAGTCCTGATGCTTAAGTCCATGCTATTCCGGCCGGATTTAACCTACCCGCATAGATATATGCAGGGAAGGAAAAAGGAGACATTGTCTTGGGCCAGAAATAATTATAATGATATTGTTGCCTGTGCCAGTCATAGGGACCTTGACCTGATGTCCTATATTAAAAATGGTTTCCACAGAGCCTACGTATAAGACGACGACAAAAAATGTTTTTTTTTTTATTATTTTTAATAAAATTAATCACTCGTGACCTTAAGCCTGCGAGAATCCAATACAAAACTCTCCTCCACTAAAAAACGAAAAACTGAAAAAAAAAAACTTTACTATAGCGACTTTGTAGTACGGATCTAAATTGTACTGTTTGAAGCTGAATTTAGACTGACCTTTAGCTCTACATACTAACTGTCTTGTCACTGAAATCCCTACTAACTCGATATCACTAACTCTAAATGGATTTTGACAGAACGCTCGTTCCTGACCTCAAGACCGGTAAATGTGCTTTACATACTGTATACATACAGCGATAGCTGCATAACGCGTGCACTTGCTGCAAATGATATGTAATGGTAACAGGACTGAGAGGAGTCCAATTCGGTCTGTAATCATACGAGTGATTAACAAAATCGGACGACCGAGTAGCGGGAGTCCGATTTGTTTAATCACGAGTATCATAACAGACTGAATTGGACGACACGAAGAGTCTGTTACCAATTAATCATAACTTTAACAAAATTTTTGATACAATAGGCTATTTTTTAAACCAAAACACAAGAAATTCGAAATTTTGTTTTGCTAGCAGTGAAAAAAAAAAGCCATTTAAGCGCGCGCGTGATGGCGCGTACTGTCCAATTACTTAGGCATGACGCGTACTGTCCTATTAAACAGTCCAATTAAGGCTGAAATCAGGGCAGTTGAGAGCCAATCAGATTTGACAATTTTGTTATAGTTATGATTACAGATCGAATTGGACGACACGAAGTTCTGTAACAATTAATCATAACTTTAACAAAATTTGTGAAATAATAGGCTATTTTTTAAATCAAAACACAAGAAATTCGAAATTTTGTTTTGCTAGCAGTGAAAAAAAAAAAGCCATTTAAGCGCGCGTGTGATGGCGCGTACTGTCCAATTACTTAGGCATGACGCGTACTGTCCTATTAAACTGTCCAATTAAGGCTGAAATCAGGGCAGTTGAAAGCCAATCAGATTTGACAATTTTGTTATAGTTATGATTAAATAATAAATCGACCCCAAATCAAATAGCCTGTAAAACGTATTGACGACCGCAAGCTCTGTATTTGGTTGAAACGTTAACACGGAGTTCAGATTATCCAAGAACCTGTATCCATTTATTGTGACTGTCTGTAGATGGGTCATAAATGGTTCAAGATGGAATTTTACTTTTTCAGTGAGTTCTGACGCATGTTGATCTATTTGTTTTAAAATCACTAAAAAAGAACCTCAAAACCCAGAATCAGCACTTCCTTTAGCGATAACAGTATTGGGCCTATGCTGCAACTATTGACAACGGATTATAAAACCAAGAAACTCAAAATATAAACATGAAGAGCATTGTCGGTTCAGGCATAGATAACAAAATAATCCCCAAATTTAAGAAGAAACTGAAAATCTACGTGTACAAAAGTCTGAAGCGAGTTTCTCGAATCTCGCTATATCATATCCTTTGCATCAACTCAAACAAAGGAAAATACAACTGAAGGCTTCGTGATCTGGATGACCTTTTTTCTCTTTTTTATAAAAAGTATCTGAAAATGTGTACTTGCATTTAAAAGCGTGTCGTTAATAAGATCTGCATTTAATTTGTCACTTCTTAATAAGTAGCCTTTTTTTTTCGCGTGTAGGGCTTCGCAGTTCCTCTGCCAAAACGTTGCTCGTGCTAAATGACACTCAATACCGCTGGCTACACAGGCCATTGGTCACGCTCACCTACTTAACGGGAAAAAGAAAAAGAACACTAATTACATGTCTATATATTTAAACTAAATTTTGTTGTTACATCATTTTACAGAGAGTTTTAAAATTGCACCTCATTACAAATTAAATGAAGCCTCTCCAAACCCCACATCCACTGATGATTTTTTTCCTTTAATTTTTACTTTGCAAGGCGCGAGAAGTTCGGGAGTTTCGCTTTCCGCCTTTATTTTCAGATTCTTTGAGGACGTTGCGTGTCGTCCAAGGTAACGCTGCTGCTGATTTAAGCAGCTTAATTATTATTTGATGACTTTTGTCAACACTTGTAGCCAATGCGCAGTGCTGTGATTGCTGAAGGAAGTGCTGATTCAAGGTTCGATAAGTTCAGTAATCAAACACAATCGAACCCAATCCCAATCAAACTTTGATTAGGTTCGATGGCTTAAGTTGGCATATGTTTGACTAAAAATGGACAATAAAGAGGAAAACTGAGCGTTTTTTGCACTTTTGCTGAATGTTTCCATTTTCTTGGTAGGATGTCTTACGACTGAGTACAGAGCGATATTCCGGGAGTGGTTGTAGAGGATCAGTGAAGTGCATTTTTTGGAGCAAATTGCTAATTTCCCAGTAATTCTTTGCATGCTAAAAGGACTTTTTAAAGTCTTGTCTATTTTGGGGGGTGGGGGGAGGGTGCGTAGTGTATGACTGGTAAAGTGGACTTAGGTGACTGCTATTCCAAGTGCATGGTTTGCGCCCGGCTGATGTACAGCAAAAAGAACACCAGCAAAGATTGTAACAGAAGTGATAAAACTACTACTAATAATAATAATGATAATGATAATGATAACGATAACGATAACGATAACGATAATGATAACGATAATGATAACGATAACGATAATGATAATGATAATGATAATGATAATGATAATGATAATAATAATAATAATAATAATAATGAACGAGGACCTACGGGACTAAAACGTTGACGAGCTTGTCCCAAACTGGCCGTTTTTCCACACGGTCATGGGTTTGATCCAAAGGAGCAGAGGAGTCTAGGTTGTATTTATATACCCTGTGGACTTCCGGAAACTTTTGAAATGGTAAACAACCATTCTCTCTTGCCTGCTTGACAGATCACTCTTATTTTGACAGACATTGCGTGACCCAGGTGCTAATGATATATTTTCATGTTTCAGTGCATTTTTATTACCTTTTAGTTTGAGAATGGGTTGATCAAAGAAAATCGACGGAGTAGGGATATCCCGGCATCCAACAAAAGAAATAAAAGCAAACTTTTCAAGTTAACAGTTCTTAAATTGAATTTAATTTTCTCTTTCTATGTAATGTTACTGTTTACTAATTTGCGATAGTTGCACAATAATTGTTTTACTATGCATTAGCCAGCCTGAAAATCTACTGCCGAAAAAAGGTGACTAAATATTATGTTGCTCGATGTTTCATAAAACAAATAAAACATAAAACTAAAAAAAAGCTTTGAATCTATTCTAACTTACTTTTGTTTCAGTGTCAAACTGATTTTTTCATCGCCTATTCTACTATCATCATCTGTTCATTTCTATCATATAGCCTGAACTCATTTATGTTGCATCTGGCTACGCTATCATGTAGAATCAATTTAGGTTATAAATCAATCTATAGCGTTAGCAGCTGAACTGACTAGTGTAGTAGTCCTGCCAGTGCAGCTGTTATTTGTTCTATGTGCACCTTGTGATGGTTACTTTTGTGGTACGAATCACAGTGTAAGAACCACGAAGACCATATAGAGTGACGTATACAGTCTTTGTGACCGTTATGGTATAGCAATGATTACGCTTCACACCTGGAAAATAAATAAGTATGTTGTATAAGTACTAGAGCCTTTTATTCAACTGGCAATTTTCATTGAAGTTAACTACGGACACTTTCTTTCATAAACGCTCTGAGAGATTTTGATTGTAGGAGCTAAAACATTTTCCTTAACAATATTGCAATAAAGAAAACAGTAACCCACCTCGTTTCCACTTTCACTACTGACACTATTACTTTGGTTAAAAAATAAGGAAGTGTTTACATGAGGAAACTCTCACCGGCTCAAGTTTCATACTGGGGTGACTTTTTGATTTCATAATTCCCGTACATGTTTGCATCATTTTTTTGTCGTCCTATGACCAAGATGACGACGCCATCCTGAATTGACGAAAACTACGCATGCGCTACCCGTTCCAGTTTACCGGCAGACTTATTTCACACCGAAACGAGTGGTCGTTTCGCGTTTACATGATACCGTTGCGAAATTTCGTACGGGAGTGAAATTCTCGCTCCGGTACAACAACCGGAGTAAACTCACGCCGGGGTGACTCGTGCCGGCATGACATTTTTTTGGTTGTACCATGCAATCAAATATAGAGCCACGAGAGGGAAACGGAGTAAACTAGCGCTGGCGGGAAAGTCGCCCCAGTGTCATGTAAACACCCCCGAACTTTTGCCTGTTCAAATTCACCCTAAATCAAAATCAAGAATCAAAATCTAATCAAAATCAGTCCAAAATACATCTGACACTATCATAACGAATATAAAAAGTCATGCATTTATGCACACCTTACAACTAGGTGTTTCATAAGCTTAGAGCACTGTGCTTTAGCTATATTATTTTGAGACTTCCCTTCAATCCTAAAGGCCAAATGTGATTTTCGCAGACTAAGTTAGGGACCTGTAGGTGTAGCGAAATAGATGGCTGGGCTAGATTTGCTTTGAAGAATACGAAAATCCCAGTCGGACCTTTTACGAAACAAAAATTAATGCCGGCATAAAAATAAGGATTAAATTAACTGCAAAAACCGTGGACGAAGACTTTTGGGTAAATGCTTTTATTATTGACCTGTTCTTTTTTTTATGATTTAGCGTCTGCAGTTCATACACATCAGTTCAGTGAAATTCGACTGACAAAAATTGTTTGGTGTTTCTTTTTAGCAATGACTTAATGAATGGTACTTTGATGTCCTAAACACTTATTTGATTGCATGATTAGATTATAACGTGAAATACTTACGTTTGACCACTACCGAAAACGGCGTTGCTTTTTTGATGCGATAAATGGGCAGCTTGGCACACATAGAAGCCATTTCATCACTCAGGTCCGAGCGGTCAGTGACGGTGGAAACGACTTCGTATTCAACTTTCGTCTCATTTCTGTCTACTATAGTGGGTCTTTCCTGTGAAGAAGATCAACAGCAGACGTGGAATTACTAACACTGGTTTCTTGGTTTTAAGGCAATCAGTTAAATTTCTCAGCATTTACGCTTTTTTAACAAAAGAAAGTTTCAGATTCCCTGTTATTGACACTCTTCAGCCGTGAATATTATACTATCTGAGTTACTCAGAGACTCTGTTCCAGGTTAAGCCATTGCAGGAACAGCTCTTTCCAAGAATGTTATCAAAATCAGCCATATAGATTTTTTCCAGTGTACCCGGTTTGCCGAACTCGGGGGATTAACCCCTAGTCGTTGTCGAAATATTTTTCCCCAAGCAATTTAAGGTGTAATCGGTTTCGAAACGAAATTAAAGTACAACATTAAAACGAATTCACTTCTACTTCCCACTGAAATACTGTGGGAATCAAAATTGAAGAATGTTAATTTTCAGATTTCGCCGTTCCACTGTATTGTATTCGTTCAAATGAACCTATGAGGATGATAAATTATCGTCACTTAACATTCCCTGAAAGCTAAGATCTTTATTAAACCCCGTTCCTTTGAGACCGCTACAAAACTGACAAATAATCTCAGTTGAATTACCTGATCAAGTAAATTGACAAGGTCACGAGGGCTGGGCATAATTTCAGCAAATTTACTCAGGAAACAGGCTTTTCGGGCAGAGATTCGGTGCAATGTCAAGTTCTGCAAGAAAGGAAAACAAAGGCAATATTGTAACTATATGATGGTTGTTTACCGTTTCATACAAATGCAGTTGGAAATTACATGGAACTCGATTTTTTAGCAGTCGTTCCAGCTAAAAATTTCCGGGAGCAACAGAACATCGGAAAAGTGCTGTTTTGCCCTTCGGAATATTCCAAACGGAAGTTCGTGTTGCGTTCCTTTAAAAGCTAACTTAGATACCAGTTTCAAGCCTTCGCGGCCGTTTTACGGTAAAAGGAACTGATTTCTACAAATGTTAAAGGCGATTCTGGGACGCAATTTAGTAGTCCTGAATTTATCTTACCATTTATACCCAAACCGTTATCCGACTGGGTTGCCCGTGATGGGAAATCAACCTACGAATCACGCTTGTCTTCTCTCTCGTCACTCAGCGCTTAGACTAGAGTCACACTCCAGCGCCGTTTAAGAAGAACGAACAAGTGTTAAGTGTAGGTACTACGTATACTGATTTGTAAGGGTATTTTCGTGACTCGTGATCGGTCCCCTTATTTCCCGTGAATTAAGAGAATCGATAATGTTTTTCTCATGTAACGTGATTCCCAAATTATTGTTTTTTGTATGTTTGAAACGAGAAATAAAATAATTATTCATGATTAACTCGCCCTGAACCGTTATTCTCAGTATGTCTGCCATTTCCTTGATTGTTAAAGGACCATTTTAATTTACGCAATCAGACCCCCCTCCCCTTTTGCGCCATTTTCGAGCACAGATGAGTCGGCGAGGAAAAGAGTACATTGTACGCAAGCAATTATGTTTACTTGGTTTTTCGTTATTTTAAAACCGAGTGGAGAAAAGTTTTATTGGAAGTAACTTAAGCGTTATTCTTATTGTTATCGCGAAATACAAACACACGCCTCCTTTGTTTGTTAAATCGGTTCACACCACTCCATACCTTTGGAATTCTTTATCTAATGATATTTAGAAAATCAGACCGTTTTCTAGTTTTCGTCAAAATGTCAAGAATTCTGTGATTGATGATTATAACAGTGTTATTAATTCCTGAAGTTTTATGATTATATCATTTTTAACTACTAATATTAATCAATGGATTAATGCTTTTTATCTAAAACAACTATTTTTTCACTATATTCCTTCTACTCGTATTATCGATTTCGGTCACCTTCTCGGTTAGTTTACGAACTATCTTGGTGTCCCAAACTCTGCACAATGAACCTAAAAGTATTATTTTTTTCTTTTTCACAATCTTTTTTTTATATTTAATTTTATGGTATTAATATTCTGGGTGAGTTAAATACAAATTGAATTGACTTGACTTTACTTGCACTTCATCAACTAAAAGTATTTACCTTTCGTAGTCGTAAACAATATCAACTTCTCCCCCGTTCCTGGAGTCTGTTTTTGGAATGCGGTAGATTTCTGTTTGTTTCTCAGTGTCAATTTCAAGATTTTCTTCAACATCTTTGTTTCCATCATTTATTTTGAGCTTGTACTTGTTCGCAGTTTCCTGCAAAGCAAAAGAGACATCAGTCAACATTGACTGGAAAATTTTCCGAACAGCGCGCGCTCTCATTGGTTACTTCGAGGTCACATGACATCTAACAATGAAACTGTTTCCCTCCAAAATCTCTGAGTGGGACGGCATCATTGCAATATCTATGACGTCAGAGAGTAACAGACTGTACCCACGAATGTTGCCCGACGACCGCCGTTGCAGCGACGGTTAATGAATTTCCAGCTTCAAAATTTCCAGTTATATAACAAGTCACTTAAAGACTGGTTCCTCGGGAAACAGTGAATTTTTTTTCCCTCGAATCTCAATGTTTTTCTTTGCTCCGTAAAATGCAAAGCCAGGGTTATCATTTGCCATTGGATATCAATTTTCCACTCCCTTTTTTCAAGCCAAATGTCGGCTAATTTTAACAAGGGGGTTCTCAAAAAGGCCCGTACTAATGTTCTACAGTCTGAAAAAGGTGCTTCTTTCAGGCGGAACCTCCCCTTATAGGCAATTACTGATTGAGGCTCCCCTGGAAAGACATGTGGCATAACCGATTTATAACGCGGTACAGCAGTTACTTGGATGGCTAAAATGGCACAATTACCTTTTTGTCTTCACACTTACAAACCGAGGCTGAAGATGTGGCAACAACAAGGACGGCAAAACACAGAAGGAACATCTTGAACTCCTGGTGAGGAAAACATTAAATTCGTTAGAGCTTCATATCACTCATGCTGAAAAGGGACTAGGAAACCGCGCTCTTCTGGGTTCCTAGGGACTGTATTGTTTAGAAGCCGGTCCTTTTCTTGTTAAAAGAAACAAAAATATATTTTCAATTAAAACTTACCATTTTTCTCTTATAACAGAAAAGCGGTGACGTCAGTTCTTCGTTCTTCTCGTAGCAATGGACTTATAGCTTTCTCCACTGAGAGTGAATGCAAATCCCACAGTGAAACCAGCTTTTTATATCATCTGAATGCTGTTGAGTGTTTCCTCATTGTTAACTTGATATTACAGTTGGGATGACATTTTACACCTGAATTTAGAACTATTTTCCAATTTTTCTGTGCTATTTGTGTACATTAAATGACCTCGTAGTAGTGCTTCTTGCACTGCGCATAATCAGCTACTACAAGTCCTGAATCATGTACTTAAGAGGTGACAGTTTACACCTGAATTTGGAACTATTTTCTTATTTTTCTTCTTTATTCGTGTACTTTAAATGACCTCGTAGTAGTGCTCCCTTCACTGCGCATAATCAGCAATCACAAGTCCTGATCCAGGTACTTACAGTTGTAAGATGAAATGATATTTTTACACCTGAATTTGGACCTATTTTCCTATTCATCTACTTCATTATTATTGTACTTTAAATGACCTCGTCGTAGTGCTCCCTTCACTGCGCATAATCAGCAACTAGAAAGTCCTGATGCATAAGTCCATGCCATTCCAGCCAGTCCTCACACAGGAATCTACAGGGAAGGAAAAAAGGAACATTGTCTTCGACCAGAAATAATAATAATAATAATAATAATATTGCTTGTGACAGCTATAGACCTTTGCTGATGTTTAACATTAAATATGATTTACACAGAGCCTACTTATGACTCGACGAGAAAAGATGTTTTTCGCCAAATTTAATCGCACGTGAATCCACTACAAATCTCCACTTCACTCAAGACCGGTGATGTACTTTTATATCACCATCCAGCTATCGCCTCATATCGCACATGCTAGCCTTTCAAAAACATCGACGAGCAGAAGCTATAAGCTGTTGGGTGAAACGTTAACTGGCTATCTATAGGTGAGTCTTAGATGGCACACATTGGAATTTTTTTCCCAGTCATGCGTGACATGTTGATCTATTTGTTTTAAAATCACTAAAATAGAACTCCAAAACCTAGAATCAGCACTTCCTTTAGCGATCACAGTATTGCGCATATGCTGCAACTATTGACAACAGCTTATATAACCTAGAAACTCAAAATAACAAACAAAGTCAGTTGAGGCATAGATAACAAAATAATCTCCAACTTGAGAAAAACTGAAAATTTTACACGTACGAAAAAAAAACTGAAATGAATTTCTTGACCCTCGCTAATACACGCCTTTTCCATCAACGTTACATTTTGAAAGCTGGATGAAATTTCCAGCTTTTTATAAAGTGGATCTGAAAATGTGTACTTGTATAAAGCGTGAAGTTATAAAGATCTGCATTCAATTTGTCACGCTCGCGTTAAAAGTGTTTTTAGCATGAAAAAACAAAAACAAAAAACAAAACAAAAACAAAACAAAACAATAAAAAAGGCTCCTTTACTCTTCACCCAGCACTAACATTACTTTTTCAGGAAAAAGCTGAATCCGTACATGTCTGTATATTCAAACTCCATATTGCATCATGTTGTTATATCTACAGTTGTTTAATGACGCCAACGGAAACTTGTCTCCAAAAAAAAACGCACACTCACACCATTTTTTTTTTTTTTTCAATTTTCAGTTGCAATGGCGCGAATTAACCAGTGGCAAGAAGCTCGGGGATAACGTTGCTACTTATTTGAGCAGCTTAATTATATGATGACTTTTGTCAACAGTTCTAGTAAATGCGCAGTACTGTGATCGCCGTAGGAAGTGCTGATTGAAGGCCTTGAGTTCATGTTAGTGATCTCCATGTGAACAATTCAACAATATCTATTTTTATACAACATAGACTAGAGATTTAACAACAAAAAGTAATAAAAGACATACAAGACTAGGTTGTTCTGAAAAATAAATTAAGTGTAGCATGAAGTGTTAAAGGTCATTCCTCTGAGATTTTTGTCAAACTTTCCATGTGTGAAAATTCAATAAATTCCGACTGCAGAAATGAATTGAAAAATGGAACTCCCACTCAAAAAAAATTCTTGAGATTTGATGCATGCGAATAATCCCCCCTTTCCGTAAGCGCCTTAATATTTTGCAGAAAATTTGGCTCGATCCCGTTAGCATATTCTAGTGTCTTAAATTGAAAACCCAGATAACTAAAACGAAACTGAGCCAATTTCAGTAATCACTAGTGGATACGAAGAAACCGTCATTTTAGTTCTTCGACCAAAATTTATTATATAATAGTTACATTTGCAACCATGGTGACCGACCAATTTTTACCATCTGACATTTCCTTATTTTTTTTCACGTATTTTGAAACTTTACTAATTTTTCCGTCTATATGTATGGGCTCAGCATGCTTTGTACATCAAATTGGTACAAGAAACTGTTTTGTAGTTTACAACGATAAAGTAAAGTCATCCAAGAAAACTCTACATCAGTCTTAATAAATAATATAAGTTGGTTGTTATTATTATGTTAAAAGAAATGTACAGTCTAACTGAATGCTCTCGATTTTTTCCTCATTTGTAACTTGATATTACAGATGGGATAATCATTTTTATACCTGACTTTTGGAACTATACCTATTTTTCTGCTCAATTAGTATACCAGTTAAATGACCTTGAAGTACTGCTTCTTTGACTGTGCATAATCAGCTACTATAAGTCCTTATTCATGTACTTAAGATGAGATGATATTTTACACTTGGAAGTTTTTTCTCTGTGAGACATCAACTTGACACTTGGACTCTTGCCCCCTAGAAGACACGTGGTATGGCGTGATTCTGTGGGTCCGTAGGAGTTCTAGGTCAGGGCTAAAATCAGATAGCCTGCGAACCGCAGACGCATTTCCGGTCGTCGCTTCTCTCCCTCCGAAAAACTTTTTTTCGGAGGGAGAGAAGCGACGACCGGAAATGCGTCTGCGGTTCGCAGGCTAAAAATCAGAGTGCGCGGTAGCCTGAGTATCAGGCGTTTCTGGGGAAAAGGGGAAAAATGGAAGCGAAAAAGGAAGAGAGGTGAGGTCTCTTCTCCCCCTCCCCCCTCCCCCATCTAAAATCTCCCCTCCCCTAGCCCCGTAGGAAGGCCTGATACTCAGGCTAAGTGCGCGGATATTTTTTTTTATCAGAGCCTGATCTCTGGTTCTTACGCCATACTGACGAGCCCCAAAGAGGGCGAAACAGCTGTCTATGGCTACATCCCGCTCTGTTTTGAGTTCTTTCGGTGTCGTGTTGATGTCTTGCAGAGTTGAGTTTCACGTAGTACGATCAGCATTGCAGTATTAGTATTGTAGAATTTAATACGTATCAGATATATAGACATGTACTTAGTGTTGGGTGCAAACAAAGGAAACGTTCTTTTTTTTTTCCTGATAAATACATTTTGTTAAGTAGGTGAGCATGACAAATAACCTGTGTAGCCAGCGTACACGGGAAAAAATAAAACAATTCCGCAAGCTACGCAGGCTACTAAACGTGACAAATTGAATGCAGATCATAGTCACGACACGCTTTTAAATACAAGTACACATTTTCAGATACTCCTTATAAAAAAGAGAAAAAAGGTAATCCAGATCACGAAGCCCTCAGTCATATTTTCCTTTGATTGAGTTGATGCAAAGGATATATTATTTAGCGAGAGTCGAGAAACTCGCTTCAGACTTTTGTACACGTAGATTTTCAGTTTCTTCTTAAAGTTAGGGATTATTTTGTTATCTATGCCTCAACTGACAATGCTCTTCATGTTTAATTTTGAGTTTCTTGGTTTTATAATCCGTTGTCACTAGGTGCAGCATAGGCCCAATACTGATTCTAAGTTTTGAGGTTCTTTTTTAGTGATGTTAAAACAAATAGATCAACATGCGTCACGAGTCACTGAAAAATAAAGTAAAATTCCATCTTGAACTATTTATGACCCACCAACAGATAGTCACGTTAAATGGATACAGGTTCTTGGATGATCTGAATTCAACCAAATACTGAGCTTGCGATCGTCAATACTTTTTACAGGCTATTTGATTTGGGGTCGATTTATTATTATATCATTTGCAGCCAGTGCATGCGTCATGCAGCTATCGCTGTATATGTATACAGTGTATAAAAGCACATTTACCGGTCTTGAAGTCAGGAACGAGGGTTCTGTCAAAATCCATTTAGAGTTAGTGATATCGAGTTAGTAGGGATTTCAGTGACAAGACAGTTAGTACGTAGAGCTAAAGGTCAGTCGAAATTCAGCTTCAAACAGTACAATTTAGATCCGTACTACAAAGTCGCTACAGTAAAGTTTTTTTTTTTCAATTTTTCCTTTTTTAGTGGAGGACAGTTTTTGTATTGGATTCCCGCAGGCTTAAAGTCACGCGTGATTAAATTTATTAAAAAATATGTATATATCTTTTGTCGTCGTCTTATATGAAGGCTCTGTGTAAACTATTTTTATTATAATACTATCATCAGCCAAGGCCCCTATGACTGGCACAGGCAACAATAATATCATTACAATTATTTCTGGCCCAAGACAATGTCTCCTTTTTCCTTCCTTGCATATATCTATGCGCGTAGGTTAATCCGGCCGGAACGGCATGGACTTAAGCATCAGGGCTTTCTGGGTGTTGGTTATGCGCAGTGAAGGAAGCGCTACTACGAGGTCATTCAATGCGCACTAATCCAGCAGAAAATAGGAAAATAGGTCTAAATTCTGGTGTGAAATATCATTTCATCTTAAGTATATGAATCAGGACTTTGTAATTGTTGATTATGCGCAGTAAATGGAGCACTGCTACGAGGTCATTTAAGGTAAATTAAATTAGAGCTGAAAAATTGGATCTTCAAGTGTAAAATATCATCTCATCTTAAGTACATGTATAAGGACTTATAGTAGCTGATTATGCCAGTCAAAGAAGCACTACTTTGAGGTCATTTAGCCGGTATACTAATTGAGCAGAAAAATAGGTATAGTTCCAAAAGTCAGGTATAAAATATTATCCCGTCAGTAATATCAAGTTAAAAATGAAGAAAAAAAAGGCAGAATTCAGTTA